AAAGTTAAGGCTAAAAGATATTTGCTATATAATTTACTTAGTAGTTTATTATAGCCTAAAAGACCCTAGAATAAAATCTCTATAAATTTTATTATAGGTTTACTATTATATAAGAACCTAGTAAAAGATCCCGATTTTAATATAATTCTTATAATTATTAACTAGTATTCTAAAATAGCAAAATATATTATATATTATAAAATAATTAATTTTCTAGAGTTTACTAAAATTATATAAGAATATATTTTCTTAATCTTTAGCTTTTCTAATAAAATTATTTCTAATTAAGAAATAGTATTTACTAGCTAGTTCTAGTTTATTTTTTGCTTTTATTTAATATATAAATAATATTTAAATATAGCCTATTATTCTTAGATAAATAATTAGATAAAAAAGCAAAATTAGGCCCTAGAATATTACCTAAAATATATCTTTTTATATATATTATAGATATTATTCTTAATTTCTATAAAATCTTAAGAATAGAATTATAAGAAAGATATTAGCTATATATAAGAAACTAGAAACCCTTAAAATAAAGTAAAAAAAGCTTAAGAATTTATAATATTATATATAAAATAACCGGGAAACCTATTATAATAAGTACTAGTTAGCTAAATACTATTTTAAAAAAGCCTAAATAATACTATTAATAAGAAATATTAAACTTAAAATAAGAAAGTTTAAGCTAAAATTTATAAGTTTATTTAGGATATTTAAATATATTAGTAATTTAGTATATAAATTAGAATTACTAAATATATATAATTATTTATATTTAATTTTTTATATTTTCTTTCTTAAAAAATATATAATAAAAAAAAATTAGAAACTATATTTATATTTTTTTAAAGAATTTCTAGAATTAATAAAAAATAATAAAAAATAAAAATAGGAAATAGAAGCTATTATTAATTACTAATAAAATAATAAAAGTAAGAAGTAATAGTATTTAATTAAATAGAAAGCCTGGCCTAAAAATTATAATATCTAATTACTTACTTTTTCTAATCTTAAAAATTTCAAGAAACTTCTAAAATTATATAACTAAAACTATAATTTAAAATCCGAAATTACTTTTTAATAATCTCTTAAAATTAAAAAGAATTCTGAATTACTAAGAAAAAGGCTATTTAAAAAAAAGAAAAAACCTAAATAACTAAGAAAAGACTTAGAATAATAATAGAAATATTTTTTTTCTAGAGTTTTTTTATTTATAAAGAGTTTTTAGGATTTTATTAAGGTTTATAAGAATTATATTTAAATTATTAGAAAAAGAATTTAGAATTAAAAAAGATTTATTATAAATAAACTAATTATAAGTATTTTAAATAAATAAACTCTAATTCTTATAAATTCCTAATTTCTAAAATAAAAATACTAAATACTAGTCTTATTTAGGATTTAGTAAAGAATTAGGTAATACTTTCCGGAATTCGCTTATTTCTTAATAAAATATAATTATATTATAATAATATTAGTATTAAGAATATTAAGAAAAGTAAATAAGGAACTTATAATTATTATATATATTTTATAAAAGACCTGAACTTCTAAAATCAGGTCCTAAATAATTATAAGTATTATATTATTAGTATTTAAAATACTAGTAATAAATTACTTAAAAATCTTAGTAATAGTCTTAGTAATAAGATTAATATCTTAAAAATAGATTTTATAGAATTTCTTTAAAAAATTAGTAAATACCTAAATATATTAGAAAAACTTATTTTTAGAATACTAATTCAAGTAATATTATTATTTATCTTATTAAGATAAGAAAAAGAATTCCGAAGCTTATTAGTCTTTTTCTAGTTTTTAAAAACCTAATTAATAGTATTATTTATATTAGTATAATACTATTTAGGATATTTTTTAAGAAATTTCTTAAAAATTATAATAGTATCTTTTTAGAACTAGTAAGCCTTAGATAAGTAATAAGAAATCTGAAATTATATTAGCTTTAATAAATATTAAAGCTAAAAAAAGATATTATAAAATGAATTAAAAGTAATTAAAGAAAACTTAAAAAAAAAAATAGAAAAAAAAACTAAAAAATAATAATAGAAAAAGTTATTATATATATAGTTATTAGAAAGAAAAAAGATATATAGTAATATAAAGAAGTTCTTTTATAAAAATAAAGAATTACCTGAATTAATTACTAGTTTTTATATTAGTTCTAATCGGAAATTAGTATAACTAATTAATATATGTTTCTAGAAGCCTATAAATAATCTTTAGGACCTCAGAAATATTTATATAAGTTTCTTATATAAATATTTTATTAAATTCTTTTTATATAGCTATTTAAATTATTCTAATATAAGATCTAATAAATAGTATTAAATTCGTAAAATAGTACCTTAATAATTTAGATTAAGCTAATTAAAATACTTAAATCCTAAATAAAATCGCAATTACTAACTAGTTCCTATATCTGGAATATAATTACTTTTTCTTCTTACTTATTTAGCCCTAATCTAATTAGATAATTTTTATATTTATTATCTAGATTATATTAGTAAAACTATTTCTTAAAATACTAGAAATTTATTTTAATTAAATAATTAATTAATTAAATATTTACTAGAATAGATTAATAAATCTTGGGAATAAGATTCTAGGAAAAAGATATACTTATAATATATATAGGGTTATATATAACTTAAGAATATATAATAAACCTCGGATATTACAGGTATTAATTAGGGAAATTAATAACCCTTTAATATTATAACTAATTACTATTTATATTATAAGTATTATACTTATAAATTACTAATTATATATATATTATTAGGGCTTTCTATTTAGAGAAGGCTTCCCTAAATCTTATAGAAGAAATAGAAATTAGTTCTATACTAAATTTAATACTATAGTTTTATAACTTACTAATTTATTCTATTATCTTATTATTTACTAATAAATACCTTATACTCGGATTTACTAATTATTTATAATATAATATTATATAAACTTTATAATATAATATTATATAAACTTTATAATATAAATAATAGAATTATTATAATATATAGCTATAGTTTTTTAAAGCTTTTAGGTAAGTTTATTATTTAGGTTATTTTTAAAATCCTATAAATTAATATTTTTATTTATTATATATTTTAGAAATAAAATACAAAATTCGTAAAAAATCTAGCTTTTTTTTATAAATAGTTCCTTAAATACTTACTAAATATTATATTTCTTATTCGGGTTACTATATAGTTTCTTTAGATAAGTATATAATTCTTTAATAATTATTTTAATTTAGGTAAAAAGAAATTAGTATAAGGATATAGCTATTTATATAGCCGGATATATAAATAATTATAAGATTCTTTATCTAATAAATATTAGAATTATTATAGAACTTATTTTTAATTTAAACTAACTAATTATTAAAAATAATACCGTTTTTAGTTATATTTTTAAAAATAAAAAAATTAGGAAATTTAATTAAATATTTATTTTCTAGAATAAGAAAACTAGTTATTTTAGTAAGCTATATAATAAGCTTTTTAATAATAGCTTTATTCTTTTATAAGGCTTGCTTAATTTCTCTTAATTAATTATAATAATTCTTGCTATAAATAAGAATATTATATATCTTTAGAATTAATTTAATAATTTTTTTATATAAAGCTTTGGGATTCCGAAATAATTCTTAGAATTTTGCTTCTATAGGCCGAGTCAAGTAAGCTTAGTATTATATAATAGCGGAATTAATATAATAGTCGAAGGCTTAAAGTTCAAGGAATCTCATATATTGGAAAATACTAAACTATAGAATAAAGTAGGGAGGATGCCTCGACCTTTAGTATTATTCCGCCTAAGCAATTCCGGCTTAGCTTCATTTTGTGCCTGTTTCCGATATCCTGTCCTTGGCAGATCATGCCCTTATGCCAACCGTCACACATTAGTGCATACAAAGTAATATATACGGGCACCTGCTATCGCCTGCTGATTTCGGTTAGTGTGGCCCCCATCGACACCCCTAATCGATCCCGGGGGGGGGGGGTCATTTTACATTTTCCCCATTACCCTGCGGCAGCAGGAATACTTTTTTGCTCGCACCTCGCTATAAAGAAGCATATATTGGTGCATGCACGTATACCTGTACGTCATACGACTAATATGCATGAGTGTTGTCAAATGTCAACCCACGGGTCACCTGTTTATATCAGATCAGACAGCCGAACACAGTTCTTGCCCTCAAGCTCATACTGTTCCTCTAATGCTATCTTCTCACCTTTTTATTTCTAAAATTTCCACTAGACATCTCGTGATTAGTGGACGATTTCTAACTACTATAATAGTTTGGCAGATGCCGGGGTCGCGGAGCTCGGGGAGTTCAATGCTTCTCCTGAGTGAGCTTAAAATTTTCCAGTATACAACTAAATTCTCTTTTAAAAAGAAGTAAATACGAGGTAAAACTGTTTGCGGCTCGTAGGCTCGACCCCGCTTAGAGGCTTATCTTGGCCAAAAGCTGAGGTTGTCCTGCCAGCGAATTAGGACCCCGCTTTCGAGCATCCCGCCACAAGTTTCTCATAGGTGTCGGGTCGCGAATGAAACTGGACAACTAGAATCCAGATGCGGTTGTTTGAGTGACACATGGTGTTTCTGCCCCCAACTTTCTTCAAGTGTAATGGTACCGGGTTTCCTGCTCCGAGATCCTAGTCTACAATAGGTTACCTACCTCTGCTTTGCTTCTGAGACAACGATGCGCCTCGCAATAGGACTTCCGCTCTGGTCACCCCACTTGAATTTCATCTCGCGCACTTTGGCACTTTCTCTCGATCATAGTTGGTCTTCCGCGCAGCCATAGTTATCGTCTTTTTGATTCTGCATAACCAAATTTTCCTACTATAGCATGCGATTTTGCACTGTGCAGGACGCCACCTATTGGCCAGCTTCCTTTGGACTGGGCTATATAGAGAACCTTTTCCTCCGATCACAGTTCCTTTGCATCATCTACAACCACCTTAGCGCCAGCCGCTACAACAAAGAAAAGTTGACTATATTCAATCAACCTTGTCAAACCAACACCTACCAGTCCTTCCAAAAGACAATCAACTACCAATATGCAATTCGGCAACGTTGTTGCTATCCTCGTTTTCGCCGGAGCAGGAGCCGAGGCGTGGTACCAGCCGGCCGCGGGGACCACTTGGGATTGGCAATTGCAGGTACCTATCAACCCCACCGCGGCTGTTCAGGTCTACGATATCGACATGTTCGACAACACTGCTGCAGTGGTGGCGGATCTCCACAGCCGCGGTAAGAAGGTCATCTGCTACATCGATGTAGGCTCATGGGAGAACTACCGCTCGGATGCCTCGAAGTTTCCGGCCTCATTGCTGGGCGCGAAATATAGCGGCTTTCCCAACGAACGCTGGCTGGATATCCGGAGTATCACTACCTCACCCCTGGGGCCAATTCTGATCGCTCGCTTCCAACAGGCGAAAGCTAAAGGCTGTGACGGCGTTGAGCCGGACAATATGGACGGCTACGAAAGACTGCCCACGAGTCGAGCGGCTTCCCGCTCACATATAATGATCAAATCGTCTTTAACCGCTGGGTGGCGGACCAGGTCCATGCTCTCGAGATGGCGGTGGGACTGAAGAATGACATCAATCAAGTCAAGGACCTAGTCGGTAACTTCGATTTTCACGCCAGCGAGCAGGCGTTCCAATATGGCGAATATTCCTTCCTCGTGCCTTTCATTCAAGCCAACAAACCGGTCTTCGAAGCGGAGTATCGGTGGAAGCTGACACAGTTTTGCCCGCAGGCCATCAAACTGAACTTCAGCTCGATCCGCAAGAAAAACTCGCTCGACGCCTATCGCGAAGCTTGTCGTTAAGCACAGGCAATGGCAGCCCGACCTGTAGGCCATCTCCGAGCGACGAAGGGAGGCTTCAGGAAACATGAGGTTTTGGTGCGAATAGGGTATAGCTGGAGGTGTGTAATTAATGGAATTGTGCGGATAGATGGTAGTTATGAGTGCACTCCATTGAATAGCATCGGATACCAGAAGTCTATTTGAGAAGAATGTGTTTTTTGGTGGTGATTTTAATTGTGATTTAATACCTTGGGGGACCCTGCCGCAAGTGCGGATTGATTTCGCTTGACACTTCTTCGAGCATTCCATCCTTTCCAGTTTCTCGATACTCGTTTCTATCACTTTATCAAACATTATGTTCTCGTTTGAACAAGCCGTTTATATATCACTAATAATATCTTGGTTGCTATACTAGAAGGATGTGTTCTAGTTGTTTCTCGTCCACACCATCCAACGCCTCCCCAGACATAAGTCCCTGGACATAAGAATCTCCTATGTACTAAAAACGCTTACTCCTTGCTCTTGAAGCAGCATCCGGTTTTTCGGTGGTCCTCAAGACTACCACAAAGTAAGACGAATAAGCCATCTCCAACCTGCGCCTCCGGAACGCTAAGCCTAATAAGCCATTTCTGGCAGTGAACATCCTCTGGTCATAAATATTCTTTGTGTTAAAAATGTCCGAGACATGTTTTAGGAATTCCTCCAAGTAGAGTCCGTAGTTCGGTGTAGATGCTCTTCGGTAGTAAATAACATCTGGGGATTCGCCCACAACGCGTATAAGACGCTTGGTCTGCAGCTGTCACATTGCTTCTTCGTAGGTGCCGCCCGCAGGATAAAGACGGGAGCGATATCCTCTGGAACTCCAATGACCGGCCCATTCTGAGGTAGCCATCTTGGCGATGCGACTCTCGGACTGAAGACTATCGTTGTTCACTAATCGGAGGGGATGTCATGTCCCACTCCAAGCCTCAGGGGGAACCAAGCAAGTGACTGCACATCGTGCATGAAGTGATCACTGGAGGACAATTTGGAACCTTTCTCACATATTTCTGTTTTTCTAAGAAGTATTTGCAATTGTTCTCGTATCCTAGACTTGCAGGATCATCGAGGAGACAATTGGCCACAAGCTCGCGTTCTATTCACAATTGCCGTTGCTCCCTTCTCGCCTCATTTTTATAACGAATATATTAGTTGACGTATGCCGCAAGACCGTATCCAAATGAAGACAAACAACTATGGCCTCTTTCACCAACTTTCTGTGTGTTAAAAACTTCTCCAGGAACATACCTTATTCCAGAATAAATGAGGACAAAGTTGAAGTATCAATGATAGCGCATCAGCTTCCAAAGGGCTACAGATATACAGCCTGAAGCCATTTATCAAATACAGGAGGATGGACCATAAATTCAAAGGTAAGGCTTCGCCCCTTCCAACACCTTCTCCAACCTAAGCGAACACCAGAGATTCCTGAAAGGGATATATAACCCAACCTCCTTCATTCATGTAGCCAGTAATCAGGCACAGCCATGCACGCCAACTCGAAGCCCTGCTGCGATTGGGAAGAAGGAACACTTTCCATTACTTGATATTTTCGAGCTCTGCATTATCTAGATCGGTTGGTTATGGGAACCAGCTTTGCATACTTTAACCATCAAGCAGCAGGCATCTATTTCACAGGGGGGAGAATTATTGTTATCATTTTCCTTCTTGTTGTTAAGTTCCCCACCTGTATACCTCGATTCGATTCGATTCTAAATTAGTATATAGAAGCAAGATGCAGGAGTTGAGGGGGATGGAAGTAATATTTATACTAAAAGATCTCGAGTGGTGTATTGAGAAATCTAACTGAACCGGGTGATACATGCATAGAGAGAAGGAGCGTTGGTTACGGGTCGTGCAAGCAGGCCATTTCTATGCTCTCGTATTCGTCTACTGTTTTTTTGCATCACACAAACTCTTTGGGGAAACAGCCTCGGAGGCTTTCATGGAGGATCGGGGGCAACTCCGAAAAGAGGACATAAAACATGTATGCGTATATTTTGATATCCAAGCCTCAACGCCACGCTGTTACCAAATATCCAATCAATCAATCAACGTCCTCACTACTGCTCTGACTCCCCCCATCCTTCTCCTTATCCGCCGTCCCGTCCACTCCACCTAAGCTATCATCTTGCGAATCTTGCCAAGGCTCAACCTCCTCACACCCTCGCGGGACCCTTACCTTGTCCCTAACATTACACGTCCTCCAAATCACCTCTTTCACCTCCCTCCCCACCTTCTCAATACAATCCATCGCCCAGATAACATCCAGATGCTCATATTCCTCAATAATTCTGGTATGCACAACTCTCACATGTGGCTCCCTCCCCCTCTCAAATCTCCTCAACAGCTTTCTCCCGTCAACCAGGTCGTCGGAACCCGCGACCCACAATGCGAAGGGAGGGACGTGTGAATCGTACCAGGCTGTGCTACCTTTAGGTTTTCGTTCATGCTTACGTCTTGCTTCCGACATACGACGAGGACGAGTTGGATGAGGGGAGGGGGATTGCGTTTCGTTCTGATTTTGAGAGGATGAACGGTGGTAATACTCCTCCATCTCATCTTCAGCATCCTCTTGGTGCCCTTCTTCACGTGTAGCAAGTATACACTTCTGTTTCGCAAAACACTCTCTTCCCAGCCACCACCTCATACTCTCGGCACTGACATAGACAGGCGCAAACTGGAACATGCGGTCTCGTAGCCCGCGGTCCCAGCGGTCGTCGGTCCAGTCGAAGAGAAAGCTGAAGACGCGGTATCCCATTGCGCCGAAAAGGCGTCCTGGGATCAGGGTGTGCATTGTCAGCATGAAGGGGATGAATGCGTGAATACCAAAAATTATTCTGAATAGAGCAGGAGAAATGACACGCATGAATTTAAAGTATGCTTTCCCTATCAGAGGGCCGGCGTACGCTGCTGGGGCCAGGGCGCAGAAGACCGTGAGCTTGTCGCCGAGGTCGGGTCGTTGTTCTTTGGCGAGAGCGACGAAGGTCTGCGTCGTGCCTTGCGAGTGTGCTATCAGACCCAGTTTCTCGAATCCGGTTTCTGAGAGAACACGTGAGATTAAAGCTGGCAGGTCCATGACGCCCATTTGACGGATGTTCCAGGCCCACATTCGAGGATCGGCGTAAGACAGCAGAGTGTGTTCTGGTTTGAAGCCGCAGCGGTTGTTACCGAGCCAGACATCATATCCGGCTTTGCACAGGTAGAAGGCAAGAGAGTTGTCATCGTTTGTGCAGTATGCTCCTGATGACTGCAGTAGACCATGTATCATTAGGACGGGGAATTTTGGCTTTTGGGAGGAGTTGATGGGCCGTGACGGTGGTTCGCCGGTGAAGACACCGGGTCCTCGCGCTGCTCTCTCGGCTGGAGACATGGGTGTGAATTCTCGGGGGTTGTAGATATGCCAGAGAGTAATGATAAATCCGTCTTCGGTCTGGACTTTGAACTCTTCCATATCCAATCCCACGCGACGGGCATAATATCCCACATCACAAATCACAGGATCTGGCCCTCCTTCTGTTGGGATAAACTCTCCCCGTCCAGCCTCATCTTCCTTATCGCCAATTTTCGGTTTAGAGTTCCTCCTCGAGCGTTGCCTCTTCCAATTCCTCGCGTCTTCCTTCCTCACTTTCTTTAACTTCTTCTCTTCTTCGTGAAATGGTCGTCTTGCATCTGGATCTCGGAATGTGACGCGTAACCAGATATGTTGACACATTAAGGGTATACTCGTAAATGCTGAACCAAGAACAATAATGCCAAGAAATCCAATTGATAGAAAAAAAGAAGTCGTTCTGAATGTCCAACATTGAAAATCGCGGGTTCTCGACGAAGGGCCGTAAAGTGGGAGCGGAAGGAACAAAGGGTTTGTGCGGGAAGGGGGCATTGCCTTTCGCAGAGATGCTTCTCCAGACTTTTGTATCGTTGCCCCATTCTTGGAAGCCTCTGGCCGCGAACCATCCCTAGATTTGTCCACTGGTGATGCATCTTCAATCACATCTGCAGGTTCCCCATCAATCGCCTCCTTCAGCGTATTGAGCTTCCCTGCTTCCGCGAGCGGCACTCCCGGTAATCTGCCCCCATCACTCATCACAATAATTGGATCCTGGGGAGTAATGTAGTGTGCGTGGATAGCCGTCCCCGGCCCGTCTGGATCTTTTTCGGGAGCAACATAGGACAATTTCTCGGCCTGGTGTGCATACTTGATGGCAGAAATGGCTGCAGAAGAGGATGCAGGAGAGACTGAGGTCTTGGTAGCTGCCGATGCATTGCTCTCTGATCGCCTCGAGTTCTCATGCATGGTCGCTGAGAATGTCGCGGCGTCCCGTTACCGCCAATGGAACGAAGTGGGGAATTCTAACATGTCAGAAGCCAATTGAGACCAATGTATCCAAAACGGGGAAGGAAAAGATATAAACAAAGTTTTGGGGGCCCAGCACTTCGTCTGGGAAGGGTATACACTGAGAGTGTGTAGTAGTGGAAGTGAAGACGGGAAGAGAGTGATTCCATCTTGACTTTGCTCAATGCGGAATGATAGCCTTGTGGCTGGCAAAATGGCGAGTCGCGTACTCGTAAGAGAGACAGTGCGGATGCCTATGATTGGACAAGTTAATCTATGTCGCCAGCCAGATCTGATTTGATGCAGGTGGTTCGCGGTTATTTTGGCATGTGAACATTCTTTCAAGGGTCGCAATCGTCGACGTCATTGGCGTTTGAGGCTGTGTTGGAACGCCACAGCAAGTTCAAGAGGACGGATGTTGGCAGCAGCGAGGCATTAAATCTTACATGCATTTTTGTATCCACAATTATGCATTGATGTACCATGGCTAAGAGGCAGCCGAAAACCGGTCTCGTTTTGCAATGACCGGGCCAGCGTCAACTGAGTCGTCAGGTTATGAAATTGACTTCTTTAGGGATACAGAACTTCTTGTTCACATTTGCATAATATCCTTTTAATATATTTCTGGCGCAGTGGGGGGATATAGAAGAAGGCCAACTTTCATCCCAAATATTTCAAGATATCTGAGGCGAAGAAGATCTTCAGACGAAACTGAAAACCGCACTCTTAATGAGATAGGATTCCCATTGACCATACGGCCTTTCGACTTTCGACTTAGCAAAATTATATAATGTGAGGACAATACGTACTATTTTAAATCCCTGACACCTTTGTACTTTATTAATATAAGAAAAGTAGCCTGGAAGCAAGTTGAAGTCATCACGTGATACACACTTCCATTTTCATCCTAGCGGCCTCTCCGCAAAGTGCCTCGGGCCGTTGATTTTGGACGTGCCGAGCAGCTACATTTTCCACGTCCAACACACTCTGCTTGCCAGGCGCTGGCCTTGTGTTCAAAACATTTTGTTCACATGTACAATATACAATATCCTTGATATTTGCTTTATTCCTACCTTCAAAAAGAACGACATTCCCACACAATCTCGCTCCCCCGAAGCAACCGCGTAGAATGAACTGGTAGCTCCACGACGCGTTCGGCGCATTCCTAACGTGAACCTCGCGAGGTTGAGAAGGATGGAGGACATGGCCATGGCAGAGCAAATGCCGATACCACATCACCGCAAGCGCAAGAGGCGGCGCCCGGATAAGCCTTCCATATCTGCGAGATTGGTTCTGGATGACCATGTGACAGGGGATGTGGGCATATTCTCTGAGGATTTATTTGCAGATTTATTTCCTGCAATAGCCCAAGGTTCGACCCGGGCTCACTGTGTATCGAATCTGCCGCTGACTCAAATCCTCGTAGCCCAGGAAAATAGGAATGGTAATTCCGCTGCCCCTGAGATCCAACATGTCGCAATCTCACCTTGGGGGCCGTCTACCGCGGTCGAAGACTCAACATGGACCGTTGTCCCCGTTCAGCCCTCAAGCGCCCTTGCACATTCGACAGTGCAATTTTCTCCCACCTCACTAGCTCTGCAAAGCTTCGCCGAAGCTCTACGAAGACTAGCACCTTCCAAAATATCGAGTCACAGCCGAAGCGGGATTGAAATTCGAATACTGGACGTAGTGCCCTTGCCTTTGGAGACTGTGTTTGTGACAATTGAAGGGGACTTGGCTAGAAGATTGGAAAACGGCGAGGGGACATTCCACGGAGAGCATGTACGAATGAAAGGGATCCCAAATGGCCGACCTATACCTGCTCTCCCCGAAGACCGTTTGACAGCCGCAATTCGAGAAGCCTTGGGTGCATTGAAAGTTGTCCATACAAGTGACTTCTTTTCCCTCCCCCTACCACCACATCCAATTACACATGTACCTCCTCCACCCGCAAAAGTCACCCTATCCGAGCCTGTGGGCCAGGGAATCTTGTCACCGCAAACAAATATTGTTATCACACAGACTGGCCACCATGTAAAGGCCATCCGGAAATCACAACCATTGCCTATCAACCATGCCTTGAATGGAGTAGCCGAGGAAGATGATGATACGTCGAATGATCAATTCTTTTCTGCGGCCGAAGATGCACACAAGACCGACACAGTAGCCGAAGATGATGACTCTACCACTGAGACAGAAACAGAGATTTCAGATGCAGACGATGATAATTTATCTGACGATTCAATGGATGACATGATTTCACTACAAGCCCCCATGCTGCCGGCTCACAATGCAAGTGGCATATCTACAATTCAACCCGGAACGCCGCACACAATTGGTCGCGGAAGGAGGAATGACGGTATTCAGACCCCTGGATCCGTGTTTTCCACATTTACGGCTACCACCGCCCGTGCTGGCGGACAGAGAGGACGTCTGTTCAAGGCGCAGGGGTTGGTAAAGGTGTTATCAGAAGAAATTCTGCACCCCAAACCGAATAGCGACGATGACGAAGAAGCTCGAGTGTTTGTCGATATTAACTCGCTCACAAAAATCGGCTGTTTTTCTGGAGATTGGGTACGATTAGAGGCGGCTGCTGAGCCTCCTGCACAAGGGGCAGGGCTCTGGGGCCTTGGAAGTTTTGGAAACTTTGAGCCTGCCGAAGATCAAGTTTGGCGACCAGTAAAAGTTTTCGGATTGCCTGAAAGCTATTCTCATCGCCCGGTCACGAAAATTCCAACTAGCAAACAGGGAGAAAGGCGGATGTCGTTCTTCGAATCTCAGGTTCACAAGCCTTCAAGTCCGACGGTCTATCTTTCCCCAATTTTACTGGCAAATATGGAAAATACTCCATATTGCAGACTATCTCCGCTCAAACGAGCGGTACAACCTATGAAGGTTTTGCAACCAAAAATCACCAGCGCATCCCGACCTCCTTTCGCACGAGAACTTACATTGTCGAAAATCTCAACCCCTTTCACTACAGACCGGGTGTTACAAAATGCTCTATTCGCAGGATTAAAAGGTCACTTTTCTAGTCGCACTAGAGTTGTCCGAAAAGGCGATCTGATTGCAATTCCAGTTGATGAGGATCTTGGGCGGACTCTCTATCAGTCTTCAGCCGATGATCCTGAGTTGGATGAGCTCCTGTCGAACACTGCTCTTGATGGCCTTGGGCCATCAAGGCCTGCGAAAACCACGGCTGTGGCATGGTTCAAGATTGGATACATCGGGCTGGCCAAGGACGTTGGTGAAGCAGTTGAGGACGATGAAGTCTGGGGTGGTGTTGCAACTATTGATGCCTCTTCAACTCAAATGAAGCAATCCGGCAGCGAGGCCAGTCGAATACCTGCCACTATGGGGAGTTCTTGGGAGTATTATCTCGGACTGAAGTCTGTTTCGAAATCAGAAACAGATTCAACCTCTATGCCGGAGCCGCGGAGGCATCACATCCCGGCTCTGCAGCGTCGATTGAGAGAGTTGATCGCAGCAGCCACAAGCCCGAGAGCAATTCATCTTCAACTGCAGCCATTGGCTATCCTTTTGGTCTCAACCCAACGAAATATTGGCAAAGCAACTTTATCAAATCGTGCATGCGCTGACCTTGGCATCCACACTTTTACAATTGATGCATATGATATTGTGAGTGATGGCAGTTCCGGAAGCGATATGAAAACAGCAGGTTTTCTCGAGGTACGTGCTGAAAGAGCGATGGCTTGTGGTCCTGAACATACTGCTCTTCTTATTCGGCACATTGAGGCTCTCACTGCAGATCGGATGGTCACCACTCTAAAGGAGATTTTATTAAAGGCTCGAGTTTTGATAGCAACTACAACTGAAATCGACAAGGTTCCGGACGGAGTGAGAGGTTTGTTTACACATGAGCTTGAGATGAGTGCTCCAGATGAATGGGAGCGAGAAGGCATTCTCAGGGGAGTCATCGATGACCAACCTGTTGCCCTTGCTCCGAATGTCGATCTCAGCGCAGTGGCTGTCAAGACTGCTGCTCTTGTAGCAGGTGACCTTGTTGATGTCGTTGATCGCGCTCTGGTGGCAAGGAATTCCCGACTAGAATCCTTTGCTGCCACCTTCTCAGAATCCGAGACTTTCACCTCCGTTCGTGATGTTCTGGTTGCTGGTGGTCCAGCAGGGAGGTGTCTCACAAAAGCAGACTTCGATGTTGCTGTTGAAGCAGCACGAAAGAATTTCGCAGATGCAATCGGCGCACCTAAGATTCCAAATGTCAGCTGGGACGATGTTGGTGGTCTGACAAATGTCAAAGATGCTGTCATGGAGACTATCCAGCTACCTCTCGAACGACCAGAATTGTTTGCAAAGGGCATGAAGAAGCGCTCAGGTATCTTGTTTTACGGCCCACCCGGAACCGGCAAGACATTACTTGCCAAAGCCATCGCAACAGAATTCAGTCTCAACTTCTTCAGCGTCAAGGGACCTGAGTTACTGAATATGTATATCGGTGAATCTGAAGCTAATGTACGACGTGTCTTCCAGCGAGCAAGAGATGCGCGGCCTTGCGTGGTCTTCTTCGACGAGCTGGACTCCGTAGCACCGAAACGAGGAAATCAAGGAGACAGCGGAGGAGTGATGGATCGAATCGTCTCCCAGCTTCTTGCGGAATTAGACGGCATGTCAGACGGCGAAGACGGTGGTGGCGGCGTGTTCGTCATTGGGGCTACGAATCGTCCGGATCTACTCGATGCTGCATTACTTAGACCAGGTCGCTTCGACAAGATGCTTTACCTAGGTGTCAGCGATACGCATGAGAAGCAGCTGACCATCATGGAGGCCTTGACTCGCAAGTATGTTCACCCATCCCCTTCCCAAGAAGCCTTCTAACAACCCCAGATTCACGCTCTCCCCAACGCTCTCCCTCCCCCGCATTGCCTCCCGCCTCCCGTTCACCTACACAGGTGCCGACTTCTACGCCCTCTGCTCAGACGCCATGCTCAAAGCCGTTACACGCCAGGCCTCCCTCGTCGATGCTAAAATTGCCCAAATAAACACCTCCAACGCCACCTTGGGTAAAACCAAGATCAGCACAGCATACTTCTTTGATCATTTTGCGAGCAAAGAGGATGTTGCTGTTTTGGTTGAGGAGGAAGACTTCGTGGCTGCGGCGAGGGAACTTGTGCCCAGTGTGAGTGCAAAGGAATTGGAGCATTATGGACGGGTTAGGGAGCAGTTTGAGAAGGTTGAGGATAAGCCTTCTAATGCTCAAGATGGGAAGAACAAGGGAAAGTTGTTGGAGAAAAAGGAGGATGGCATTCCGGAGTGGCAGCAAGGAGATAGGCCGAAAAGTAATGGGGAAGGCAAGAGTAAGGAGAAAGTCGTGGATAAGAAAGGAAAGGGGAAGGAGAAGGCGGTTGGCAGGTGGGATGAGGGGAGCGAGTGGGATGAGGATAGGGAATTTTATGACGAGGGGGTTAATGGGTTTGCTGCAAAGCGGAAAGATAAGGGGAAGGGGAAGGTGACGGATATGGGGTTTCGCGAGGGGGTGGAGGATGATGAGGGGTTGTATTAGTGAAGGATGGGCTGTAATTAAATGGGGGAAATTTGCATTCCTGGAGTGTAAAATGTATGATTTACCTACCACCTCGAGGTCACGTCTCCTTCTCCTCCGCACACCCCTTCGCCTCATAACTCCTCCACACCTCCAAAACGCTTTCTGGGACATTGATGAGACATTTCCTATCATGAATCACAACCTTCCTTTCGCCGTCCACCGTCATCGGTGGGACTCGATGAATATGCTGCATTGCCTCAGATACCAGGAAGCGGCGCTCGTCAACTAATATCACTTCGCGGTAATAAGCCAATTTCCACTTCGCTAATGAAGGAGGTGGGAAGTTATGGAGGTCTGATTGAGAGGGCATCCCGGCTGCGCCATCGTAGGTTGACACTAGGGTAGTGAAGGTAGGTGAGGTGGTGGTGAGAGGGCCGTGTATCTGTTTTGGTCGCGTGAGATGAACAGATGAGAAACAGAGCTGGGATGATAGAAGGGGGGAACGGACCTGTTCATAATGTTGTACACCTAGATCTAGGAAGAAAGGGACAATGAGAGGGGCGTGTTTTGTGAACCAGTGGGTTGAGAATTCTTCTCGTGTCATGGAAGGATTGCGTTTTAGAAGGCCTTGGTCCATTTGTTTGATGTCCATCTTGAGTTGGATATGAGATGAGTCTCAAAGTATTTGAGATAAGGAAAACAGATGAGGAGTGGTTGTTAGAACTTGAGAGAGAATGTAAGCGAGAGTTGCGGATATGCGGTTGATGTTGTATCGAAATTTGATCGCGAGCTGAAAGAGGGAACAGGGGCTATGTATGTACTTTTTAACTAGGGATCTCTATCTCTCTCCTCGTCGCTGAGAGTTTCGCCGAGTCAATGTTGACAGATTGCCATTTTCGAATGAGGAAATAGGTATGACTCCTACTAGCTCTGCTCAACTCGTATGCTTACAGTGCATGCTGCATGATGCATGGATCTACAAGCTTGAGTTGCCGCGGTGCGGGGTTGCCGACCGGTTCTTTACATAACTCGTCCATTGAGCTAAGGGAGAAACCTGTTCTAGGAGTTGGGGAAGTCATGGCGAAATGAGATGCAGAAGTGCGAACTCATGCAGCCAGGCGCAGGAAACCCTTCTGGACTAGCTTGTAAAAAAGGTATGGTCGGCTACCATCCACCGTTTGATCCCTTTCCGCCGATCCTTTTGTAAATCAAAATAAAGCTGGTCTGGTTTGCAATCAGAGCTTAATCACACCTTCTTTAGAGACCATTCCTAATCCAAGCCCCCGAAGAAATCGCCGTCTTCGATTCTCGCCTCGACTTTCCATAACCCTGGCTCCGGAATTTCTGGGAAGTAAGTGCTACTTCCATCAACTCTCCGGATACCAATTAGCGGGACAATGACGGATTCGGGCAGTTCCAATAATCCAGACAGGACCTCCCCTGTGCTCCCTTGCCAAAAAGGAGCAAGGCAGGGACGCAGCTGTTTGGGATCATAAGTGAGGAAGAGTACTTGGTCTCGCTCGTGAACCTGGCGTTTAAAACGAGGCATCGTTTCCAAGAGGATTGCGATATCGTCAATCTGGTGCCCAGCCTTCTTTAGACGAACTGCACAGTGCAGGAAAGTCTCCCATGCCGACATGGCGAAGATCGATTTGCCGAATATTCCAGGCAGACTGAGGGCGTGAGAGAGGAGGTGACCAATAATTTGCCCCGCCACGGCGAAATCTCCCGTATCGTCAGATACGATAAGCTCGTGCATAATCTTAACTCTATTATTAGGGTCGATGCCGGTCCTCACAAGTGTCATGCGGATGTATTTCCCCAAGCCATGCTTTGCTGACACCGATAAGAAATCCCATGGTAAAAAGTAATTTGATCCCCAGCTCTGCAGCACATTCTTTCCCACGTACTCTTTGAAGCAGCGATTGATTAGATTTTGGTCCTGGCTCAGACTTGGAGTTTCACAGATCCTTCTGCACTCATCCAAGATTTGAAAGTAGGTGTCGTCCCCATGATCCTGGGTGTCGTCTCCAGGGTCATTCGACCCTTTATTATCGAAAAGTTTGGCACAACCTATGAGCTGATTAAAGCATGATTCAAAGGTCCATCCCTGAGCCTGGCCCAATGCACCTTGTGAATCCATAGCCAGATGAGTTCTTTTCATCTTCAGCACGTAGGCCGATAGAAACTGAAGTGAAAATTGGCTACCGCCTTCAATTCCGTCCCAGGCTTCCGTCTTTTCGAGGTGTTGGGAGATGAATTCTTTCGCGGTCGCATGCATGTATATCACTTTTGTCGATGTTCGAGGGACTTCGAGAAGTCCCATACATCGGCTTTTTAGTCTCCGCTCTAATTGATCCAGGTTCCGCTTCGTCTGTTCAATGGTGAAGAATTTGACCTCTTGCTTCACTGCACGCAGATGTCTGTCGTTTTGGATTTCCGCTGAAAGCGCCAAACTCTTTTGATCATTAAAGAAGTTCATTATCGAGTTATCTGATTCGTACAAGTCGTCGGCTGCATAGAAAAGTACGTCGAGATCTGGGGGGTTTCTGTGATAAAGAACAAGCTGGAAAAGCTTGATGGCTTCATCTCTGGACGGCGACATGTCAACCATCCGCATGTAAAGCCCGTCTCTTCCACCAAGGGTTTTTGGTAACTTTATAAGCTTTGCACAGAGGTCTTCAATCCGGTCTCCGTCATCTTGCCCTTTTCTCAGTTCTTCTACCACAAGTCGAACCCACAAGAATACCCCTTCAGCGTGTTTAACAACCGTATCAGCGATCTCTTTCATTTCATCAGCGTCGTAGAAGTATTCCCTTCCCTCTCCCATAAGCCGAGAATAGACGTAATTGTGAATATCCGCCTTCGTAAGTTCGTGGATTCGCAGTCGAGGGGTAGTTGCAAATGCTGCTTCGAAGGGAGCCAGCTCTCGACTCGCAACACATATCTTTACATTCGACTTCTTGATGTTCTGAAAGATTGAGGCAATTTCTTGGTGTCCATCGCGTATCCAATTTCCTTCGGGGTAGGCTTTGAAGTCATCGTTGGTCCCGAAAGAGAGTAAGTGCATCTCGTCTTGCCCATAATCCTTCTCTCGGTCCATCATGCGATACTCATCCAGTCCGTCCACAAACAAGCAGATCTTAGTCGAATCGGGTATCTTCTCCAAAACCTGGGCGAATGCTTTTTTGAGCGCTGGCCAAGTCATTTGTGGTAAGGGTATCGGATGCTCTCGGCCCTCTTGATTCGAATCGAACACAAGCGGTATCAAGTCCCGCCTCCGGGACAGAATCTGGTAAAGAAGACTTCGCAGTAACCCTTCCCGTGACTTCTGTAGAGCATCGCCCCGTTCAAAGAAAAAAAAAGGCAGCAAGGATAGGCTCACTCCCACCTGCCCATTTTTTCAACTTCTTTTTGGTCCGTTTATCGTTGTAGAGATACTTCATTAGTGTGGACTTGCCCGAGGCGGCTTTGCCACTCAACCAGAAGAGGTGTTTACTGTCACTTTCCAACCACGAAACGAAGCTAGAGTTGGCCTTTGACTTACTGCTGTCTTCAGTTTCGGTGAGGCTCATTCGCGCCAGAAGATCGAACTCATCGTCCTCCAATATCCAAGAAAACGTATCACCGTATGTCTCTGTAATATCTGCCTCCCGGTCGTCAATCATGGGATACTTTAATGATTTCAGTACACCTGGACAGACACTGTCAGAACAGCCGCTCCGTGGAAGTGGACATGTCATTACCGGTAATCCAAGTCTCCCTCGCAGAGTTGAGTATTCCTCGCTCGTCATTAACGAGCTCTTGCAGGACAGAGCTGATACGCTTGTAACCAATTTTGAGCTTCGTGGCATACCTTGCCATTCCCTGATGATCCTCGGGCACGCCGAACTGTTCCACGTTGTATCCGTCGATTGTAGCCGATGTAGAAGGAACAATCTAAACGAGTGGTAAATTTAGCCACCAGCAACAGTGCAATAAGAGCTTATAGGGAGCTCACTATGCCAATAGCTGTAGGGTTTTCTTCTCGAACGCAGACGATACGCATATGCTGTGAGATTGTCGTGAAGCTGTTACGTAAGTACTCCAAAGTGCTAGAGCTAGGATCCAAGCTCTGCAGCAACTGTTTGTTTGGTTGACGGAGAACCAAAGTCCCTACATTCGCCATAATATTGGCCGGGGAAGCCTTGTCGCTCCCTTGATGAGGTGTGCCCAAAAAGAGCACGCCTTTCGTGTTTCTGTAAATTTCTGCAAGATTCGGCGCTCTCCCATGAGAGGCGTATGCCGAAGCGTCAATTAGAGCCTAAGCCTGCAGTAAGTGAACGCTGTACCGTAAAGAAACTCTCTGCACTTTGGTGGCGTGCCATACACACCTGCTTTATCACAAGTCCACCAAGAGAGTGGCCAACGAAGACAATCGCTCGCGACTATCCATTGATTAGATAACCACATCATCAACTTTCTGTGACATATTTACCTTATCCTGTCTCAGAAAACTCAGATCGGTGAGCAGAGACTTTGCATGCCCAACAATCGTATCGTAATTACCGAATTAGTATGGACGTTTCCTGATTATTGAGAGGCAGCTCAAGAGCTAGGGAGCCGAGCTCCAAGGACAAATGCAAGCTCCCGCGAAGCTCCCAGGCTCTGAGCTCTCAAACAAGAGACAGGAATTTGCTATTGGCATAAGCTTACCTGGCTAGCCAACTTCGTGGCGTTCACGAAACTGGAGTCGTAGCCCCACGCGACTATCCTGGCATTTTCGATATGCTGGCCGAGGAAGTCTCGAGGCCAGCAAACAGCGCCGATTGACCATGTCTTGATCGGATGTCCCCGAAGACCATGGATAAATACTATGCTAGGTTGAATTAATTATGTGAACCTCGCTCTAAGATGGTGGGAAGAGGTGTTTAGTAAGGCTGCACACTAACTCGATAATTGGATCTTTCCCTTCGGACAAGATATGAGGACCTTCGACATCTGCATCGTTGCCGGAGTCTTTAGATGAATACAGTAATTCCCGTTCTGCCGTCGACTGGTCGGTGGCTTTCGCCATTTTCCGTAGGCTTTCCATCTCGAATACGTAGCACTGTGCAAGGCTAGTTCAGCCTTGCGTGTTGGTTATGGGAAAACGCTCGATTGATATTGCTATGCCAAAATCGCAGGCCTACCAGCGTAGAAACAAAGGATATATGGAATTGTGAATCTGGGCGAGGCTGTTAAGGTTGACGAAAAGCTCGTGGGAAAAGGATTCGAAAGTGTTGTCAAGGTCAAAAGCGCTAGGCCCCACGCTAATCCTGTTTCGTGTATTGATCACGTGCAACCTTAACCGCCATTCTCACTGCGTTGGAAAGGCCCCAAAAAGGCACTTGCCTAAACTCTTCACAAGATTGAGTATATGGAATGATGCAGGATAATGGGTTTGCAAGATATGCATTCATCTAACCGTGAATAGCAACACCGTCCTGGCTCTTGGATGGTCCGGAAGGTTACAAGTCATCTGTCAGGCATGACTGTATTGTTCAGATATGTGATCTAGAAGCGGGATTAGTCACGAATCCTATCAAGATAATTTATTTCAACAGTAAGAAGTCCTTACAAATGGCTCAATAGCTTCCACAATATCTCCCACGATGTTGAGTCCGTTCTCAGACGTGATCTCTTCGTCCGAGATATTCCTCCGCAGTACGAAGTTTCGAAGCTTCAACAAGGCAATATCTTTATGATCGGCACCATAGCCCTGCGTCTATCAGTAAGCGCATCGCAGGACAGGACAATTCAAGACTCACTTTCGGCTTCGTCTTCAACGCATTGTCCGCGCTCATCTTGCAAAAGGCTGCGACGACCTTTTTCTCGTCTTTCTTGATGCCAGGAAAGAAGGTCGTGCGAAGGTGTTCTTCCGTCAAGATCGATTTGAATTGATAAGGCTGCGTATCTATGTCCTCTCTCAGGCAGGCTAACGTCTCGTTGTCACATGCATAATATCCACCACCTAACAACCCGTCAGTATCATCTCATCAACGCTCACTTTGCGTGAGATGAGCTGTCTGTCTCACCAAAGAAGCTCCCACCATCAGGCTGGATATGTAGATAGTAATGGGCGTAAGGACCCTTCCTCCCAGTTCTGGACCACGTCACGGAGAAGTACGGCTTGTACGGCGTTGGGTCGGAAGAAAAGCGCATGTCGCGGTAAATCCGATAGATAATGTCCTTGATCGGCAGTTCGGGGATCGTAGAATCCTTGTCGCACACAATCTCTGACAGTTTGCTGACAAAAGTCTGGAAGTCCTTCTCCGCTTGCCTAAAATGAAATTTCAGCACAAAGTGTTCTTCAACAGAAGGCATCGACACGAAAGATCAATGGGCTCGCAACCAAAATTACATGATATGAGAAGGACCGACCGATAAGGCGCATCATGAAACTTCAACCACTCCCTCCGATTATTCTTCTTCAAATCCCTCAAAAAGTCCAGCGTATTCGGATGGATCTTCTCATCCTCATACGGTGTGTCCCCAGGATCCTTGATTCCAGGAAGCTCAATCACCATCTCCACTCTCCCTTCTTTTCCCTTCTTTTTGATCCAGCCCTTCTTCTTCAATACCTCTTCGTCCGAGCCATACTCGTCACCTGACTCACTTGCTTCAGCATCATCTGGCTCTTCGGCTGCATCGGACTCGTTTGCATCTGCTTTGAACTCTTCGTCGCTTCCGGCTTCTTCAACATCGGATTCCTGGTAGTTCAGTGCTGCTTTCATGACGCGTCCAGACTGCCGGCGAGTGGCGGGGCTGTTAGGGGCGGTGACGGAGGCTTTGCGCTTCCTGCCTGCCATTTTCGAGATTTAAATATGTCTAGCAAGAAGAGGGAAGTATGCGAGAGATGCAGAGGCTCTATTTGACGAGTTTGTGAGGTTTGAGGGATGAATGAAGTTAAGGTTAAGTTGGATTAGTGAGAGTGCGACGCGGACTACGTTTTTCGGCAACGACCACTTCCGAAGATTTTGTGGAGAGGGGTCGCGGGAACACGTGACCATTATAGTCTTCCAAAAATGCGTTTTCGGTCCCAATCTCCGGCTATGATTGCCTCGATATCTCACTTCTTCAAACTCGGAAATTCTTTACAATTGCTTGGATTTTGTCATATTATATCGTGTTTTCAAAAATCTGGGGCTGAAAAGAGGGTTTGAAGTCAGCCTATGGGAACACCCCTGCAAAGCCTGGAGCTTCAGGGGGAGAGCCTCTAATGTGTTTCCTTTGCCGATAGTTCCCTTCCTTCTTCAAGTCTCTGCACTCCTGATCTTGTCGTATTTCCTAGCAAGCTGCATTTTCTTCTCCCTCAAATCAAAGTCTGCTGTACAGTGCCTAAGGGTACCAGATTATCATCACCGTCTATGTCCTGGCGTCACAGTCGCCGGCTTGCATTATCTGATCGGTGGTGGATCATTCGGAATGCTAGATGGGCCATATCTATATCGTATCGTGTAAACTATGCCCTAAATCTGCCTAACATACTTCGGGAACTCAGACGCCTACGGATTAGGAATCCGACTCAGCATCTACCTGCAATGGCAACCTCAAGTCATCAACAAGTGGGTGTTCACAGACCATGATCGCTTGCGCGACGAACTGAACGAGAAGGTCATCTTCCTAATCTCGATATTCGTTGCAGCGATCGTGCTTCCTACGGCTGGAGACCCCAAGCACCCCGCCGTCGATATCATCATCCTGGAACAAATTTTCTTCGGTTCAACCTACACGGTCTTCGTCGATAGTCACATCATCGACAACTTGGAGAGGACCTATAGTTTCTGGGGCACCTTATTCAAATCGGCAATTCCGGCTGGAATGATAGCACTTTCGATGTGGTTCTGAATCCACGGCTTGGATGAGCTTGAACCGACGTGTGGCGGCACCATAGGATTTCTGTTTGCGCCTGTTGATGTGATGGGCGGAGCCAGAGTGGCTTTCACTATATGTTCTCTGTCAAACTTTCTAAACTGGTTGGCCGCTCTCGGTAATGTAATCTATGGTCGGATCCTTCATTTCGGGAGGGTTTTCGATGTCCTCGTCGGAAAACAAAGAGCTCACATCAACGACGTTCCTGAACAAGCAGGGGCACTAACTCGTATATGGGAGGAAGTTTGTATGCCAATCAAAGAATTCACTACTGGAGAGTCTGGACTCAGTGAGTTCCACGATATGATACGGCGATTTTTACATTTGAAATAGCGCACTAGGTGTGCAAAAAGCTACGACTTCGCGGCTGTAGATGCGTGGATCCTCCACTTCGCCACTACTACCGTCCAGAGTTGGCAAAAGCATCTAGAACCCTGCGGTCCGTCTGGAAGTCGATCTCGCTCCACTTACATCGATATTATTGATAATTTAACAGAGTTGATATTCGAGGACGTCTAATTAGGCGTACCAGAAAGCAGACTTAGACCTCCCATAACCTTTGTTGGAGCATCAGGAGAAGGATCCAATCCCAGATTGAACAAGCTAAAGAAGCAGCTGAAACTAGTCAATGCATCAGATGACTTCCTTACTTTAGTTTTATCAGCTTTGAATCCCAGTTCGAGAACTTCACACCTGTCAGTGTCCCCAGAGGCTCAAGGACGCTTATGTCAAGACTTACACTGAACTTCAACTGAGTTCCTAGAATCCTAATTTAGTAAATACGCGTCAAAATTTGAAGTTATTTATCCTTGGGTACTCCATTTTAGCTATCCAATTACTCATTCGTTTCAACTCTCCCAAGGGCGTTTTCGAGGTATGCACTACAGGCCAAATAATTGAGTTTGCCATCGCACTCGCGGCGCTTTGGAAAACTCTGGTTGTCATATTTGCCAAGTTCATCCTGCCGCATAAAGATGAGGCGACAAACGACTCAGCTCAAATCCAGAACCCGTTGTTACAGTTACGGAAGACCGTGGAAACCATGAGATGCAATACCTGGAGACGAACGAAGTGGACCGCGAAGAGACGACTGACATCGAACCAGAAAGAGATCTGGAGACCGGTATTCCCTGAACTATATCTGGCTTGACCCAGTAGTAAATGTGAGGATCAGAGAAAAGCCTCCGTCACCGAATGATCATACTGAATTTAAAGAAGGATAGGAGTACCCTGTGTCAGAATCAGTGATTGAGCTATGCGTCCCTATTTTTTAGTATGAATTGAAATTATACTATAAAAAATATGTGGTGTATTGAGGAGGTTTCCACGGAGCAGGCATTTGGCTGCTCACTCTTCTCCAGTCTCAAATCAAGATTGAGCCCTGGAAGTGAAGGATTACTTAGCTCAGCATACAATTTTACGAAGCGGAACTTTCGTTTGGCTCGCTTGTGTCCATGCTTGACATGCCCTGGATCGCAGACCCAGCATCGCCAATCAAGCTCATTCATGCACATCCATCGCCCCTGCCCGTTGCCCAATTACCTCGTTAAAATCGAGCCCGGGATCCCAAGCGCTGAAACTCATCCCTGCCGTTCCAGCCCCCAATTCAACAGTTCCTTAACGTTCGGCCTTCTATTAATAATAAAGCAGGTAATCCTACAGGCGCGCCCTTCTTGATCCTTCTGCCTGGAACAAGCGGTAAGCGCCTGGAAGAGCAGGCCATTTAACCTTAATAAGTCGAGTGCCCGTCAGCTTGCTTTGTGGTCCAAGTATCGCGCGAGGCGACACCACTCCGCCTCAATCCTGCCCTTGACCATGGCAGATAGGATATACAGCAAGCTTCCATCAGAAAATGTAGAATTGTCGGCTTTACAAGGCCAAGGCTCGAGACGGAATACCTTCAGGGGGCCAGAATCTGAGAGCCTGGTAGGGCTACAAGAACAACCATGCACAACTTCGACGTGGGGTGTGGGTTGGCGAACACCATTTTTGATGGCGCTCTTCTATCTCATTGGTACGATTCATTTTCTTCTGCAAATATTACCTTTCACTAATACTAATCTACTACAGCTCTACTACTTGCTTTTCTCCATCTCGGATTATTCCTCTTTTTGAACCACAAGCCAGCTGTTGGAAAGGATCGAGCGGCACCACAATCCTACGTCTCTACAGCTTCAAATATACTTTCCAATACCTTCGGATTAAGTCTCAAAACCTCACTCGCGATTGCATCTACTCAACTTCTCTGGTATACACTTCGCAGATCGCCCTTACCAGTTTCGACTATTGAGTCTCTGTTCCAACTCCGTTTCAACCCATTCCTGATCTTCGATCGTCTCGTCATTACACGTGGCCCCATTCTCGTTATGATAGCAATCACGATATGGTCTATTCAAATTGCTGCAAGTTTCCCACCAGGGGCCTTAACAATTGCCACAGCGAACAAAACATCAACTAACGCCCTGAGTATCCCCACGTTTAATGCTTCATTTGTACAGCTAAGTTCTCTTATTGACATGGAAATTTTCTGACCAAAATCCAGTTTGGAAATGGGTCGGGCTATGATGCTCAGAAGTATTCCTTTAACGGCTTTACAGGCAGCTTGTACACCGACACTGCCAACACAACAATTTATCCCTCGTGAGACGAGCCATTGCCTCCATTTTCCCTCTCCTTTTTGCCTGAAGCTGACAATCAGATTTGCAGCACAGATGAATCTGGGAGGTTATCCACACCTTATGTGCAAAATTTGGCCATACACACAATGGTTAATGGTGCTCCGAGCCTTCTCTCTTCCCCATGTGGAGCGAACTGTTCTTTCACCCTGGCCCTCGATATCCCATACCTGGAATGCCACAGTACCATCTCCAATGTCTCTTTCGAAGGTAAGGGCTTGGTATTTGACTTCCCTGTTTTCAACGCAACTTGGTCAGGATATGTTTTCAACGTAACCACATATTATACATTTTCCGCAAAAACCCTCGACAACAGTACATGGTCCGCTCTTACACAAGCAAACAATACAGTCTGCACACCATCCCGAGCAAACTATACACTTGATATTATGTACGAAAACAGTGTCCAAAATGCGAGCATCTCGAGGGGCCTGGTCACACCATTGAACCTGTCATCGCCGGCTCCGGCTCCACCAACAAGCTCAGAAGCACCACCAACCGTCGCGGCTGGTCTAGCTGTCGTGTTTCCGGGATTCATGGGAGATGTACCTGTACCAAGCGGATATCCCCTTTCTTGGTATGGAACAGAAGCCCTTAGGTGGACACCACCATTTGTTTCCTGGTACCGCGACCTGCAACTCATGGCTCTGATCACCGGGATGGCAGACTCTCTCGCCGGAAATGTCATATACACACAGCCTGGAATAGGTATACAAATTGCATATTCTCTTGATCTACTGAAGGCTGAAATCAAACTGCCAGGCAATCTTGGGACCGTAGCACCAAACACGCGCATCAACACCGGCAACGGAATATACGTTCAAAACGTACCCGCATCGCTCACCAGCTTGGACATTCCAAGAGCCGTAAGAACGTACCACTACGTTGTAACACCAGACCTGCTCAACGACTTCCTGCTAAACATTACTCTATCCGCTATAACCGATTTTGGATGGTGGGCCGCGAACGACACCTTGACCACACAATGGGAGACCATAAATGTCTACAGCTTCTCGAAACCTTTCAACCTGATCATCCCGTACTTCTTTTCCCTATTCCTAACTATCCCTATTTTGGCCATTGGCAGCTTTGCATTAAAACGAAATGGCGTGGCGGCCATTGATGGCGGCTTCACACAGCTTGTTACAACGACGACTGGAAGCGCGACACTGGAAAGGGCTGCAGCGGGAGGATGTTTGGGGGGCGATGAAAGTGTTCCTGTGAGTCTGAAGGAACTGAGGGTGAGGTTTGGGGAGTTGGTGAGTGAGGAGAAGGAGGGCTTGGTTAGACGGGCTGGGTTTGGGACGGCGGAGGAGACGATACCTTTAGCCAAAGGAGAGCTCTACGGTATATAAATAGATATTGGCCATATCTGCAACTTGGTATTTTACATTTCCAACTAATACGGTGCACCATTTCAATCTCCCCTCATTCATTACCCTATTGGATCATACAATGGTTTCCTCGCCTTTAGTAGGATGAAACAGCAGATAATTTGAGACGAATGCAATTATACACTTACATTCGACAAAGCTAGCAGTTAGGAGGTTGCAGACATCATGAGCATACTCAATAACCGCAATCTACATATCGAGACACCCTCCAAGTAACCTCGTTCTCCTTCGCCCACCTCGTCGCAGTAATCATGCCCTGCGTCCCTGTTGCCGAAACCAGCAGGGATCACGACACCATCTGCATTACAGTCCATTTTCCAAGCTCGCTGGTATACGTGTGGTTGGGGATCATTGCTCCATTGCAAAGCTGAGGACTTGACCAAGTGGGGTTTGAGTTTACGCCAGTAGGCCTTGGCAGTATGCTCCAGGGACTTGATCACAGATATGTACGAGTCGGCGAAGCTGGTGTACTTGCCCACGAGGACGATAATGGCACTCTCATCTAGATCTTCTTGAGATGTGCCGACTTTCCACACTTCTCACGAGTTGGCACCTCTCAGGACCAGCTCGGAAAATATCTTGAGGAGCTCGAGATATGGATATTAGCGAAAGAGTTGAGCAAGCCCTGTTGTCTCAGGACATTCGGGACATAATATGTGGATGCGACATGTGAACTGCAAGTACTTGATCTGGCTCAACCTGACAGAACATTGCTACTTTCTGGATTTTTCGGGCTCTGAAGAACTCCCTATAGCGACATGCAATCGTCCACAGTCAACGATGAACGAGGTTTCGAGGTGGGTTTTTGCATACTAAATCTGGCTGGAGTCCCATGCTTCTGACTTCCTTGATCATCTACTGAGTTGGCTTCGTCTTCTGTTCGTCGTTGACTACGGGGATCATAGAGACGGATATGTACAGATAATTGCCTGTTCCAACTCGCGTCCGGAGTTGGCGTAGGGACTCCGCGAAAGGCACGTCTTCGATATCGATCAGAGTACCTCCAAGCTCGATCACACAGACATCAGGTTCTTCCTTAGTCTTATCAACAGGGACCCTCACAGCCTTCTCAATCAATTCTTGCAATGCATCCGTGAGATGCGGGACAAACCGGACCGTCTTGCCCAAATACTCGCCCCTCAATTCTCTTTCAATAACATAATGATATATCTTCCCCGTTGTAATATTGTTATCCCTGGTGGAGGGTAACATTTAAATATCGTCAGTAATTTCGAAGGTCAAGATCCGTCTCCTCGCAATCGTCGAGTACGAAGACCTCTCCATGCTTAGTGGGAGACACGGTACCGGCATCAATATTCATGTATGGGTGGATCTTGATCATTGTGGCCTTCAAGCCCATTGTCTTTGGTAGCAGACTGGTACTTGAAGCAATGGTCCCTTTCCCGACACCGCCGATGACATCTCCGAAGACTAGAACTTACTTCATGTTGCTGACTGGCAAAAAGAAAATATACACCTGATTTTTCTAGCTCGCGAGAAAGGGCAAGCGGTTGTTTCAGGGTCATTTTACAGCGGGGTTAAGCTGAAGGTCAGTTGGGTTTGTGCAGGGGTTCAGCGGATGTATAGGTAGCTCCTCAATTACACAGTCCACTTTGAAATTTTAGGGGATCTCCCCAGTTCTACGCGTGGTGTGCAAAACCATATCTGAAAGCGGACCGCAGTTGGTGGTGCCACCAGAGCAAATGTTTGGTGCCCAACCCCGGGAGACCTAGCTGGGTCCCAGAACTGGCCATTCTTGTACTCTGCGCGGCGGCTAGCCTCAGTTGACCTCTCGATCAAAGGTTTTCACAGTGTTCATTTGTGATTCGAGAGAATATATCCCAGAATTGCGAGAACTTTCTCGTCTTCGAATCTCCTTCCAACGAGCTGGAGCGAGATCGGCAATCCGTGGAACTCATCCACATCATCTACACCTGTAAGCAAAGACAACTCAATTTGACAAAATGACTTACATAATGCCCAATTCTCTTCATCTTTCCCACTCAACGGCTGCAATTGATTTGGCATGCCATCTCGATTCTTGTCGACGTATCCGACAGGAAACACGACAGCCGGATAATCCAACATATTCCACTGACTCGTATATCCCCAATACTTCGCCGTATCATGCTTTGGAGCAACTCCTGGACCCACCGGACACAAAATCGCATCAACCATTCCTTCCAGCCTGCCTTTCTCATCCTTGCCAGTCGCCGTCTCATTCCAAACTTTCGCGTACTCCTTCCGATACGCCTCTCTTTCTTCTTGCCAATAATACAACTTCTGCGGCGTCAATTTCTTGACGCCAGAATTCTCTTTGATCATCCATGTTGTGAGCGGTCGCCATGGTTCTCCGGATTCGGCGATCGTGGCTGCATCTTCGGCTCCGCCATCTGTGAAGTAGAGGCTTGAGATTATGGCCCAGGATTCGTCGTGGAGGTATGGCTTCCATTCTACGACCTCGATGTTTGAGATTGTTTTTAGACGAGCGACGGCTTCTTGGAGGGCTCGCGTGATGGGTGGATGAGGAGTAACGACTCCATCGTTCCACATGATTGCAATCTTAAGCGGCGTGTCAGCAGAAAGTTGGACATTCGAGTCCCAGGGGATCGGAACAAGCGCAGGTTCGGAAAGCCATGGTTTAGAATCGATGACTGTCTTCATAAAGAGTTTTATCCCTTCGAGGCTTGTACTCATGGGACCGATCACGCCAGGGATAGGATCTGCGCCTGCCATCGTAGAGCACCATCCATCGGTTGGGATTCGAAAGGCGGTGGGTTTAAAGCCATAGATTCCACAATTTGCGGCAGGGTTTCTGATACTACCTGAGTGTTTTAAGCACAGTTGTCATGATGGTGGGCTCAGGGCTTACCTCCAATATCACTCCCAACCCCCAAACAACTACCCCACATCCCAATCAACGCGCCTTCACCACCACTACTTCCACCCGCCGACAGATTCCGATTATACGGATTAACGGTGACTCCATACAGATTACTATCTGTCTCGAGATGCATCATACTTTGCGGTTGGGTCGTCCTGGCGTGGAACACGGCGCCTGCGTCCCAGAGAATCTGCAGAACGTGAGCATCCTCAGTGGCTACCTTGCCCCACCATGCTACGTATCCGGCATTTAGTCCCAGATCCTTCATTCCAATCATCTCTTTCACGCTAATAGGGAGGCCGTGAAGTGGTCCGATTGGTCTTCCATGTTGCTGGAAATAGGTATCGAGTTCTTTGGCTCGCGTTAAGGCACGATGGGGAAGGAGCTCTGTGATGCAGTTGGTCTGGGCAAAATCAGTATATAAATCTTCTTACGATTAGCTAAAAACTGAGGTGCTTACGAGTTTTTGAGCGAGGGTCGCTCGACGCAGAAATGCTGTCGTGACCTCGGTCGCAGTCAGCTCTCTGTTTGCAAGCAGCTTGATCAGCTCTTCTGGTCGAAATACGGTGATAGTTAAATCTTCGACTTGCAGAAGTTCCATGGGGATGATTTTTGAGTTCTTGATAGTCTCAAGTGCTGCGGGGACATCGGTGGCGAAGGTGGCAAGAGACGCATCCCGATACTCTTGTGCTTCTCTGGCGATTTCCTGCCACGGCCTTTTCGGCTTCATTTTCCTCGATGGAGCCATAGCAAATTCCTACTTAAGAAACGTAACCACAGAACTTCTATAAAGAGTCGGTCTCAGCTACTGCTGCTGTCTTCCAAAGCAGGCAACTCAGCTCACGTGCACCTGCCGTCCTCGGCTCCCGTCTGTAGTGTAACTTCAGGTTCGGTGTCAGCAGCAGGGAACAGCTGACAAGGGGCGCATGGGTAGCCTTAAATTCTCCGTCTGCAAAGTTTTGTTGCAGGTCTGATCATTTTCTTTTTTCCGGGCGGAGGGTGGAGTTGTTGCGGAGCATGCACAGATGCAGACACGGAGGCTATCAAATAGGGAGGCGAAGGCGAGCTGAGACGGTTCGCCCCTGGATTGGAATGGCGGGACAAATCACGTGATGATAAGGTAAGGTTATGCCCTGACGGCGGGCTGGACTTGGCCGAGGGCGCCTTGGTGGCGGCCGAGCAGGAGACTTGACTGCATCAAGTAGTCCGTATACACCACCCCCAATTGCCCCGTTATTGGCAATGCACCTAGGACACCCCACTCTCGAGGTCGTCTCGAAGGGCGTGTCAAGATGGCTTCCTCTTTCGAGTGAGTACCTCGCAGACCCTCTGGTCCAAGTACTGATTCATGTCCAGAATCGAATTCTCTCATCAACCTCCGAAGCAGACCTCCACACGCGTGCTCCTCGCCACGAAATATACATTCCACTCAAAAGCTATACAGACTATTATCGGAGATGTCTAAAAGAAAGGCACAAGATGACTTAAAAGGCCTCAATGGCGCGACGGACCTCGAACCCGCAGACGGCCCTCACAGCACGCAGAATGCCTGGTCCGGTCCTGGTCCAGCTGCTTTCGACTTCCGCAGCAAGTCTTGTCCCAAATTTAATATTTACACAGACTGAATTGACCCCTCCAGGCGACGTAGTAACAACACCCACCCCCTCCATGCTCTCCGCCATCCAAAACTGCACCCTCCTCGACGACGTCTTCATGGAAGACCCGACCACAATGTCCCTCGAATCCCACCTCGCAGCCCTCACCTCCCAAGAAGCCGCGCTCTTCGTCCTCTCCGGCACAATGGGCAACCAGCTCGCTCTCCGCGCGCACCTAACACAACCCCCACATTCCATCCTCTGCGACTACCGCGCACACATCCTCGAATGGGAGGCAGGCGGGGCTGCTTCCCTTTCGCAGGCTTTGGTGAAAGGAGTGGTTCCGAAAAATGGGGTATACTTGACACTGGAAGATATCGAGAAGAATGTCGTGCTTGGGGATGAGATACATGGGTGTCCTACACGAGTTATCGCGCTAGAGAATACACTGGGCGGTACGATCATGCCGCTGAGTGAAGTGAAGAAGATCTCGGCTTTTGCGAAAGAGCATGGGATTAAACTTCATTGCGATGGGGCGAGGCTTTGGGAGGCAATTGTTGCTGGTGCGGGGTCGTTGCCGGAGTTCACCAGCCAGTTTGACAGCGTCAGTCTTTGTTTCTCAAAGGGACTTGGTGCTCCTGTTGGGAGTATCTTGGTTGGAAGTAAGAAATTTATTAAGCAGGCGAGGTGGGTGAGGAAGAGTATTGGTGGGGGGCTGAGACAGCCTGGTGTAGTTACTGCAGCGGCGCGGGTGGCTGTTGATGAAACGTTTGGTAAAGGACCGAATGGCGAAGGTGGCTTGCTCAAGCAAAGCCATATTACGGCGAAGAAGATCGCGAAAATGTGGACAGAGATGGGCGGCAAGTTGGATCAGCCGACGGAGACGAACATGGTGTGGTTTAATCTCGAGGACTTACATATTACAGGCGACGAGTTCGCGGCGATTGGGAAGAAGCACGGCTTGAGATTCTTGGCGGGAAGATTGGTGGTGCATTATCAGATCAGCGACGAGGCGGTTGAGAGGTTGGAGGGAGTGATGAAGGAGGCTATTGGTAGGAAGCACGCCAATGGAAACGGGACAGCGCATAAGAAGAGAAAGGTGGGAGAGAAGGCTTATGGTACGTGAGATCTAGCCCATAGATAAGGGCCACCTAGAAAGAGGAGAGCATTATTGAAACATAGAAATATATTTCAAGCGATAGAAATGTCATGAATCTGTCCACCGGGTCTTTGGTAGCCAAAGGGATTCCGACACCTTGCTCCACACCTGCATCCCACATAAGCACCAGCCACCACAACCCAGGCCTCCCTCCACCAATTACATCGCAACATCCGAATCCCATACCATTGGTTCTGCGTTTAGCGTGCTGTACCTGGAGCCCATCTATTTTCGAGATTCAGGATCGCTTCCCCGAGCCAAAGGAAGTTATAAAGTGACGTCAACCCTGCCCCTCATTCCTCCCTTGCCGCTCTATCTGCCTCGATCAAAACCATAAACAAATAATCCCCCCTTTCCCTCGAACTATTCTCTCTAACTTTGTAGCCTAAAAGTTCGAAGTTCACTCATCATTCGCTCACTGAAATGGAAAAACCAACCATCCTCCTCATCCCCGGCCTCTGGGAAGGCCCCTCAGTCTTCACCTCCATCAGCACAACCCTCCAAGCCCTAGGCTACCCAACCCTCGTCGCCAAGCTCCCTTCCACGGGGACGACGTCCTCAGACCCCGATCGCCACACCATCACCATGCGCGACGATGAGCAGGCAATCCGGTATATGGTCAAGCCGCTCGTGATCGACAAGGGAAAAACCGTGATAATGGTGATTATCCCATCCTATCCTTCCTGCCCTGCGCCTCCTTCCACCACTTCCAGATATCGAACTATCTTTGGAGGGGGAGAAATGACCTCCAGCTCCCGAAACATCGATATCAATTCTCACGCTGCCTCCAGCATTTCATTCTTTCTAATTAGGCGCTGGTAATATCATACTGACGAGAGAATCAGGTATGCCACAGCGCAGGCGGCTTCCTCGGCTCCGGAGCGATTCAGGGTCTAGGGATGAAGAGCAGGAAGAGCAAGGGCGAGAAGGGCGGAGTTGCGAAAATCGTGTTCTTAGCGGCTGGGTTGGCGTTGGAGGGGTACATGCATGGGAAAAAGCCGTTTATGGATTTTATCGTTCGTCGGCCCCTTCCCTTGAATCTTCCCCTCTCGAAATTCAATTCCCATTCCCTCTTAATTTTCCCCTCAGGATAGGATTCGGTGATGGCTGATGAAAGGGACTAACGGGACGAAAATAGAAAGCAAAGGGCGAGATGCACTGCGTTTCCCCCGAGACGACGCTCTTCAGCGACCTGAGTCATGAGGAGACGGAGAAGTGGATGAAGGAGCTGAAATGTCAACCAGGCGAGGGGTGGGATCAAACGACTGTTTACTGTGGGTGGAGAGATGTGGAGAGCGTGTATCTGGTGTGTGAGGGGGACAAGTGCTTCCCGAAGGCGGTGCAGTTGCAGTGTGCAAAGTTGGCAGGGAGTCAGGTTGAAAGGTGTCAGTCCGGGCATATGGTTATGCTTAGTATGCCGGAGAAGGTGGTTGAGATTGTTGTGAAGGCAGCAGAAGGGTTTTGATATGAAGTGATGTGTGATGTGCTGAGTTTTGTGGAGAGGAAAATATGGTATTTCTATTGCACGGGAGTTTTCTGATGAAGGGATAATCACGTCTACGTCTGAAATTTGCGAAACATCTGCAATGGGTGAATCATTGAGCCTAAGGGGGCTGTTACATATCCAATCAATGTCCCAAAAATTCCGGTACATGGAGAGACTTCTTCATGGTTTAAAGTGAATATTTAGGTCCAGGTTTTGTTACGCCAGCTCAAATCGGATATAGGAAAGCTCTCAAACCTTACGGCATATCGTGCCAATGTTCCACAAGCTCAGGTACATTGAAATCGTCTAAAGAGGATTCTCGATCTGAACGCCACGTTGAATTGTATCCAGCAGAAGCACGCCACTTGGCCCCCTTAATCTCTAAATCACAATCCTAAAACTTAACGGAAAACCGAAACAACCTACCACTCCGTGATTCCCCAAGTTTCTCTCGTGTCTAACATAGCAATAAGGCTCCTCTGCACTCATCACCTTCATATAATTCCTCATCCTAAATTCACCTCTCCCACGATCTCCAATATCCATCCAAACGATCCGCTACAATCAGATACTGCCCAATAAGAATTGCATACTGCCCGGCATGAATTGCTTGATGGCGGGCACAGCTCTCAAGTGCTGTGTGAGAATAGAGCCCCTCTTCCATTGGCCTCAACGCAGTAAGTATATATTGGGCCTTGTGCTCCTTGAGGGAAATTCGGGCTTTGCGATCAAGAAGCCAGCTCACATCGAAGGCGACAGATCTCATGGCCTCAATGTGAAGCTGGGTATTCACGCCTTCAAACCAAGCCTTGTAATGGCTCTAATAATCGGTAAGTCCAGGGCCGGGCACGTTGTCTATTTTGAGGACTTTCTCAATCGGGTTGATATTCAGGTTGAACTCATCTGAAGTCGGAATCTTCTCTCTTACTGCCTTTGCGAGCCTCAAGTCCGCCTTAGCTTTGTCAAAAGTCTTCTGTATTGCAAGACCTTCGATTGCTGGGATTTTTGCATCTGCGATTCGAAGATGTATTTGCTCCGCTGCCCCCGCCGCCTCCCGAATATCCCGGCTCATGGCTGGCGCTACATCGATTCAGTAGGCGACGGCGTTCTTTCCATTGATTTTGAGATTGAGAACAAGAACCATTTAGTTGATTGCTGCCGTGACTTGTTGAATATTGCCGGACCATTGGAATTCTGGAGGGAGGTTGGTTAAACCATAAAGGGTTATTTTATTCAGGTCTCTGATGACCTTGTTGATCTTAGGCACAGCCTTGTTGCCTTGCACGTATCTGTGTTTATAATTCGCTTCTCAATGAAAAGTTCGTAGTAATTCATGACAGCTTCTGCAATGACAGGTTCGATGCTCCTTTGTGGGATGCACTCCGTATGCGTCGTCGTTCTGATGTTCTCAAAATTGGCCATTTCGAAAACACTAATGTAAGTCGAATAAGAAAACACATGGCATATTACCCGAATTAGTTCGTGTATTTTATATTGAGATGCAAAATTGTGCTCACCGGTGACAAGAGAGGTTTCGTTGCCAATGCAGAAGCCTGATTCTGGTTCTGGTTCTGGTTCTGGTTCCTAGTGGAGAAGAAAGAGGAACATCGGGGGAAGCGATGACAATGTCCAAGTTGATCATAAAAGAAGTCCTTAAAAGAGCGGAACAGCGAATGCCACCCCATCAAAACACACCCAGAGCGGTCGCAGAACAAAAATTCGCACGTCACACCCTGTCAGCCCTGTATCGGTATTTCGGAGTGGCGAGGATCCAACCCCTTCCAGGCCTTTGACTGCAATCGGAGTTGCCGATGGATGCAGCCATGTGAAGGTGGAGGGTTTGAGCTCGAGACTATGCGAACCGATGGTGCCTAGAGGTGGAGAGGTGTCGTTCTACTCGATAGGAGGTTGTGGGGATTGAAGTTTCAAAGAGAGTGAGGATGACGAAGAGACGAAGAGACGAAGAGAGGAAGGAAAACTGGACAAGAAATCAATTTCACTTCAAATTGCGCAGCCTTGAGGGAAGGTGCGGGTTTGGGAAGGGGAAGAAGTAGCGGAGAAAAACAGACCCGACGCCGCGAGAGGAAGGAGCGCCTCGTTCTCAACACACAAAGAAACCAGACGAGTTATGGTCAAATGTCCCGATGATGGCCCTTTCACGGCGTCCCTTAACCTTGTGATTGACTTCAATCGTCATGCTCAGGCTCGAGGAAAAGGCAACTAGAAGATGAAATGTGTTGTAAGAGCATACGCCATTGCTCGTCGTACACGTGATTTACCCCACCTACCCCACCAAAATCGCGATTTTTTAGCCACACTTCTGGTGCTTCACCACAATTTTTAATTTTAATTAAAGAACTATATTTATTAAGGCTTTAGTATACAGTGGCCATTCCCTTACTAGCAATTACGTCTTCTAGCTTACAAGTGAGCCTCTCTGTCAAATATCGCCAATCCGTTGGATCAACTTCGCTCCATAGCTCTTGTAAAACCTCCTTCATATCCTCAATTGAAGTAGGAACAGTTTCCAACTTTGTAATCTCATTTTTCATCCATTGCTATACCTTCTCAATTGGATTCAAATCGGGAGAAGAGGGAGGCCAATCAAACCCACGCAATCCACGCAACTTGCGGGGTAGCTTTGCCGCACCCTTGTGGATTTTTGCCCCGTCTTCCATAAACAAGAACTCCTCCTTTTACTTCGCTGTTAAGGAGTCAAGCCAAGGAAAAACAACAGGATTCAGGACTTGGTTCAAGTAAGCTTGACTGCAAATTCCCTTCCTTCCTTTCTCCTTTACCAAGAAAATAAGCGGGGATTTCCAATCCCAGCTAATCGCTCCCCAAACCATCACGCTCACTCTTCCACTCCTGTATACAGATTATATACAATCTGGGTGATTCTTCTCATCCGGCCGACGTATAACCCAAATTCTCCCTCTCTTTCCAGTCTCAAATGTAGCCTCATCGCTCCATATAACCTTTTTCCAATCTGCTGTACCCCACCACCGGTATTTTATCGCAAATGCGAGTCGTCTCGCAGCTTATTGCTTGGAAATAAAGGGACGACGGCAAGCGACACAACGACGATATCCATGCTCCTTTATAATCCGGCGAATCGTAGTAATCGAGGCTTCTAATTTGAGCTCGTGCTTGATTCGTCCCCAAGACTTGGTGCGATTGGTCCAAGACTGGGAAACGAATCGGAAAATACGCTTCACATCGGCTTGTTTAAGAGCGGGGCGCTTGGTGGCAAGGCCTTTTCGCGTCGTACGAGAGGTTGGACCCTTGATAATATGCTGAATTGTGGACCTGGTAAGGCCTGTGGCCTTCCTGATTTGGCCATAGCTCTTCCCTTGCCGGCGGAGCGAGCGAACGGTAGCACGAACAGGAGTTCTCCAGTTCTCATTGGGTTGGTGGTCCTTAAGAACAGACGGAGAGAGGATATTTGAGATTTCTGAGTCTGAGTCTGAGTCTGAGTCTTCCATTGCTTGTACAATAATTAAAGAAGAAAAATGGTAGTTTGTGGGAAAAGAAGCGGTGAAGTGTGGGTTTTGGTGAGGGGTAGTCACGTGTTCGCTTAGGTGTACGACGAGCAATGGCGTATGCTCTTACATCACGTGACATCAAACTTGATTTTGGATGGACCTTTTCAGAACCAGTATAACAGGTGCCTCACTCAGCTCTCAAATGAAATAATGCGCGACATCTCGTGGAGTGAACGACCATGATCTGTGAAATCTAAAATTCATTAGTCGGAAGCAGGTTCCAGGATCGCCAACCTTCCCACTCGAATCAGAAAACAGTTCAAATCTACCGTTGGTCGCAATGAACTCATCTATTTCCCCAGCCTTTATCATGACCATTGAAAGACTATTTCATCTTACGAACGTTCCGTTTCTCATCGTCCTTCTTCATCTCTTTCGCCCCGTCCTTCCGCAAGCGCAAAACCCTCTCCCCTCCCAAAACTATCCCTTTTCTCTTGGATCAAAACCTCCATATGCTCCCCTTACTCTTTCAAGCCGTCAACGCGAACCGCCATCGCGACATTGGTCGTCTTCTCTATCCTCTCCAGCCTTTCCATAATACTTTTCTCTCTTCCACGGGCCGGGTAATAGAAATTGGAGAGGGTTAGACGCCACAAAGCTGCGAGCCAGAGAGCCAGATACCCCCTTTGAAACTCAAGGGGCTCTTGAGAAATCTTTGGAAACGAATTGAATCATCCATCTTCGGATTCAGGATGTCGGCTCTCTCGTACATTCCCAGGAATGTGCAACCTCCCTGAACGACCGCATTACATTCAGCGACACATTGAACAGTCGCCAATGGTCCTGTAGACAAGCGAATGTCTCACGAGCTTCGAGGCGGTGTAAAGTGAGGTCTCGATAGGCTTTGAGTGGAAGGATGTAGTGTCAATGGCGGCGTGAAGTCGAGGTGGAGGAAGAGTTTCAAGCTCCGGCCCTAGACCTAAATAGTCTTAGCGGCTTTCCGAACCATCTTGGCTCCCACTTGTCATGATCAAACATCACTTTCGATCTCCCGATCTTTCAAAATGTGTTTGCCCAGCATTCAGCAGGAATGCAGCACTATCTCAACCAACCATCTACACCCCAGAAAGAGGGCCGGGAAGCGACCGACTATGGCTTCAGATACCCTCCCCCGCTGGTTCGAGAAGCGAAGATTCCAACTCATTTTCAAGGACTATGCGCCCATTATTCATCGAATCAGCTTGCCGACAATGATCTGGAGTTCATAATGCGCAGAACGCCCGGAGAATTCCAGACCTTGTTGTTTTACGAGCCTATACGAGAATACGAGGTAGCCGAGTACGGGTACGAACAAACGAAGAACCCCTGATCGGTGCTTCGAGAAAGCTTTCTGGTTGGTGTTGCCTGAAGTTCCTCAACACCGACATCGTATACGGTGTTAGACAATCATTGCGAAGCTTGATCCTTGTCATCATGCATCCAAAACCTCGGAACATCCCGTACTCTTAAATCTTCTCCCAATTGTTTATCTCCCAGCAAACCTTAAGTATGTTTGCCTTCCTTCCTTCCATCTGAATTTGGCTTTCTTTTCAAGATCTGTAGCAACAACGAACCAAGGTGCAGACCTCAATTATTGAACTACCTCCGTCGCTGAAGTCTCAGCTTGAAAGAGTAACAATCGCAATGCTCGAGGGAAAGAAAGAGGATGACAAATCACAGAGCGACACAAGACCCTCTTGGCAGAGGGGAACGGTTCCGAGTGAAGCAGATGATTCCGATGACATTGACTGGGATGCACCTCCGCCGTACGAACAATACTTTGGGAATGACCAGAGAAATGTGTCTACAACATTGGAAGGTATGTGGACATCAAACTGGAGCCAAAGGAAGAAAGGCTAATTCATCCTTCATCTAGACAATGGCCGGATCAGCATGTTCTTCGGAGGAGCTGGTGGTCGTTACCCAAGTCTCCCTCCACTTCCAGTATATGATCCTCGGGTAGAACAGGTGCGAAGTTCAGCAGCTCAGTCCTATCCTTTGCTTAATATCGTCCTACAAGTTGTGGGAAGTCGAGGTAGGTGATGGTCTGTGGTGAGGCCTGACAGACTTTTAATCCTCCTAGGGGACGTCCAACCATTTATTGCTCTCGGACAAGAACTGGAACTTGTCGGCCATCGAGTCCGAATAGCAACCCATAATGTTTTCGAGCAATTTGTTCAAGATTCTGGACTAGAATTCTTTCCAATTGGCGGGGATCCCACAGAATTGATGGCTGTGAGTTGCATATCTCACCCGAAATTTAACCAGTCCTAATCACTACCTCAAAAGTACATGGTGAAGAATCCCGGAATCATTCCCAAATTCGCAACCATTCGAGCCGGAGACATATCCAAGAAACGCAAAATGATCAGCGAAATGCTCAAAGGCTGTTGGAGGTCATGCATCGATCCCGACCCTTCAACAGGTGCTCCCTTCGTAGCCGAAGCCATCATTGCAAATCCTCCGAGCTTCGCACATATGCACTGTGCTCAAGCAATGGGAATCCCGGTACATCTTATGTTCACGATGCCATGGACTGCAACGCGAGCGTTCCCACATCCCCTGGCGAACGTGCAGCTTGCGGACACGGATCCGAAGACGACCAATTTTCTCTCGTATGGCTTAGTTGACATGATGACTTGGCAAGGGTAAGTGGAAATCATTCTCGGATGCCAGTGAAACTGCTAATTGGAATGAGTAAAGTCTGGGAGATGTGGTCAACCACTGGCGGAAGAATACACTAAATCTCGAACCCCTCCCAGCAATGGTTGGCGCAAACTTGGCCAACTACCTCAAAGTCCCCTTCACGTATTGCTGGTCATCAGCATTGATTCCAAAGCCATTCAACTGGCCTTCACATATTGGTCTGTCCATTTATCCAAATGATGTTCCAGGTTCACTGACCCGCATTTCCAGACGTCTGTGGATTCTTCTTCCGCAATGCCCCGGACTACAACCCATTCCCAGAATTAGATCAATTCCTCAGGGCGGGACCACCTCCAATTTATATTGGCTTTGGCTCCATTGTGATGGAAGACCCTCATCAGATGACTCGTATCATTTTAGATGCGGTTCGAATATGTGGGGTGAGAGCTATTGTGTCCAAGGGGTGGAGCAAGCTTGGAAGTGGCGTTGAGCATCACGAAGATGTTCTTTTTATCGGAGATTGCCCTCACGGTAATTAGTCCCTGCGTACCTCCTCCTTTTCAATAACTGACCTTGGATAGAATGGCTCTTCAAGCACGTCTCAGCCGTGATCCACCATGGCGGAGCGGGAACAACAGCCTGCGGTCTCCTCAACGGCCGCCCAACAGCCATCGTCCCCTTCTTCGGAGAGTAAGGCCATCACTCCATCCCCAACCAAGCACCAAAACTAACCAGTCCAGTCAACCTTTCTGGGCCAACATGGTCTTCTCCGCTGGCGCTGGTCCTCGCCCCCTCGACGGCAAAACCCTCGACGCCTCCACCCTGGCCACTGCTATAGAGACTCTCCTCCACCCATCGACCATCCAAGCAGCAAACAGAATCTCTGACAGGATGAGGAACGAGAGCGGTATCAAATCTGCAGTCCGATCCTTCCACCGCAACCTTCCAATTCGAGAAATGCACTGTGACATGGTGCCCCGACAACCCGCAACATGGTGTTGGAAGAAAGGGAAGCGGACGCTGAAGTTGAGTCATCGAGCTGCGTCAATTTTAGTCGAGCATAAAAAAATCGAAGCTTCGTCTTTGGAGATGTCAGTCACGTTTCTTCAAGTGCCAGCGGAATTTTCAGCTGATGAGAATCTATTTGAAGATATAGACCCAAGCCCATCTCAATCGAAAACCGCCGCTGGGATCCTATCACAGCAACCACATCCGCTTTCCTCGACGGCGTTGTAGACGTCGGATCCGCGTTCGGAAATCTTGTCGAATCGCCAATAAAAGAATACCGGAAAGTCAAGTCTATGGAACGGGAGAACTCCAACCTCTCTTCGCTATCACACTCAGATTCCAGCACGCTCAGTATCCGGAGCGGCAAGACTGGAATGACAGGAAGCAGTGTAATCGGCCAATCCGCTGCTGGCGCAGCAGGCAAAGCCGTAGGCCGCGGCTTCGAAAAAGTTGGAATGGCAGTTACGAAAGGCGTGATCGACTTACCTCGCGCCGTCGCCGATGGACTACATAATGTTCCAGCGTTGTACGGAGAGGAAGTGAGGGATTATGGCGAGATTAGGGGGTGGAAGAGTGGTGGCAAGGTAGGGGTGAAGAGTATGGGATATGGATTTTATGATGGCTATGTCGGATTTTTTACGCAGCCATATAAAGGGGCAAGAGATGGAGGGGCGTTTGGGTTGGTAAAGGGGATTTTTAAGGGGTGTGCGGGGCTGTTAACGCAGCCTGGTCATGGTAGGTCCTTTTGCGTCTTTTCCTTCCAATATCTCCCCTTTGCTTCTCCCTACTATCACCTCTTAACTGACCAATTGCAGCAATCTTCGGAGTCGTCGCCTACCCAGCGCTTGGTCTATATAGAAGCCTCAACACAGCCCATGTAACCGGTGCCCAAGGTGAGATCCTAATAGCGCAGAAAGAGTACGGCATTTTCCTTGCGGAGACGGATCGAATGGATAAGGGGGAGGTAGAGAGGGTTATGAAGGATTTCGATGAGATGTGGCTAGCGGTGAGGGAAGTATGATAGTGTCCAGGCCCAATTCTGTCCAGCTTTTTGCGGTGATGGCTGAGGCGTCCAGGCGTTGTGAGATACCCTTTTCTTCTGTACATATTGAAAATTCGATTTTGAGATGAAAGGAGAGGGATGAGCCTGAGAGATCTTGAGAGATTAGGGCTATCTATAATTTAACGCCAATCCCGTCACATCTCATGACGCGATATGTTGTATTCACACTTTCATTTGTCCAACCGACTGCCCCACCCTGGAGCCAAGTATTCTAAATTGTTCCCAACCCTCAATCGATGTCGAATGGAGCTCCAAACATCCGCAGCATGGCACCAATGATATTTGAATACCGTATCCACCTTACTTTCCAGGAATGGATTGGTTTAGGTTAGAATTATTTCCTAATTAACGCGTTTATAGACTCACACTCTCGACCTCAGAAGTAGATCTATAGTCACGAATACTAAGGTCTATATTCTCACCTATAAGGACAACATACCACGGCTCAAAAAGATTACTGGGCTAAAGCCTTCACGGAGTAGTTAAGACGGCGCTCTTGAATCTCGTGGAATGTTTTGCTTTGCGTAAGGTATTATATAAATATATTATTTGTCACGACAGTCATAGTACGTTTCCTTGTGTTCATGACAGACAGGAATGCATACTGACTATCTGGTGCAGTTGATGGAAATTTCAAGTAACGGTCTTCGTTCGCGGCCTATGGGATAGGTCAGCCGGTGTACGACGCTGGAAGACGAGGGAAACCTTCTCTAGCTTGAAGTGCATGCACCTCGTGTCTGTCGTCAGCACCAGGTCCATGTCATCAGTGTCATGGAGGAAGTCCATGTGGGAGTGATTGAAGTGCTGCCCATACTGACACCATCCCTGTCACGAACTTTCGATCATTGTACCACCAATAGCTGACAGAACGAGGCGCCATACTCGTCAAAGGCTTCCTTCAAGATGAAGATACGCGCTCTCCAGTAATTGGAGCTATCGATTCGCCGATCTACAGGGCTCAAGTGGACGCAGCAGATTGCATGAAGGTTTAATTATACTCCGCGTTGGCGGAAACGTGGCACAACCCGGAACTTTCGGGGGGTTACCACGATGACACGGCTAAAAAGCAAAATAAAACATGGGGTGCAGGGGCCACGCGGACCGCGTTTCTCTTCTAAGATCGATCAAAAGGGCCGTATTCTTGTACAGTACAGTCCTTTATTCTTTATCTGACTAGAGCTTTCTGGAAATCTACAGAATTATTTACATTAACAAAACGCCGCCTATACAGCAGAACAGATTATAATAGAAATACAATAGTATCATTAAACGTATAGGCATAAAACGTGTCGAGTGCCTCTCATCGAAGGCTGTCTTAAATTTGAAAGCTTCGAGTTCACAGGGCGAGACTACTTCTAATGACAATTCTTTCCCCTTACCTGATCAGCGTGAAACCCAGGTAGATGTCCAACAATGGGTATGGGAATCGATTACGAGAACGTCCAAGCACATATTGATTGTTGCCACACCGATTGGAAGATCCAATAATTAATTTGGCCCGCACCTTCGTCCCGATGTACGTCTTCGGCTTCCTAGCCGACCCAGTGGCCACAATGATTCAGGGCCCAGGAACTGCCGGAGATTATTAACCAGTCAAGAGAACTTCCAATCATTTGGAATCATGTAGAAAAGCAGGGGAAAGATTAAGATAGGATGGGATAGCGCAGGATGGGGATGAGTTTTGGCCGCTCCCCCACCCCACTGGCGTCGCCATATCCTTCGCTGGATATAGCACAAGGCTACTTGGTAACCCCGATTTTTAACACATTTCGCGGCATCCCTTTCTTGATTACACCACAAACGACGATATACCCAGCCAGTCAGAATCTCTTATTATTCCATCAGAGTAGCTAGTATGCGTTCACATGTGAAGCTGGGATGTCCGAGCCCACGGGCCGGCACAGGGATCGGGGTTTGAGGGGAAGGGAGATATCGCACCACTATTTTGTGGCTTCGTTGACATCGGGACAGTCTCCTTTTCCAGTCTGCCGTTTGACCAACAGTCAACGAAACCCTAGCGGGTCTCACCGACACTGCATCACGTAAAAGCCGAGCAGTCGGTGCCCGCCACTTGTGAGGTCTTATCAGAAAGAGGAACCCTCCATTGAAAGGTTTTTGTTGTTTTTTTAACGAAAAAATGTCAAACTTAAAAAAATTTGACAAGATTCTGTCAATTCGCATGTGGTAGGCTCATAGCGAGCGGCCTTCACAATGAGGCTCCACTGTGGAGGAATTCTCACAATCCTGGCCTTACTCTCCACTGTTGGAGCTCAACAGTGGTCTATCGCAAACATCACAACATGCGGGGTTTGCTGCTCCATATCTACATAAAGCCGATCTCTGGCTAATGGCATGCAGCTCTCTTGTCTTCTAGTAACAGTGCCAGAGGCTAATTGTTCATTGGCGGATACAAGTTGCCAATGCAAAAGTACAATTCTCCCAGCATTAACTTCGGCATGTCTGCTAGAAAATTGTACAATGCACGACCAGTTCAGTGAGTCATCGATGTCTATATTTCATGTATTTTCTAATAGTCTAGTTGTTGCGAAAGTGCAAGCTGCCACTTGCGATCTGCCGCATCCGAATCGCTCTGCTGAGCTTCTTTCTATCGCTGTTACTTTATTTGCCATAACATTTGTCTTCATCACACTGCGGTTGATATCAAGGATGTGGGTGTCTAGCACAATTGGAATCGATGACTGGATCGTTGCTCTGGCTTTGGTACGCATTAAGCTCGTAGATGAGCAGATACCTTTAGCTGGTGCTGATGGTCGTAGCTCCTATCTGTCCCATCGACTGCCTTCACGATTTCTAGTAAAAGGACCCACCTCGTTGCTAGAAACTGGCTGATTGTTTTAGTGGCAAATGAAGGCTTTGGGAAACATATTTGGGATCTTGCGGATGGCGGTCTATTGGATATTCTTAGGAGCCGTAAGTTCCCCTACCTTACCACCAAAGACGTTTTTGACTCTGGGTTAGTGTACATAGCTGAAAGTTTCTATGTGGTAACCCTCGCCTCAACAAAGATCTCCGTACTACTGCTCTACCTTCGCATCTTCCCACATGAGTCATTTCGGTATGCCGCATCTGCGACAATTGGGATGATTGCTCTGAGCACAATCATCATATTTTTCATGACGGTCTTCTCTTGTCATCCTGTTGCTTTCTTTTGGAACAAGGACATTCGGGGAGGGACATGCATTAACGTCAACAAACTGGCATACGCAAACAGTGCTATGAGCATTATCCAGGACCTTCTCATTGTCGCTCTTCCACTACCAGTGCTGGTGAAGCTGAATATGGGAAGGAAGAAAAAGATTGGAGTCGGCTTCATGTTTACCGTTGGAAGTTTGTAAGTATTGCCAAAGCTTGTTGATTTCAGACAGCTATTTAACAGAATCAAGTGGCTGTGTGGTATCCATGATCCGCCTCAAGTCCTTGCTCTCCTTTGGGAATTCACTAGACCCATCCTGTAAGGCCGCCGCACTCACAATCAAATTACAAAAGCTAACCTTCTTCCAGGGGACTATGTCAACGTTGTCATATGGACTATTGCCGAGCTCGCCGTTGCCATGGTCTGCTCATGCTTTCCTGCGATGCGAAACCTCCTCATACGCATCTACCCTCGAGCGTTCCTCTCTTCGATTCGCCATACCAACGACAAAACCCCAGTATCAATACCACAGAATTCAAACACAGGACTCAGACGTGCAAACCCTGGGCAAGAGGGCTTTGTTGAGCTTCAGCAGATGAATGAATCACAACTTTCAGACACGCCGCCGGAGGTCCCACCGAAAGAACCCTCGACGGTATACACTACAAATGAACGACGGCATTGGCCTGGGAGCTCGGGTTCGGTGTAATGTATTTGTATCTATGGTGTGTAATCGAGAGAGTAAATAATTCAAAATAGAAGCACCTCCCCAGGACTAGTGCAATGCCTTCATCTCATTGACAGGCCCTACCCTCCCCTAGCATCTTGAGACAGACCCTGATAGCGAGAGACAGATTTATTGAATCCAGCAATTTCCATCTGAGACTGCCTATTCCCGTTTGGAAATGTCGGTGGGAGACAGAAGTGTTGGATTGGGGATAGATAACGTACCCATCTCAGCCCTTATCCCGCGATTGCGTGAGTTCCAGTCAACCGTGACCTATTGTTTGGAGCCGAAGAGCCGAAGCCTGTGAGTTTTAAAGTTATGGGGCTTCGGTAAATCTCTGGAACTCCCTAGCTGAATGTCGAGAAATAGCGCTCAGTCGGATCGGGATCTGGAGGGAGTCCTTGTTGACGAGATTTCCGAGCTCGGAAGCCCTAAGCTTTTCAAAGCGTTAGAATGGCCAACGGTACAGGATGAAGAGTAAACTCCTAAATGATACAAAGGCTCAATTAAGCTGCGATTTGAAGAGGTGGACAATTGATTGACAAAATCATGGCCGCTGGATAATCAAGTCCTTCTCACTCCCAACCTGACTTCTGCTCTCAGACTTGCTCTCCACATCCTGTCTCATCGATGTCGTAATGAAAATGTCTCTGCCAAGATCGCCACTGCTGTTGCTTTCTCTCAAGTTGGGATTTCCTCTCTCATTGGCCTCCACTCTCGTCACGGTCTTACCACCAAGTTCAACATCAGTAAGTCGAATGGCTTTTGCGCTGCTGTTGATTCCGAAGATGTTGTCATGAGTTTTGGAGCGTGTGCCGCTTCGAGTTGATGCTAGAAGGTTCGGGAAAAACTTCGAGACGATGGGCTTGATTGCTGGGAGCGAGGCGCAGATAATGCCAGTGTAGACTTCAATGTTGGACCAGATGGAAGCGCCAACGTTGTCATCTGATAACCAAATCAGTGTGTCGCTCATTGAATTTAAATAAGAGAGAGAATCAGTCACTTACAAGTAGGATCTTGCGATACTGATATAACATACAGACTTTGAAGTCGCAGTACGCTGACGAGACAAACACTTTGACATAACTATCAGCCGATGAACTCCGAAGCACCATTAGGGGTGCTTACAATCCTCCCAGAGCGAAAATTATCATCAACCCAATCTTCTGTCGCCTTGGGAGTCTCAGAGATTTGAGGGTTTGTATAGGAAGAATTATGATGACAAGGTCCGTCAGAATGTTAAATGAAGCATTGAAGAACCACAAGAACTTCTTGTTGATACAATGCATGTCTGGAGTGGGAGACCAGAATGCCGAGACCGGGGTGCAGGTAAAGATGTTGGACATGATAGTCCAGAGACCATATGCTCCGACGAAGGCGAGGAATCCCCAGCAGGCGCGCCGAACTCCTTTGCTAACAAAAACACGGAGATATTGGAGGATGATTGACGCTTTGGTTAGAGTTAGAGAAGCGTTGTAAAAAATAATCGCTAGCCATAAGTACTGTACGTAAACCATCAGCTGGGTTACTTGTGGTGAAACGCTGCTGGGGAAGAATGATTACCTTCAACTGGTCTGTGAAGTCTTGTGGGTTTTTGGCCAATACATCCTCGAAATGAATCCCCTCTCCATATCTCACCTCTGGTATAATTTAGAAAATAGAATCGAAAGTGTGACTAATAGAAACAACTTACGTCTTTCAGTCATGGCGAAAAGAGCTACAGAGGAAATCTAAGAGCACTGTTAGTCCTGATTTATTTCAAGTTTTTAGGAATTGCAGGTGGGGGTAGTGGAACTTACAAATGAGCCAACGATAGCCACCTCGTCAAGACCTGAGTTTTTCAACACAACCAGTCTTGCATACACTCTCATAAAGACGCATATGGCAGCAAGTACCAGGAAGACGATACTGATGATCATCACCGTCGCCCCACGCGGATTGGAAGTCGACATCGTGTGTGTTTTCGAAGCAGTTTGCTAAGAATTAATCACACGAACTAAGTATGCTTAAGACGTAGGGAACGAACGAAGAAGACAGTTCCTTTTGATGTGGATTACGTGGGTAGATTTTTTGACTTTAGGAACGGGACCCAGGGTAACGGTACATGCGCTTTTAAGAGGGGTAAGCCGCGTCGCTCCAGATTTCTGTGCCCACTCATCTCGCGGCCGACTCGAACCCCCTGCTACTTACGAATGAGGCAGTGCCTGTGTACGGAGCACTGAAATATCGCAGGGGGCGGTCCAAGACTGACATGGGCACAGGCTGCACGTCGCTTCCCCACAACTATTGTGGGGATTCAGGATCAAATCGGGACCACCCCCTTAGGATGCATTAAGGATGGGCCCACTTTTCTAAAGTAGTGCTTGAATGCATACAAATGCCGCCGTATTCTTTTATGAGATTTTCAGCTATTTGCAGGAATTAACCGTGCCGCAGCATGAAAGCTGTGTTTGGGTAGATCGGTTGTTTCCAGCGCGCCGATTCGTCGTTGAATGAGAGGTTTTACTGCCGCCTCACTCCGAGATCCGAACTCTTTGCCAATCATACTACCCCCCTCCCCCCCACCTAAATATTTGCTATGCGTGAGGGAACTCGTAGCAAACAAGGGTGTTCCAGCCTTGGGGGATCGTACGAGAACTAACTTCCCGCGAAACTTTGCCAGGCTTTACTTTGTACTGTGCTAATCGCGTCATATCTGACAAGGTAGTGTCATGGGATAAAGCCAGCCCTGATCCCTGATGAACAATCTTAAAACATCACAAGTGCTGTCCCCAAACTGTGATATTGGTACTCCGCACTTACTGTACAGCAAAGACGATGGAATTCTTCCATTGAGGGTCAAAGCGGTGGGAGCGTTCCATCACACTGGTCAGCCCGCTCGAGGCTCATCTTCAAGGTTTTGGTGATTTTGTGCCGCATCGGGTTCGAGGCTCACAGCAGTCGAGACAGTATTGCGGCCCCTTATGCCCTCTTAAGGCCTCGAAGGCTGACGTTCATGGACCACTGGAGATTTAACAACTTGAACTTTAGTATTACTTCTTCTGCAGAAGTTCTGCCAGCACGTAGAGAGAAACCCGAGCTGTATTAACTTTTGGGAGGAACAGGAATGGCAGAAAACGCTTGCTAAGGATTGTGCTATCGAGCTGGAAGCCAGCTTCACCACATGTGCATCCTCAATACTTCGGGATGTCACTGATCTGCGACGAACGTCCATCGTGCATTGACAAAGACAGGTGCTTGTCTGCCATGTGATGATGTGCTTACCATGCGCGCAATGTTTCTCCGCCCATCTCGCTAGATGTTTGACAGATAACCGTGCGGTGGCGGGGGCGTCGTTCTACTCCGTAAACAATGTTTGCATGAGTACAGTGCTTGCTCGAGTCGTGATCAGCGATCAGCGATCAGCGATCAGCTAGGTTCATCTCTGCTTTGAGCTTTCCAGCTGAAGACAACACTGCAATTGGCTTGCCCCCCAAGGAAGTGCAAGCATCAGGGTTCGAGAATCTGGGGAATTAATTTTTCGAGGAAAATTCAAACTTTCTAGCTACAGCCGGGTATCTGCTAACCCACTTCTGTTAAGAGGGGCCGAAGCCCAAAGCTCGACAGCCGGGACCCCTGAAGGCGCCACTTCGATAGCCCGCTCCGAATCGAAGGTTATCTTCACTCCATTGGATTGAACCTGGGAGTTCGAGTCAAGACTCAAGAAGTCGAACGTTTGATCCGGATGGTTGCTTCTCATTCGTCTACGGCTCGCAACACTAGCCTCCCCGCTGCTAGATACGCAACATGCGGCGATGTTGTATTGGTCCCAGAGAACCCGTTTGCGAAGCTTTGAGGCTTCGAAGCCAAAAAAAGCCTATCTCTGCAATTCGAGAGGATTAATAAAGCGCCCAGCCTCCCTAATGATTTGGTCTGTGCAGGACGCCCGATGACCCTTTGACTGGTAACGGTATTCGCGGCTGCGGCGCCAGCAATCTTAACCTAACCACTTTACACGAAAGATTGCGAAATCGGAAGGATTCGATTTGATTCCGGCTCTAAAATGATGCTGGGAAATTGAGCGTTCCTGTTAAGGGGTTGGTGGCGGAATAGCGAGTTGGTGTGCTGCCCAAGAGATTCATTCGCGCGCACCAACCTTTGCCTCCACATTGAACCCTTTCAGTGCTGGCCGACGTGGCAGGCACGAAATGCACATACGGATGAGGCGTTGGTGGGCTGCGTATTCAAAAGGTAGGGACAAGACCTGGAGCGCCACATCTCGAAGATCGTATCCTGAGATAAGTCTTCCTGAACCCCGGACTCCTGAGTTCACTGTGAGGGAATCGAGTTCGAGGCCCTCTCATGCGAGTCTCGGAACAAGATTCGAATTGAGAGTGGAATTGGCAGTCCGTGATCCGATGAGGAATCGTGAACTCCAACTGCAGGAGCCACACTTCGCAAACCTTTGCTGCATGAGAGGAATAGAATTCTGATTGAACTGAGGTAGCATTGCAGGAAGAGTTTGCGGTGATGGGCTGCATGACACTCTGCTATCGATACACTTCTGGCTGCTTCATCAGCAGGCGATTTGAACCCCTTGTGGCCGTCTTTGTCACCTACTGAATTGGACGAGCGGTGAGAGTTTGTGAGAATCTGGGCTTTCAAGTCACAGGTCTTGAATGGATGTCCCTGCGTTGTATCGGCGTTCGCTTTTGAATAGTGTAATTTTGGACAAATAATGGGCATCAACACAGAAGATGAGGCACCAACATAGCGACCCAAAAGGCGAAACAGCTCTCACAATTGCGCGAAAATAACAGCGGGCAGGGCAATTGCCTCGTTCACGTGAAACCAAAAAGGGGGGTTGCTTAAGCGAGTTTTCGTCAAAAAGTTCTCTCCTTTTCTTGAGACAAGCCAGAGAACTATAACACTCACATTTAGCATGGCATTGGCCAATAGCAATTAGCTTGATTGTCTGCCTTCTACACTCGATCAGATTTCCTGCCCCCCCCTCTCATCAGATAGCAACAACGATGTCTACGTTTCCTCCCATCGCGTATATAAATCCCAAAAATCGTCTAGCTATCCTTCTCCCTTATCCCCGTTTCTGAAACCACCCTAAATAGAAAATCTTCTCGTCGAGATTTGCCCATCTCTCGGGCTGCTTGTCACCCATCCTCTCAACAGTCCAGGTAAAAGTTTTCCAGCGGTGCCGCTGTTCGTGGTCAGCAGTGTAATGAATAAGCAGCGAGTCAAAAGAAGACTCTGGATCTGCATGAACTTCTCCTAAACTTTCACGTCGTTGGCTCCGGTTGTGAAGTGGGTGGTTGGAATCCCACCTTTGCAGTGTACTGTCACCTCGATGAAATTCTCAAAGTTTCTCGTTGGTCGTGATTTGGGACAAGCAAGGGTATTCAGCTCGGGGTACCTGAATGCGCGATGGAATAGCTGTGGACTCACTCTGAGCTGCTGATTCAACGCGTTGAACTGGGAGTCGGGCAGAGTAAGCGTTGTGTCGATGTCTACATCTTCGAGTGTTGCGTTGCAGGCGAAGCCCCCATCTGTTCTATGGAGGACTGCCGAACCTTCCCCCACATTTAGGTCCAATTCGAGCAAAGCGGAGATTCCATATTGGGCATCGGAGCTGGATATCCGAAGTAGGTATTAGGATAAACTTCAATCTTGTGTGGTGTCGACGGTTCAGTGCACCTGGTGGGGTGCGAAGCAGTACGTAAGGGGTTGTACAGCACACTAGCTGCCGCTACCACGAGTTGGTTGGTCATCGTTCCTTCTCCAAAGTTTGCAAGGGCATTGGAGGTCGCAGGGAATGGTTTTGAAATGTCTGTTTTGCCCCAGATAAAAGTGAGATTCAAATTGGTCGGAGCAGACAGTCCGCAAGCAATTCGCGATCTTGTTACAGCCAAATTGGTTCTCAGTGATTCTGGTGCACCAGAAGTGCCCCGCTTTCCAGGACTCTGATATTGATCATGGGTATACCTGGAAATACCATATCTTGATACGTGAAACGAGGTTCGGAGATGTTCCCATGTATAATGAGACCAGCGCCCAAAATGCCTTGATCAAGATCGGCAGATGATTCTCCTTCATGCATGATACTGCTATATCTTACTTGTGCATTCGTCGCGAATGGGACATCCGCGAGGCTGAAGAGTTTGCTCACAATGATAGTAAGAAATGAGCCCAAAAAGCGCGGCGAAATTAGTTGCCGATACTGCCCACTGCATTAAAAACAAAGTGACTCTCTGGCCTTTACTACCGAAGTGCGACTTTGGAAAGCAAGTTTGGTTATATCCTGGAAACTGGCGCTGGTTGATATCTGCTATAGATCGCCAATGTCCTAACTGCAAAGTCCTGAGTAGAGAATAATGTAGCCACTCTGAACATGGCTAAGGCAGGCAAACATATCCTTAAATATCTCCACAACTTGCTTCAGAGGCACCAACAAAAGCCCATTGTTGCGTTCTGAAATGCGGAGTTCAGCTAGTAGGAGGGTGATAAGAGCTACCAAAGCGCCAAACCCGAAAACTTAGCCAGTAATATTCAATGGAAACGGATCCCAAAATACGATTTGCTTCGCGGCGGGCAAAGAGTTCGACTGTGTGCTTTCCTTGTTATCATGCCCAGTATTGGGCAATAGGTTCAACCTACGCTACCTATAACCTCTGTAGGTAGGTAACCTAACCTAAATTGATTTTATAGGTAGGTTACCTATAGGTTTATAGGTTCCGTAGGTTTAACCTACAGGTTTTCACGTGATCTTGGTATTGTTTCCGGCATCAGAATCGGTGCCTACAAAGAATTAAAAAAAAAAACTCTTAAAATACCTTCATAATATCCAGCTTCTCCTCAATTAATACCATATACTTGAGTGCTTTTTGTTGTTTTTACCGTACAAAAATAGCGCTAATCAAGCTGTGCCAAGCCCCTGAAAGGCACCCCCTTTTTTCAGCTGACAAATCAAGATGTCGAGCTTCCCAAGCGATAGCATCTTTTTCCCTGATCCCCATAAGAGCTCTGAATCTGGTTTGATTAATCAAGCGTACGAATTACTCCGGAATTCGCTTGAGAAGCTAGGGCATAATCTGTGACGGCAGGAACAAAGCAATGGAACGATGCTCAAAGATCTATGATTCCAATGTCCTACAAAATCTAAAGCTAAGGAGAGAAGGAGAGAAGTGAGGTGTGGTAGTGGATAAGTAGATATGGCCAAGACCACTGAAACGCCGAGCTTTGGAAGTGAGCTTGGTTTGAACCATAGCTTGGAACCTTAGCTGAAACCAACCATGTGACACCAGCCGTCACATAATCCCTAAAGATGACGGTTTTGATAATTTGGTAAAGAAGGATAATGGAGAAGATAACCAAGTTATAATTAGTAGTCAAGGCGTAATTTTAATTTAGTGAGAGCTTATGTGGGTAAAATAGTGGAGAAGATAAGTATAATAAAGATTCAAGGAGTTAGGGAGACTATTTGGGGTTTACTTATGCTACTAGGGTTTAACCTAGCTTGTATAAAGTATAATTAAATTATTAGAATACTATTTTGTCTTGAAATATGAAGTGCGATTAAGTATTATATTGTGGAATTAACAGGATAGCTAATTTGGCTGTATTTACGTGAAAATCATAGGTTAAACCTATACTAACCTACGACCTATATAGGTAGGTAACCTTACCTATATGAGACCTGTAGGTAAGTTACCTACATAGGTATAACCTAGATTGAACCTAAATTACCTTACCTAATGCCCAACACTGATCATGCCTATTATTGTCGTGACATAATGGCTCATGTCTGTGTTTGAATAGAACAACCTGGCTTCAAGATAGGGTTTAGGCGATTTGAGGCTAGTACTACCCTTTCCGTTCAGGAGGGAGTTGAAGCCACGGCGATAACTCAGCACAGCTGCAAACGCGATGAGAGTTCTTGGGCTGAACATTGCTTTTGGGCGCCTGGAAACCAAACTTATCAACGCAAGGGATTCCACGATAAAAGGACAAGGCGTCTTCCAATAACACGTACTAACAGCACACCCACACGTAGTCTGCTTTCCCGGATAGTAGCTGTGTCGTTTCCGGGGATACCAGTGTTACTGTCCATCAATGGTGGGTGAGCGATGATGGCAGATGTTGCTCGGTAGTATATAACTACAATATCTCGCAAAGTTGATCCTTGGGAAACTTGTTCCAAGGTAAGTTTCGAATTGCTCTGCAATAATACCCCCATGTAAGATTACATTGAATTGTCAACGAAGAAAAACTGAGCCATGCTGTTGATGGCCGAATTATCCGGAAAAGTGTCGCCAGTGTCCGTGTTGTCTACTGTAGGAATAAATTTGACAGAAGCAAAAATTGTGTCCCTGCCATGTCCCAAGGCAGCCGGCGGAGTTCAATTGAATCTGTACTGAGCAGTGGTATCTCGTTGATTTCCTTAACGACTTTTTGGATCTGGCGAGTTGACTTGCGCAGAAATTGCGTTGATCTTGGAACAGAAGCATTTTTCATGGTCCCGTTGGTACAGTCCGTACTTAATCCTGTGAAGAAAGGTTCTGCTCCTGTAAATAAGGCCCCAGAAGAAATGGCGACACGTCTTGTTTCGGGAACATTCTCATTGCAGGTCCCCCTCCCGAATGTTACCCACGAGAAAAGATTATTATTCGCCATCTCTATGTTATCATTATTGCTAGTGCTGAGAGTGATGATGATGTTGGATACGGAGACAACGGCATAAAGTATGAGGACTACAGGGCATTGGGAGACTTTTAGACCCTCGAGCGTACAGACGAAGCTAGCAAACTCGCTAAGGCCCTATTCCCAGGCCCCTCCCTTAAAAGTAGCCTATGCGCCTTTGACAAGGGCCGCCACACCTTTTCAGCACTTCTCCCCCGTACTTACAAGGGAGTCGTCGCTAAGGAGGCCTATAATCGTTACCTATTCAACGTCCAAGCGCTATAGTTACTCCACCAACAGCGCTATAACCCTTGAATATCTACTTATCCCCTGCGAATGTCATATAACGCCTCTTTATATCAATTTAGGGAGCACAGTCTAGGGTTATAGGTACTTATAGTGAGCGCTTGCCCTAAATTCGTACCCTATAGAGCACCAAGGGCCAAAATGACCTGTATTCCAGGTACTTTATGCCGTTGTCCCCGTACAGTGCATGAACCCAATAGGTAACGCAGAGTTTGATTCTCCCCCACTAGAGTGACACCAACGCCGAGGATATATTAGGGTCTGTTGGTGGTGGCGTCGTACTGATAGAATCGCTGGATACACAGCCCAGAGGCTTGAAAGTTCGACGGTTTGCAATCTAAAGCGGAGAACATGCCATCTAGTGTGGCTTGTATGAGAAAATTTGATGGGATATCTATTGTATGGAAGATTTGAAAGGCTGGCTCCGAGTTGGTGCCTTCGGGGAAATTGGCATTGTTGCATGCTGTAATTCCCAGCAAGAAGTGCACCTGGGCTTTGATTTCACCTTTTCGAGCAGGGTTGGGTTGTGGGATTTTTTGAGGGGATGGGAGGCACTGGCCTAGGAATTGTTGGGTGGGAGGGGATGGCACGATCAGATGCGTAAGGCAATATTGTCAGCAATGTAGATATTGATGCTGATCTAGTAGGACGATAACGACAGACGAAATATGACCCAAATCTATCTTGACGAGGACAACAAGAAACAGAGAACTCCAAACAAGTATCTATACACCCCCCGATGATTTTGCCTGCCTGGCCCACGCTATGCAATGACCGCCCATTACAAATGAAAATCAGAGGCCATCCAGAAAGCAGTGCTGAAGATTGAGAAGTTCAAGTAAATGACTCCCACGCCTTAGACTCTGCTACCGTGATGACTGTCAATCTACATAGAGCACCCAATATCGTAGACAACCAGGCTCTGTCCGCTTGTAGGAGCAGGGACAGATGCAGCAGCAACCGAGAACAGCTTGCAGACTGGGCTGCCTCCTGAGGTCATGGTTCCAAACTCGAAACTGCGAATATGTTAGTGGTGGGAAATGATAGTGGTGGGGAGATGACTTACGACTTGCATGAAGAGTCAGCCTGGCATTTAACTTTGCAGGCAGCTGCGCTGTTGATGTTGGATGGAGTGGAGATCGGGCTCGCGTTGTTGGTTGGGCCAGTGGGAGCCGCACCACACATGTTGGCGCGCTTGTGCTGGCCTTGGGCTGGGGTGTTGCCGGTGTTTCCGGTGTTTCCAGTGTTTCCAGTGTTTCCAGTATTTCCAGTGCTTCCAGTGCTTCCTGAAGAAGAACCAGTAGCGAGTCCCTGAGGATTCGAAGTCGTAGGGACAACGGAAGGAACTGAAGAGCAGGCCTTGTCGTAGGCAACGAGGTTTGTGCTGGCCTGTTTCGGGATTGCTGATGCAGCGACAGAGTAGAGCATGCATTCATCGGCATTGTTCACCATACCGAAAATGAAGGAGAGGCAAGCAGAGTTGGCATTGCACTGTGCGAGACAAGCGGCAGCCGTGGTAATTCCAGTTGGCTGGGACATGGGGCTTTGGCTGCCACTTCCTGATGGTGCGCTTCCGCAGGTTTGTCTCTTGTGATTGCCGCCTTTGGTGTTACCGGTGTTACCGGTGTTGGCACCAGTGGGGTTCGAAGTAGTAGGAACAACTGCTGGAACGCTGGTACACGCCTTGTCGTAGGCGATGAGGTTTGTGCTCGACTGCTTGGGGACCGAGGCAGCTGCGACGGAGTACAGCATGCATTGATCAACGTTGTTGACCATTCCGAATACGAAGGACAAACAAGAATTGTTGGCCTCGCATTGTGCTTGGCAGGCTGAGGCTGTTGTGATGCCGGTTGGTTGCGAAAGAGGAGTTTGGCTACCGCTTCCTGCTGGTGCGCTACCGCATGTTGCTCGAGCTGCGAGTTGGATGGGAGATGCGGAGACGCCAGCAACGAGAGCTGAGGCGGCGAGGATGGAGGTGAATGATTGCATGTTGATGGAGGAGGATTGGAGGATGATTTCGAGGGTGTGTTGAGGTAACAGATGATAAGAAATAGACGCTATTGAAAACTCTGCGAATAGGAAAAACCTAGGAGATCGAGGAATGAAAAGCTGACTATGAAAGTAAAGATGATGATGAGGGTGAAGAGAGAATATTTAGAAGAGATTTCATCTTGACTTTATAGGTTTTCTTCACCCCATTGTTTTGCTTCAGAACCCACCGAAATGTTATTTTGAGAATATCCCAAAGCTTCTGAGCATTGGTGATATGTTTGATGTTGACTCGCGGACGGGAAAACGCGTCGGAGATGACGTGAATGCTCAGCCCAGCAAGAGGATGACAATTTCAATCTCCAGACTACGGAGATATACCCGATTCTGATTGTGGGGAAGACTGCAGTGGCTTGATTGGCCATGGTTGGTCGAAAGGAGGTGAACAACCTGCGTAGGGCAGACGCTGTGGCATAACGTCTTCCCCTGAGCCCTGAGGCGATCACGCAACACGCGTTAGGTTATGCTAGGACCAAAATAGCCTTATTATCAGACTTACGCCAATCTGGTGGTTTGAAACAAGCTCTCATCCAAAGAAGAATGCGGGGCCGCACTGCTCAGCCCCAAAAATACCCCGACAGTCATGCGTTTCGCATCACACGTGACCGGGACATCTCCGGATTGGAAATGTTTCGTTTCAATAGAAGGACAGTTTTATTAACTGTTCGTGATATGGGGCAGGGGGATACGTTGGCTTCACTCGAAGCCACGCAGTTTTGAAGAAATCATAGGTCTGAACAGCGGTTGACCCTGTTTCGAAAGCACATTCTCACCCCAGCACCAAAGAAAGCAGAACATGACATTTTTCTTCACCACAGAAATTCTTTTGCTAAGCAACTGCTGCCAGTTCTTCGTGACGATCATGGAAAAATCATAGGTTCTAAATCGGGCGAGCAGCAATTTCAGAGATTGCTCATGCAATTGCGAACGGTGGGGCCGAGACACATGATGCGAGCTGTCAAAACCTTCTAGAAGTCCTGCGTGCATTGAATATGACGATCACTAGATATCCCCTGCAAGAATCGCAGAAGGTCTTGCTGTGAGGCAAGAATTCGTCGCCCATCCACTTCGAGGGAGAATTCTTCAGAGCACGTTTTCGTCTGATTGATGGGATGCCCGGATGAATGCCCCTCCAGCAATCTGTAAGCTCGTCAAGTCGTGAGGGGGCATGCGAAGACTGAGAAGAGGCCGTGCGGGCAGGCTGTGGGGCCACGTAAGTGAGGGTGGACTCATTGAGTTCAGTTGAGTTCAATTGCCCATAAGGAACTTTGTTGAAGTTGAGAAATCATACAGGAGTAGTTGGTTGGACGAGCACCGGGAAAACTAAACTCCATCTCCGCTGGTCCCTGACAGGGGTTCACGACCCCAGTTTCCGCCTGGCAGCGATGTGAAATTTATCCTCAACCTCACCAACAGATCTCTCTCTCCACCGCCAACCATCGTCAACTTCCCAATTCGTGACAATGGCACCCGTTACCGCCCCACAAAAAAAGACGCTCGGAAAAGTCCTCGTAATCGGCGGCTGCGGCTTCCTAGGCCACCACATCGTGGACCTCCTCCTCGAATCCTACAAGTGCACCATCTCGGTGCTCGACCTGCGCACGACTCGCAATCGCCGTCCCGATTCCGACAACGTGCAATACTTCGACAGCGACATTACCTCGCTCTCATCCATTCTGCCGATCTTCGAGAAGATAAAGCCAGATATCGTCATTCACACAGCGTCTCCTGTGGCCGTTGGCGAGAGCTCCGAGAGCAAGGCGAAGCTGCGCAATGCGATGTATAAGAAGGTCAACGTGGATGGGACACAGTGTGTGATTGAGGCGTGTCAGAAGACGGATGTCAAAGGGCTGGTGTACACCAGCTCTGCGAGCGTGATTAGTGATACGGAGACAGATTTGGTAAATGCTGATGAAAGATGGCCTGTTGTTCCGGCGAAGAACCAGAAGGAGTATTATTCTACTACTAAGGTATTCCCCCTCCCCCTCCCCTCCCCTCCCCGTCCAACCCAATTCCAATTCCCACCTCCAGCCTCCGTGACTCTCAAGACTAACGACATTAACAGGCAATAGCAGAATCCCACGTCCTCGCCGCAAACCGCTCCCCTACCTCCCCCTCCCTCCTAACCTGCGCTATCCGCCCCGCCGCCATCTTCGGCGAAGGTGACGTGCAAGTAATCCCCGGCACCCTCTCCGCCTACACAACAAACAAAACCGGCTTCCAGCTCGGCGACAACAACAACCTCTTCGATTTTACTTACGTGCGCAACATCGCACACGCCCATTTACTCGCCGCCTACGCGCTCCGCGTAACCTCGCAGACCTCCATCGCCCCCTTGGACCACGAGAAAGTAGACGGTGAAGTGTTCATCATCACGAACGACCAGCCAGTGTATTTCTGGGATTTCGCACGCGCGGTGTGGAAAGCGGCGGGCAATCAGAAGGGCACCGAGCATGTGTGGGTTATCGGCAAAGATGTGGGACTCGTGCTGGCGACGGTTGTGGAGTGGGGGACCTGGTTGGTGGGCAGGGATACGCCGTTCAAGAGGCGGATTGTGAGGTTTAGTAGTATGACACGGTATTATGATTGCTCGAAGGCGAAGAGGAGGTTGGGGTACCGCCCGATTGTGAGTTTGCAGGAGGGGATACAGAGGGCGGTGGCGTACTGGCTGGAGGAGCAGAAGAGCGAGGGGGAGAAGAAGGGTCAGTAAGGTTGCCCAATGGGGAGAGTATGAAAAGGGTTTACTTCTTCTTGGTGAGATATTGTGCTGTACATTATTGATATAATCCAGGTAAATGGCAGGAACATAATGAATTAATAAGCCGCGACTCTCGGCGTTTGAAAACGGTTAGCACAACCCTTGGAGGAGTGGGAATGGCAGTTAACTGGAAGGGCCACTCTCGGGTTTCCAGTCCCAAAGTGAATCAATCACCTTCTCCACGATTTTGCTGCAAATCGTACTCAATGTTGCAGATACATTTGGTACATTGACACTCCACACTCTAAATGTGTTCCGAGATTCACTCAACGTCGCCACCAAAAGCTCACGCAGAATGAATGCTTTAAAACGAATCTCATGAGGTGCAAAGGTCAGAATCCATTCTCACTAATGCACAACGCTGAACGCCATCCTATTTCCCCCGATCCCCCATCCAGCCGAAAATAAAGCACACTCCAGACCAGTAAACCCGGTTAGCCATCGTATATCGTCATCTTATCTGCTCCCGACCAGAACTTCATTGAGTCCAGTCGAAGAACCCCACAAAGTTCAAATTCCCTACGCCAGCATGCCAGCATGACCGCAAATGCACTCTGGTTTTGCCCATTCAACGAAGCATGAAAAACAGAAACGCTAATCTCAAATCGAATCGCTACTTCGCATGTATCTGTATCTGAGGAAGGAAAAAGGTTGGGTGGTAAATGTGCACACTGAAGTGAAAAAGTCTTCGGTTTTATTCCCTGATTTTTGTAAGCAGTGAGGCGAATGGTTTGGTGGACAGGCGGATAGGCTTACTCCATGCTTCGCTGAACCGCTCTGCGCAACTTGCGGTTGTACATCTTCTTGTCGTCCTCTGAACCCCAAAACAGCTTGGCAGCTTCCGGATTGACAAGTGTTCTTGGGTCGTAAGGCGGTGATTCCTCCTCCAACGCCTCAATAATGGCTTCGATATGTGACTTGACATCCTCTGCTCGCTTCGCCGTATAGCAAGGCGTGCCATCAGATGCGATGCGGTGGTGGAAGAGCTGTGTCTCGAACCGGGCTCTGGGTTGTTCCTCGGGGAATCGCGGACTGAAGAACAGCTTGATTCTGAATAGACCGCCATCAAGGTTCGTCATCGGACGTCCGAAATAGGTGATGGCCCAAACGAATGGATTCTTGTCAACCAGTTCGATGTCGAGAGTGACGTTCTTGTCGCGCTTGTACGACTCCACGACCTGTTCATACTGTCGTTGCAGGTTTGAAGCAACACCGCTTTCCTTCTTTTTGGAAGCCAAGCCTTCTGCAGCCCATCTTTCGGTCTCCTCGTCCATGGTCTTTCGAATGAGCCTTAGACGGCGCTCGAGTTCTGTATAATTGAACTTCCCATCCATTCCATTTCCCGGGCACTCGAAAGGCATGCGCGTGAAGTTTTGTCCATCAGTGACTTCGGTCTTGGCCTTGCTAATCGCTAAGAGGTAGGAATCGTAATACCAGAGGAAGCGGCGTTTGCAGAGATCCTTGAATGGATCGAAGTGTACAGAAGCCTCGTCGTATTCCTCTCGGTCGACCTCACTGCTATCGAAATCTCCATCACTGTCATCAATCATCAAGGACACCTGCGGTTGGACAGCACCCGATGGTGAGATGCCAAGGTATTCTTCAAGTCGTTGTATGACGGAGATTCTGAGGGTTTCGTGGCGGATCTAGGGACCTGACTTAGCCACAGCCATAACAAGAGGGTGAAATTTATTTACCTTCGCAACATAGTCCTTTTGATTTTTCTTGTCGCCCTCGTCGTTTGCTGTCTCGAAACCGGGCTCGTTCTCGTAGGGATTTGAGGACATAAGACTTTGGATGGAGATCAAAATGGATTCCAGGCCTTGCGCCGAAGACCACTCCTCTCCTCGTTCACCTCGCCATGTACTATTGAATTGTTAGCTGGTGCTCATTGCCTCTTGTCAAATTGCCCTTACCCAAGAATTGATCTGAACCCCAAGTTAGTAGCGCACAGAAATTTCGCGGATGGACCAACTTACAAGCAGACTTTCCCTCCTGCGTAGATATTAGGATTGTACCGACATCTTCCTCCATTCGTGGTCGTTGCAGTCACCGCTGGTGCCTTGCCCGGGTAGTCTGGATCTTCAGCTTAGCAGATGTTCGTCGGCAACTCGAAAAAATCGTACCTTTGCCAAATCTGACAGAGAACTAGGTATAGATTAGCATATGGCTATATTGCGCCACGTTGTTTGACAAACCTCGAAGAAACCAAACTCGTATGGGGTATCAGGAGGACCGACGATGATTGCCTTCACGTTACGGACATCGACATCTCGGCAAGCGACTGCAAGGGCTATGCAAGATCGTATTAGTATTCCTCTTCGTCAGATAGCAGAGAGGTCGCCTGCTGGGGGTACCTACAGAGGTCGGAGGACTTTTGGAGGTCAGACAGCTCCTATAATGTGCGTCAGCCTTGCGACCCCACTACTGCTCCTGCGCCCAACATACCCTTGTGATGCGGATTATCGAGTGGTTTGACATGGTGATGTCGATCGCGGATCAGGCGAGCTATGCGGATATCTGTGTTTCTTGTGATGGTTCATAAGGTGATCGGGGATGGCGAGGTACAAGGAGGTTGCGGGCGTGAAGTGGGCTGCGGGAGGGTCGAAAACGAAAAGCCGTTCGTCAGAACAAGGCAGGCAGGCGCGTCTGGCTCGCTTCAACAAATTTCAGCCTCACTGGGAAACTCTATTTTTAGACTGGGACTTTTCCACTTCCGCATCATTTTTTTGAGAGGATTCTTTGGTAAGTACAAATTTCCTTTGCTGGAGAATGTTATTCTTCACAAGTTCTGTACGTAACCCATGTTTCTATTACTGGATACAAGCCTCAGAATTGATATTTCAAAGCAGACTGGACTTCCCAGACAGGGGTCTGATCCTTCGCCTCGTGACTTGCTCCTGTAAGCCTTCAAGTTGCCGCTTATGGCAGTGCTGGTCGTTGTGTTTTCCTGAAAGGGAAGCATATCTTCCTTTCGCCTTGAACTCCGATCAAGATTAGGTGAGAGTCGCTCATCTTGCTATTTTGCAGCCGAGTCGAGGATTCCAGGAATGCCACCAGAGCCTCCCAGGGAATGCTCAACCGCGAACGTGAATACGGTCTGCGATCTACACGAGTTTCCAATATGTTTAAGCAAATCTGATGTGTTAATATTCTATTTTTCCTTGATCCAGCATCACTTTTACTGGCTGCCCTGAAGCATTGTCTTTTCGGGACGTTCATCGATTTTCCATGCCTCAGGCACCAAATTCCAAATCGCCCTGGCCCTGAATTAACCGCGAAGGAGCCCATACACCGCAGTATATCCATCTCCAACCTAGTCTCTGCTCTCTTCAGCGCGCCCACCGAGCACCCGCAGACAGCACTCTTACCTGCTTTTGATGCGAATAATAACGACTCAGAAGCAACGTGCCAACTTCGACAGTCGCAAGCCCCCTCGCTGGCAACTCGAGATTATCCCCCACACCGACATCCACGCGACCAGCACACACGCAATCGGGCACGAATAGCCTTCTCGCTACAGTTCACAGCCTCATATTGATGCAACAGTGAGAGCAGGAGGCATTCTTAGGAATCCTATTGCTGCTCCTGGTGGATGGTTGCCGTTTCAGATCCTGCGGGCTGGTGGTTCCTCGATATTTGAGTCGCCAACTCACAATCGCATGCGAGGCAAATTTATTGGCTCATTGCGACTCGACGACTTCGAAATACTGTACAGATTCCGCTATCAAGCCCGAATCGTCACCGTACCCGTTTGCTCTTCAACACCTCCACGCTGGCGACTCCTACTCGAAGAGAACGATCCAGGAGTGCAACCGCCCTTCGGGAACACCCTGGCACCAGAGCGATACATTGACTCGGGACCACAGGAGGGATACAGGATTGATCTTCGATGATGGGCCCTCAATCAGAGGGACACCCATCCGGTGATGGGCGCGGCTTTGGGGGCCACCTACAACTAGAAGATGGGAGACGATATCAATCAGACAGAGAGGTCGGCATGCAGGATAGATACCAATCAGACAGGGATGTTGGGATGCAAGACCGCTTCCAGCAGCCACAAGGTCGATATCAGTCGGATAGGGACATCAATATGCAAGACGAACCACTTCCCATGCCTGGCGCATTTGCACCAGACTCTCGACTGACCGCGTCGCCCTCGGGAAGTGCCAGTGGAAAGGAAAGAGATGGCGAACCCAGAGCTAGTGGAGAACGACGGAATCGGAACGGGAGAACAGCGTCAGGGCAGCTTAAGGTGTGCAAGAAGTGCGGGGAACCACTGACTGGCCAGTTCGTCCGCGCGTTGGGCGGCACATTTCATTTGGACTGCTTTAGATGCCGGGTACGTATTCTTGCTATGCTTGCCAGAGACCGCACTCGCTGACTACATGGCACTTTAGGATTGCGGGCAAATAGTAGCCTCGAAGTTCTTCCCGGTCGACGAAGAGAACGGTGAAGGACAATACCCCCTGTGCGAAACCGATTACTTCCGAAGGCTGGATCTCATATGTCATAAATGCAATGGAGCGCTCCGAGGATCATATATCACAGCACTGGATAAAAAGTACCATATTGATCACTTCACGTGCTCCGTATGCCCTACGGTTTTTGGAGCGCAAGACAGCTACTACGAGCACGATGGCCAGGTCTATTGCCATTTCCACTATTCAACACAATTTGCCCAGCGCTGCAATGGATGTCAAACTGCGATTCTCAAACAATTCGTGGAAATATTCCGGAATGGTCAGAATCAGCACTGGCATCCTGAATGCTACATGATACACAAGTTCTGGAATGTGAGGCTTGCCTCGTCGGAAGATAGCGAAGAAATTCAACGGCGGCTGGAAGATACGACCGACGAGGAAGGAAGAAACCGAGTGAAAGAAGAAGAGGAAAGAATGGAGGAGAAGGTGTACCGAATCTGGAGTGTTCTGTCAACATTCGAAGAGTCCTCAGCGGCATGCATATCAGACATGCTCTTGCACGTCAGCAACGGTGCATATATGGATGGGGTCTTGGTTGCAAAGAAGTTCATCTGGCACGTCGATATTTTGTTCCGATCTGCGGACAAACTTGATGCCACCATGACAAAAATCGGACCAAAAGGTACGTATCCCTTTCCATACTGGCGAAACCCCGTATCTTACAATAACAGGGCTGTCCTACTCAAGAGAGGCAAAGCTTTTGTGCAAGAAGATTGTTGCATTCTTCTCCTTGCTCTCAAAGACACAAGAAACTGGTGTCCGAAAACTTGGCGTTACACAAGAGCTCCTGGCCTTGGTAACCGGCTTGGCTCATTACCTAAAGCTCTTGATCCGAATTTGTCTTCAAGGAGCTTTGAAAGTGGAACGGGAGCAGAACAACCCCAGTTGTCTAAATGAATTTTTGGCCGATCTGAGCGATATGGAGGCGATAAAGAATGATGATCGTTCACTTGAGGCCACTGCCGGCACCCCTGGACCTTCTTCGGGTAATTCCGACTATTGCTCCAGCTGCCGCCGATCTATTGAAGACGAATGCGCTCGCTGTGGTGAAAGAAGGTGGCATTTGGCATGTCTACAATGCTCCAATTGTTCACGAGAACTTGGCCAGAATCTTGAAGATGCCCGGTGGAGCGAGAAGGATCAGCGAGTATACTGCAACAACTGCGAGAGTAGAGTCTTCCAGCCCGTCAGTGGATTCGAGCGTATCACCAGGTTACAACAATACGTCTTCCTGTTGAGAATTGCACTTGCAAGGCTTTTAGAGATTCTCAGAACCAGTGGGACACTCCCTCACACATCTGATGACCCAAACTTGAATGGGTACAATTCTGCTGAAGGTCATCGACTCGACTCACAAGCAGAACCTCCACTGTTGAGATCGGATACCCGCTCAAAATCGTACGGCGGGAACGCAGATGACAATCAAGTATCATCTTCATACGAAAGCACACTCAATGACGTTCGTCGTCTGAGGAGTACACGAATGGACAAGCATCTCTCTTCCACCATCAGGAAAGCAAGAACATCTCGCATTATGGACGGGCCTGAAAGTCGAAGTGCGAGACCTGGATCACCAGGGACTGAAGGGCCGGATTCAAAGAATGCCGGCTTCCAAATAGTGGAGGAGCGTGACAGTAACGGGGAGTCACGGACGGAGCTAATGTTCGGCCATCAAGATGCCCTCACCCTGGACGATATCCCGAGAATTGTGGCGGCAGAACAAGCCAAAGAACAACGGCCCAATGCATACAAGCACGCCCGCCACGAACTTTTCAGGACTTCCATTACTGAACCCAAGCTTCTAAATGGCCACCAACGTACTTTCTCCAATGGGAACGGCCTCGATGCGCCAACACCTGGGGAACCTTCTCCTCAACGCCTCGATGTTGGAAAGAAGTACTTTTCGGAGCTGTCTGCCTTAGAATACTTCATCGTTCGTCATGTTGCTGTGCTTGCGATGCAGCCGCTCTTGGAAGGTCATTTCACTTTGGAGGAATTACTTAATTTGATCGAGGCGAGGAAACCAACTTTCTGGAACAAGATGGGCAAAGCGTTCAAGAACGATGGGAAGAAAGGAGGCAAGAAGAAGGGAGTCTTCGGTGTACCTCTAGAAGTCATCATCGATAGAGATGGTGCAGATTCGACTGATGGTATCGGCCCAGGTGCTTTGCGGATACCTGCGATTATTGATGATGCCGTCACCACAATGCGGAAGATGGATCTTTCGGTGGAAGGTGTTTTCCGGAAGAACGGGAACATCAAGAGACTGAACGAGACCATGGCAGCTATCGACAAGGATGGATGCGATGCGGTGGATTTTTCCAAGGAGAACGTTGTGCAAATTGCAGCATTGCTCAAGAAATACCTTCGAGAGCTACCCGACCCAGTCCTCACTTTCAAACTACATCGACTTTGGATTGCTGCCCAAAAGATTGGGGATGAAGATAAACGCCGGCGCGTGCTGCATCTCACTTGCTGTCTACTACCGAAGGCTCACCGAGACTGTCTGGAGATTCTTTGTGCTTTCTTCAACTTTGTAGCTTCCTTCCATGAGGTTGATGAGGAGTCGGGATCGAAGATGGACACACATAATCTCGCCACAGTTATTGCGCCCAATATTCTCTTCACGAACGCCAAAACTCCCGTCGATGATAATTTCCTTGCAATCGAAGTCGTCCATACTCTTATCGAGTATAACGACCAGATGTGTGAAGTAGGTTCATCCAAATTTTCGTCCCCAAAACTTATTGCTAATGTTTTCTAGGTTCCCGAAGACCTTCGGTCGATCTTAGCGGATCAAACCTTGTTTAATAATCCTAGTGACATTACGACGAAAGAAATCCTCAAGCGATATGGAGACATTGGCACTAACGGTGGACCTCGGCGTCAAGTTGAAACAACAGAACAGTCGCCCTTGGGACGTTCTAAAGACGGGAGCGGCCGAGCCCTGGCACCAGTGGTTACTCGAGTTGACACTGATCCTTCTCAAGCCTACGCCTGGCAGAAAGAGAGCAGTGTTCGACATGTCCAGGAACCACCTGCACCTTGGGGTGGAACCTCTAACCAAAACACTCCTCCATCGCAGCAATGGCAAGGCCAAGATCTCGAACATCCATCGCCATACTCTCAACGGAATGGTACCCCAGACAGTCAGCAAGACAACCCAAGGCGAGACTACCGCAATTCTGGATGGGGTCGAGCACCGAACGGTTCAGTTGGCGTCACAGGAGCTGGTTGACACATCCACCTTCGTCACATAATGCATAACGTATATTCACTTCTGTTCAGCGCCGGGCGCTAGATATCCACGACCATAGTACCAAAAGAGAACGGGTCACTCTACGACCCAGTCACGGCCGATCTCGTTTCCTCGACCAAAAATCTGATTTCCTTCCAACAAGTTTCTACATTTGACAAAAACCCATTTGAAGCATTCACCCACGGCGTTTTCATTTTCCCCTTCAATCGGCAGAGGATTTGCACGTATCGGCAGTTGTGCTGAAGATTTGTATGTTGTCTATTTGATATGGCGCTTCCTTCGAGGAGCAGCAAGGTTCGTTTGGAGTACATGGTTCTGGCATCTTCGGGGGTGTTAACTTGAATGAAGCCTTCTGGGTGCATCATAGCGAATGGTGATGCTGTTCCCCCCCCCCCCCCCCCCCCCCCCCCCCCCCCCCCCCCCCCCCCCCCCCTTTTCCGATTTTCCTTTCTTCGAAACGGATGTCTATAGGCTCGAGTCCAGAGATAGAAGATCAACCAATGGAAGAGGAATTACAAAGATCCCGTTCATTACTAATGCTTGTACTTGTCGGTAGTCGTGAGGTTCGAAAGCAAGACCCACCTGTTGACCCTGGAAAATGTATCCCCAAAATCTGAAGCAAACCTTAATCGAGACAAAACTTTAACGACCAACCACGTTTTCACCCTTCCTGCACACGCACTTAGCACCTCGACTTAGACTCAATCAATTTTTGTTAAAGCAACTTTGGTTTCTTTATTCCGAGTTCCCGTCGCTCGGGCAGATTTTATATCATCCCGCATTTGAGTCAATTTTGATTTCAAAGCCGATGATGCCATGCGCGGGGCGTTCCCCACTACTACGTATGAAATATAACCCCACCTAAAAATCACTTTCCCAGTACGACATCCCACCTCTTCCAACACCTTTTTCCTCTCCATCCATTCCAATCTCATTTCCTTCAACTCAACTTCAAATAAACAGTGAAGGGAAGGAACAATGCCACCAATCCGCGTCGGGTTTCTCGGCCTCTCCCAATCCGGCTGGGCACCCGGTGCTCACCTCCCGTACCTGCAAGCCTCACCCGACTACGAAATCGTCGCTATCTGCAATAGCTCTGTTGAATCTTCTAAGAAGGCAATAAAGTTGTACTCGTTGTCTGATGCTACTAAAGCTTATGGGGATCCTGAAGGTTGGTCCACATTCACACTTCGGTGTTGGAGGGAGCCGAACACGTGACTGACGAGGGGTTTTCCTAGAGCTTGCGAACGATCCAAACATTGATTTAGTTGTGTGTAGTGTGAGGGTAGACAGACATTTGAAGACGATTAGTCCAGCTTTGAAAGCGGGCAAGGATGTCTATGTTGAATGGCCTCTTGGCAAGAGTCTTGCTGAAGCGAAGGAACTGCTTCGTCTCAAAAACGAAGGAGGTGTGAAGAACGCTGTTGTGGGATTGCAAGCACGACAAGCACCGCTTATCAAGAAAGTTAAAGAGATTATTGAGAGTGGAAAGATTGGCGAGGTGTTCAGTTCAACGTGGGTTGGGCAGGGAAGTGTGGGTGGCGAGGTGACGACGGAGGGATATGAGTACTTGACTAGAAGGGACGTGGGCGGGAATTTGGTGACGATTCACTTTGGACATGCGATCGACTTCGTGCAATCCGGTAGTTCCCCTTTTCTCCCAACCCAAAAGTCCAACTGACAATAGAATGAGTGCTGGGATACGGCTTCCAAGCTCCTCCGAAGACGTTGCTTGCCAACCGACGGAAATTTCAGAAAATACTTGGCAGCGATGGGAAAGTGATTGACGAAAAACGCCCAAAGACTTCAGACGACACCATCTTCCTACACGGTACCGTCTCCTCCGGCATTCCGCTCTCCTTCTCCCTCCGGGGCGGCAAACCCTTCCCTGGTATCCCAGGCATGGACTGGACGATCCACGGTGAAAAGGGGACGATTCGCATCACGTCCCCGACACCGTTTGTGCAAATCGGGTATGAAGGGATGAAAATTGAGGTTCAGGATGGAGAGGGAGAGAAGGTTGAGGTTGCGGAAATTGTGGGCGATGAGTTTGATGGGTTTAAGCATCCGGCGAGGAATGTGGGACGGTTGTACAAGGGGTTGAAGAACAGGGAGATTAATTGTAGTTTTGAGGATGCGGTGGACAGGCATGCGTTGATTGAGGAGATATATCGGGAGAACGGAATCCAGGAGTAGAGAGGTTAGATGAGACAACAAGCCAACTGGCGAAAATGTCAGCTGTGACTTCCTTAAATGTAATGATGTTCTTGATGAATTTCAAACTAGAATGTTGAGAATTTAGGCCAGATGATGCCAAAGCTAGCGAACGTCAAAGTGATATCTTCGGACGTAGATTATGAAAAAGGCCATTCCAGACTCAACGGATTACCTGAGATCCTTACAAAGCTGCGATCTAGATTTCGGCGGGTAGATCACCCGCAGTGTGGGGTGTCTCACGCGCAGTGGCGACGAGCAGGTATAAAATGCGGGGTCGATCTTCGACAGTGGACCCCACCATCCCAACTAACTCACAGTAACAGCATCTCAAAACACATCACGAACAGCAAACTCAAAACCAAATCAGCAACGCGATGCCACCCAAGCTCGGCCAAATCGTCGAAACAATCCTCTACACCTCCGACGCCCAGAAGCTCGCCTCATGGTACACGTCTATCTTCTCCCTAACCCCTTTCCTCTCCACGCCAACCGTAGTCGGTTTCTCACTTCCCAATAACACGATCTTGCTCCTCTTCTCTCGCTCTTCTACTACCGCCGACAAAGTCTTCCCCAGCGGAACGATTCCCAAACATGGATGTGAGACGGGTTTAGGACAGCATATGGCGTTTGCGTGTAAAGACAGGGAGGAAGTGGAGGAGTGGGAAGCGTGGTTTGAGGAGAATGGCGTCGAGGTGCTTGGGAAGATGGAGTGGGAGAGGGGTGGGAGGAGTGTTTATGTTAGGGATTGGGAGGGGCATGTTATTAAAGTTACGACAAGGGGGGTTTGGGAGGTTTATTGAGAGGGGGAATAGGGGAGACTTGTCGAGAGTGGCAGTGGGTAAGAATGAGAAAATAGTTAGGTGGTTATTATTACCACTATTGAGATTATTTGTTACTAAGAGCATTGAGCAATTCAAGTAATTCCGTCGCCAACAATTCCTGACCCTGATCGACAGCTCGTTGCATGTCTTGGAGTCTGCTGGCGCTCCATCTCTGTAGAGTCTTCTTACGACGGCCTCCAAACCATCTGCAGCTGTCTACACATCCAATTACAACATGCAGTGCATGAATTGCCATCTAAATCCTTATCAGCAACCTTAAACCCCCTTCTGAAGAAAGATAAATATGATTCTTATAAGAGGGAACTGCACACATAAACCAGAATTCTTGCCAGAGTGTACTGGGACAGTTGCGCGTAAACATACCCAACGCTGCGAAAAAGAACCCAATCGCCATAGCATTCTCAAAAACTACAATCGTACCAGAATGACAGTCAGACTCCCACCTCTTGGCGATTATAAGGCCCCTCTGTCCACGCAATATTTCATGACCCAATTTGAATATGTTTTGGGAGTAGGAGTGGAAGAGGTGGTTGACCGATTGTTAGAGCTACTTTGATGTTTTTGATTTTAATCTATAATGATACGGATTCGAGATGGCCGTGCTGCACAGCATCCAGGCAGCATGTTTGTGGCAGTGCTTAGTGTTATTATTAACCAAAACGAAACCAATGCTTTAGTAGCGGATAAACTGGCCCCTACCAAGCTTCTGGGACGACCGCACTCTCATCCCTAGGGAAAGTGATATGATGGAGATGCAGCTCGAAGTTCAAATCAACCTTAAGTTTTTTCTTTTCCGTGTCAGTAAGTTAGATGATGGTTTCATTGCAAGCCTGGACAAGGAGCCCAAGTAGATCAATCTTCCTTATTCTCGTCTTAGAAGTTGTCAAGCCTTGCGCCCAGCGCTGGAAACGAGGCTACATAATGGTATTCGGGATGGAAGTTACTTTTGATAACAAGCTGTCTCAGATGGGATAAATAATTTGAGGAAGGTGATGCAACGTAGTCGGAAGGTGCTGAGGTTTTACAAGGGCTGGTCTCCAGCAACTCTGGTACACCTCGCTTAAACGTTCGCTTCAGTTGGACTGGAGCTTACACCGATTTGTCTTATGGAAATTTGGGACTTGCTCTTCTTGGTACCTGCTTTCAACGTAGTCCCAAAGGTCTTTTAATTCTCATCCCGTTAGAAGATGAAGGGCCAGAAGAAAGCAGATACTGAAACACTCTATCCATGGCATAGTCAGTGATCGAAGGATTGAATGTTACAATGTAGCGAGACCAGTTGTCATGAATTGCAACTTTGCCTCTCTCAATGCATTTGCCAATCTCCAAATCGAATTGGCGGGTGAAACCCCCATGCCGTACATGTCTTATTCACGTAACAACCCCCCTTTCTCCTTTTCGCTTAATTCGCTTAACATAGGAGTCTAGGTAAAACCTACTGGCACTAATCGGCAACGATGTCTCACCCTCACCATATTCCAGAAGCCTCAATAAGAGAGAAATACTAGTGAGGATGAACATAATGTGTTCGTCTGATAAGGTTCGTTGGACAGTGCTATATTTTGATAGTCCCCAAATTTGTACGTGCAATTTTAACACTTCCCTCTTCTATCCAATTGTTTTTGAGGTAGAACAAGAGAGACATCACCTCCCCGGCAACGACTGAGCGTTGCATACTCGCCCTGGGCTCCTTTCGAAAGAACCGACCAGGGTAGATTTTCGGAGCTAACTTCGGTTACCCTAGTAGGCAGGAGACTTTCTTTTTTCGAAGAGTAATTTTCGCGTCTTTCAAGATAGTTCGAGAGTTAATTTCATGCGATAGTGAAGCTGTAATTCGACCTAAGGTCAGGATCAAGCCGACTACGGCTACGAAGGCGCGCGGCATTAAAGACCGTCCCTGTTTCAGAAAACGCCAAGAATGCCCAATCATCACAATAATTCCGCACGATATTATAATTTCCCAAATGCTAGTTGCAATTTTAGAAAAGAATCTATAAATATTAGAGAAATTTGATTAGAGGGTTAATAATAAAAGTAGGTCCTAGTGCTCTAAATCCCTCCCTTGCTTTGGAGATGGACGGTTTTCATTGCCGCGCGCCTTCGTAATATATTGAGCACTAGCGTATTTTGGTGCATAGTCTCTAGAAACCATCAGGACCAGCCTTGACAATGAGCGTGCTGTATTCGGTGAAATGAGACTCACATGGATAAATCGTGATATTTAGAATTACAGGCGGCAATGCTGTGGGCACACGGAATCGCTTGCCTGAGAGAACTGATAATCCCCAAACCGGGCCAAGTTGCACAATCATAACATCCAGCGTCCGTATAAGAAAAACAATATCACCGTGTTCTCGCCCAATTGAGCTAATGGCAATCTTGACGTCCGTATTCTCGCTGCCTGTGATTGCAGACAAGACTGATTTGTCGATCTCAGCGTTATTTTCATCAGCCGTTCTTAAGGTTGGCAATGGCCCCGAAGCATCTACTTCCTTGGACAATTCACGACAATCACGGCAGATAAGATGAAACAGTTTCCAAAAATCCTCCGCCGACGTCACTGGATTTTGAAAAGACGCATGGTGCGACCGTTGGTAGAAGGCGGTTGGTAGGAAACTCGGTTTGCGTATTCGAGCATAGCGAAGTCCTTCAACTCCTTAACTGTTAGCTTATCGCAAAACGAGTAACGCATCATGCCGGCGTAATTCTGCTAGATACTAGAAGCTACGCCAGTGAGACAAGGATATTTTTTGGAGCCTGAAGCCAAGTCTATTTTTAGTCAATTAATGAATCATGTGGGAAATAATGCATCTCAATCACAGGGTCAGTGTCAGAGAGATGTCTCCCCGTAAACTTGAATATGAAAGACATATATAATTAGTAAAGCCTGAGAAGATGGAAGACATACGCAAGCTCTAAGGCGGCTTCCATGTGCTATTGCAACTCTCACATGCTCACAATCTCACAATTTCAGGGACCGTGGAAGCTTGTGGTTCCTGCAACAGCCAGGTTCCTTCGATGTATTTTAGCAATTACCGACAAGGCATACAGACACGGCGAAGTGCAGTCGTAAGGCTGAAGAGTGCAGCAAGGAGAATCATATCGTTTGGAGTCACATTTGATCTGATTTTAAGGCGGTCGAGCTTGCGGTCAGAAGTTTGATCGGCGCGCTTTGCAATTCACAGTGAAAGCAGCAACACTTCCTTCCTCTTGTCCTTCCTCCTTTTTCTATTTCTCTATCAGATTTTGTCCGAGATTCTGCATCTCTGCTCTGTTTATTAATACCTGTTCTTTTGTTCTTCGCTCAAAAATTGTTCAACAGCAAAGTCACCAAAGGCGCAGGGGCTGCTGGCGATGTCAGCAAGGCTTTGCTGCCAAGACCCAAGAGATGCACGCTGACAGCCCATTTCGGGAACGTGATATGCTAATAGACCAATCAGACACAAGTCTCCGGAGAGCTTCTGGAATGGCGCTGTCAGCTTGCACCGAATTCGCTTAGGGCTGATATTTCAGGGGTCTCTGTGCCGCAAGTCGCGCCCCACGGTGAGGCGAAGCATATCTTCCCTCCTAATTTTCGTTTACGGTACCTGTACGATGTACTCGGCCTTCCTAAACATAGATTGCCAACGGCGCGACATAAATGACAAGATCATAACGAGAATCATTGAGGAATCCATACTCCACTTCATAACACACATCGTTCCTCCTTTCCACAATAAAGCATCGAGAAACGGTCCCAACAATGGCAACGCCATATATTTCTGTGACGGATACTTCAACATTTATCACAACAGAACCTGAAACAAGATATGATAATGGCCACCCGAATTCACCGTGGAGGAGAATCGCAATTATTCCCATATGGTCGTGGGAGTTGGGTTTCCTAGCAGTTAACACCATAATCACAGGCATGCTGATTGGCATCACCGAGAGTGGAAGTGGACCTGGGAAGAATGAAGTACAGCCGTATGAACACGGTCACTCTATGTCGATCTTTCATTGACAAATTACAGTTGGACAGTCCTCAACATCGTTTTTGCGTTAATCGCTTTAGGCATGACCTGCGGAGAAGTCATGGTCTTCGTATACCACGAGCTGACTCCGAAATTCTTCCTGATCTCCACTGTTGCGAAAATGGTCGTTGGAATTATACCTATAGGATTCCAGATCTATGTCGCGCAAACACCATGGGTACACCAATCAAACACACCCAATATCGCGTATCTTTACACCGCATTTGGGTTTAGCATTGCAGAATAGTACGTCCTTTCTCTTGCTTCACTTCTGGGGCTCGGAAGTTGTAGATGACTAACGTTTTGCAGTATTGGCTACATTGCTGCGCTGGTATATGGGATATACGTGTTCAAGAACGTGAGGAATCACATGGAGGGGCTTTACAGCAGTTATTCGGCGGACTCGGAGAGGACACGATTAACCTACTCATATACGTGAGCAGCATTGCCCAGACCGCGGGCACGACAGCTGTATATATTTGGCGGGAATATAAATAGAAGGAGATAAATTATACCCAGGGCGCAAAGGCGAACCCGAACATCAAAAACATTCTCTCCGCATGAGCGAAGGCTGCTGGATCTGGCTGGATATTGAGCTGAGTCTGATTGAATGCTGTCAGACTCCCCATTCATTCAAGTGAATTTTAATGCGATTTTCTTCATACTGTGCCATGATATTCTCTTCCTCTGTTTTCTCATTTCTCTCCGTTCTTCTTGCCTTTCGACATCTACCTATATTTTCAGAGCTATCTGGCTTTTCTCATGAGAAAAACTCCTTCCCTCCGGGTCAGAAATTCGAAGGGCTATCGTTGATTACGAGTATTGTTAGACACCTGGACTTTGCAAATCATCACATATACTATCGATTCCGGATACATCGTTTTGACTCACTGGCATCTCCGTATCTCCAATGAGGACAGCCTTTCCCTGTGGAAAAGGACTCCAACCAACAATCCCGAGCCCATGGTGGGGATCCTTCGAAAGTCAAGCCAAAGATCCTGCACGTTATGTTGACTAAATCCTCATAGGTCGAGGAAACTCCATGATATTCACCAGCAGTTCCAAATGTCAGCGGCAGCTCAAAATCATGGTATGTACTCGGATACTCAGTCGGCGAGATATCGGCCGTGTTCATAGATGCGTTAGAAAGGAATGCAGAAGTAGGAAGAAATCGAAGCGCTCCGGTTAGAGGAAGATCATATGGAATGCCGAGGAATTGGCGGACATCAGGAAACGGTGAGTTGATGAAGCCATTAAGAATTCCACTACTGGTCGTTACTTGGAGGCGGTACATTGAAGACTGACGAGGAGTGGCGCTTCCAGTTGCCGCTGGCGCGAGGAGAATGACAAGTGTAAATCTAAGCATTGCTTCAAATTTGCCGTGCGGATGAAGTTCAACAAAGCCAGATGATGCAGAGAGATGAATACTTGCTTGTAATCGATGAAATGGGTCAAATCGTGGTAGGGAGTCCAAATGCTGCGGCTCGCTGTGGTTATAGATTTGTCTGTTGCGCCTTCCCTACTCGTCATTGTTGCTCGACGCCTTGCCATATTTAGCTGATCATGCATCTTTAGCTTATTTCACCAAGTCCTTAATTGGTTACGACGATCTAGACTGTGGTGGTGGCCATTGGTCGGATGCAGCCCGAGGAGAGGGGTGTCTTAGGAAAACTCGATAATGTCTGAAAATCACCAGGAGCACTTCAAAGAATTGAACCGATGACCATTCAGTTGAATAATCTCAAACCTCAAACCCATAATGAACTACCAAACTGGACGTTGTAACGTCATGAGATGAATCTTTCGTTTTCATCTTTGCAGGAAAGAAAGAAAGCTCGGGGCGTTTCTTTTCATTGCCTTCCCCGCGTTCGCTGAGCTCAACAGCCAACTCACCGCATGTCTTTAGCTGACCTTTGCAGCATCAATCAGAAGTTCCGCTACCTTACCAGGAATAGTGATTATCGGCGCATGTCCAACACCCTTCAACTCATGCGCAGCAATCTTCACGCCCTCCCTCTCCTCCCTCGCAACTTGTTCCTTCTGAATGTCCGTCGCAATGATAAAATCACTATCCGGGATCAAACAAGTCGTGGGGATGAATTTATATCCCGGATAAGTGAGGACACCATGCCAGCAAGCAGTGGAATGATTCTCAAGCTGGGCGGTATATCTCTTCGCTTCTTCTTCTGGAAGATCTGGAAACAGGTATTTGTAGAAGTCGCCACCAGGCATGTAAGTGTATTCTCCCTTCAAAAATTCATCAAACTGACCTTTCTCGTAAAGGGTTCTGATTGGGATAACTCACTGCATTCTTCAGCATCTCCGGTTCCTCCTGCAACGTGAAAATGCTCTTTCCCACCACAGGCATCCAGCTAGCAACATAAACCAAAGCCACAACACCACCCCGCCTTCCTTGCTTCTGAAGGTCGACTTTCCCCAATCCTTCAGTGGCTTCAGTGCCAGGATACCCACCATAGCTGCTCATCACGACAACAACCTCTTTCCCACTGTCTACGACACCAGAAATCACTTTCTTGATGGATGCGGCGTCGTCCTGCATCGTTGGGGGCACTGTGTGCTTTCCTTCGGAATTGGCTGAGGGAAGAGGTGCGTTCACCCATTCGTGTCCCGCTTTGAGAGGAAAGGCGTAACTTTTTCGTACCAAGTGGGCTCAGTGAAAGAGCCCGGAACAAGAACGAAGACTGGTTTGGTTGAGGACATTGTGATATAGATTGGTGTTGAAATCTCGAAAGGATTGTAAGAATCTGATAGGGCTGAGTTGCGATTGGAATTCGGCGCGAGAAGAAGTCAAGTTATATTTTATTTCGCTACGGAGGTAGAGTATGTTTCTACGTTGTTTGATTGATAGATTGATTGATCATCAGGCGGACAGAGTGGACTCGACGCGGTCGAAAATACCGAGGAAAGAAGAGCGGGAGGCAAATTTACAGTACTGATCTGGCTGAGTAGGCCGCATAGCCCGCTAGCTCCGAATACGAACAGGGGAAGCGCCCACATGGTGGCTCAAGTCATTGACTAAGATTGCGACCCAACAACATATTTCGGGCCTTTCGCAAAGCTATTGGGGACGTGGGGGGAGAAGTTGTGTTGGTAAGCACCAAAGGCTACGTCTGTAGCAATCCCGAGTATTCGTCATTGGAATTCAAAGGCTCAAGTGAGGTAACTTTATTCTGAGGCTAGAAAAATATTCGAGTTTGAGATCAACTTTTAATGGTGGTATTGTGAGCAAGCCTTTGGACCGGCACAACCAGCATATGAAACCAATCGAGCACGCATATGCCATCAATCATATTACCAGCCTTACTTTCAATTTATCTCCCTTGACAATTCCATCCTTCTGTGCCATCAACTCAGGCATGTCCCACGTACAATTGATATATCGTCCAGCAAGCCAATCCCTCTTCTCTCCTACAAGATATACGATGGTGTCTGCACTCAGCTCTGCTGTCTCGGTGAAAACTATCAATCTAATCAGCAACCTATCTGTCACCTTTACTTCGAGAGTGCTCACCTGGTTTCAAACGATCAGGAACTCCCTCCGGCCCGCCCATCATATCTGTAGGAATATTCCCAGGATGAATGCAGAAAGCCAAGACCCCCTTGTCCTTATACTCCTCACTCACAAACTGCGTAAATCTCAAGACAGCCAATTTACTAGGTTGATAGTCACTCAACGTCCGAGAAGTCAAATGTGCACCCACACTACTCGTCGAAATAATCGTTTTATCGCCGCCCTTCAACATAAGTGGAAGGAAGGCTCTCGTTACGAGGTACGGGCCCCTAACGTTGACATTCCACGTGTGCCACCAGACCTCTGGATCGGTATCCGCAATCAAATTCATTCCTCCAATGACCCCAGCATTGTTAATCAAAATATCGAGTTTGCCAAACTCTTTTTCAACCAGTTTCGCTGCTTCTTCAGTGCTTTGCTGGGAAGTGATGTCCAACTTGACGCACAGAATCTTGGGTTCCAGTCGCTTGGCTTTTGCGGCAGCTGCGAGGAGCGCATTTTTGAGCGATTCTAGAGATGAGCGGGCGCCGAGTGCGATGTGGGAGGCTCCAGCTTGTGCGAAGGAGGTTGCGATGGCGAGACCGATGCCTCTGGACGCTCCAACTACGAAAACGCTTTTGTTGAGAGGTGAAGGATTGGAAATCGATGAGATGGCGGGGTAGGTGTCGTTGTGGACCTCGGATGTGACAGTATAATCACCTATAGTGTTGTCATTTTATAATTCAAATTGGGTGAGAGAACCAAGGATGTACCTGGCCCTTCAAGCATATTTGGTGTTCCTTGTGGAGGAGGCATGATGACGTGACTTGGATTGGGATCCAAAATCGGGAAGTTGAGAGTGTGTGTTGAGTGTCAGAATGAAAGCAGAAGCCAGCTTGTAATAATATTGTAGTCTTATAAATATTGATAGTCTGAGTCATTTTATGTCTATTTTTTGAGGCGAGGATCTGCATTGCAGAAACTGGTTTTAGTGGGCATCTCGGACTTTTGAGGCTTGAGGTACATTAATCCCGAACCTTTATTCGGAGTTAATATCTTACTTTACATCGGGTTTTAGAGTTGTCCAATCAAATTGAGTCCTGCGCTGTATGTTAATAATAAGCTCGACTTTGAATTAGAATCGTGAATGGACACTATGCAAGGTCCACAACACTCGCGGAGAGTGGAAATGTTTGTTATGTTGGATATGTTTCTGTTAGTTGCCCCTGAAAAAGACAGGCGAAGAGCCACTGGACTTTTGCGGCCTCGCCTAAAACCACAGCGGGAGCCCCCCTGAAAAATATCTGTACGACTTCACCCCAACTGACCTATTGACATTAAGAAGCAGAAGTTTCGAGCTCGATATTTGTCTCAACGGCAGGAAACAATTCAATTGTGGGCTTGCAAGCAACAGGGGAACAATTCTTCAACTGATAATCATGTATCGGAGCTGTAATTAACATCATTATCGGGCAGAGGTTCCCCTTGCCTGGCATTAACTGTATTATCGATAGCAAAGTAAACAGAAAGGTGTTTCCCATCAAGATGGATATTACCTACCTACAGACATGAGCATTAATCCATACTCATTAACTTCCTCTAACCACATTTTCGCACGACGATTCAGATTATCACCAGATTGTATCACTGCGAGGTTTCCCATTTTCAAGTGTCAATACCCGCCCAATGCCCCAGCCAATGATCGTAAGCACACTCCCACTCATCCTGAGTTCTAGCACTCCACAGCACCTTCCCAGCAGGTGCAGGAAGGAATCCAAGCTTGGTGCACAGAAAGGTGGGGAGATTATTCATCGTATGATACATCCCCTCGAAACAATACATGGCCATCAACGTTCTATGCCTACAACTTGTTTGAATCCTCTCGCGCCAAGGCGGTCGTGCATGTGCTGTTTCGGCTGGATTGAACGAGGCCCTTTTCGGAGATGTAGAAGCCCTATTCATGGAGTGAGGCGAGAATGGAAAGGTCGCAAAGGCCGGATGAAGATTTGTGGGGAACTGGAAACAGCATGATGATGGAATAAACAAGAAGAACTTGAAAAACTACGGTCAAGGTCTCTGGGCCATAAGTGCGATACTGAATTTTGGTATCAGCAGTTTCAATTTTCAACATAACCATAGGATATTTCACATACCTCGATAAAAAGCCCATCCATTTTTGCCTTGATGGCAGTCTGCACGATATCTGAGAAGCCACCGGTATCCGCTAGGCCATCCCACATTTGTGATAGTCCAAAGCAGCGCGCAAGAGGAAGTGGTACTTTGACCCGGGGCATCTGGGCATCATGCACGACGAGAGGCAGTTGCATCATTCTCGACATCATACGAGGATACGTCCGAAAGACTCGACATAGAAGAATAATACTCCCTTTTAGTGTCGTGACTCTTGGAGGAGATTGTTTGAGGCAGGGATACAGCCACCGTTCTCGCATGGTAGTGATGCTCACATCGGTAAGTGTTGATTGCGTCGGCGAATCATCATCATGGATGGATTTCTCTGCGGATATGGACGTGGGTTCTGTAAAATCATTTGGCTTGGTAGTGTATCACAACTTACACTCTGTGTAAAATTGGAAATCGGTGTTAGATGTGTGTCGTCGATGAAGTGCTGGAGTTTACGTTACTAGAAGACGAATTCTGGAGCGAGTTATCATGGCAAATATCAAAACTGTTCCGGACCGAGGCAATTCATTCAGAGTCAAAATTCAAATCGTCGCGTGATATCTTGCGATGGTAGTGTTTGGGAGACCCAAAGGTTGGCGTCGCTGTTGAGGCTCACGGGCAGCGTATTCGCAGGTCTCATTCTGACTGGAGCATCGAGAGCAGTAGGGACGTTGTTGGTCACAACGAGTCTTCGCTTTGAACACTGATGACAGGATTTTCATCGAGGTGATGAAATCGAATTCTCCAGGCATTGTTTGAATGGAGGAGGTACGAAGAGCCTTCCACTTATGTCAGCAACGGACATAAAGCTGGGTGAAGGACATAGGCCAGTATGATGCTTATAGACTCAGGATTAATTTTCCCTTTCGCTGATTCTGTTTTAGTCTGCAGACGTGAGCAACTGCTGCTTTAACCTGAGCTGAGGGTGAATATACCTGATCAGAGGGTGAGTATACCTGAGCAAAGCCTGAGCGGAGCCTGAACGGAGCCCGAGTATCCTAAGCACGCCCTGAGTCAGCCTGCGCACTATAATATAGAACTCATTTTGGCCTCCTGTAGGTCCCGGCTATAGTTTCTTTACCGAATTTTGCCCAGGAATCCGTTTCTACTCTCTTACAGGGTTCCTGCCGGAGCAGATTTTAGATCCCTCTTACCAAAGAGCTCGTGTAGTAGTAATTCAGCCTCACAAGTCAGAATACGGTGGGCTGTTTCGACCTCTGTAGCATGACTTCAGTGCAGCTCAGCTTCTGGATTGAGCCGGCTAACTTCATTCGATAGCACTAACGCTTGGTCTATTCCTTTTCATATATTGTGTTGAGGAATGTTTGCGTGCCTTGCTCAGTCCTTTGCGGCAGCATCGATGCTTACAGGGCTTGCCGTTTCTATTCCGCCCTCCGCTGCATACGTGCTTGCACTGCGACTTCTCATTTCGGAGCTGGACCACCTTGGGTTCTGATTCTTGAGAGGTAGGAGATTCCGCTTCCTCAGTCTCCTCATCTCGATTAGGCATCTTCGCTTCCGGAACATTATTCAAAGCGCAGGCCAAAAGAATGGCTTGTTTGAAATCTCCAGCGACCAAATAACTTTGAGGCTGCTGTCTATAAGACGGTTGGCTATATTTCTGCCGACGAGCCAGTTCCAACACCCTCTCCTTTTCTGGTCGCTGAATCACTTGGTCCCTCTCTAGATGTTTCTGTGTTAACTCATCAGCCTCCCGGTCATGTCTTCATCCCCTCTTTGTACTGAGGCCATCTCATAAGGGCTCAGCTTAAAGGTGAAGAATCCATCGATATAGTCAATAATCGTCCTTCGAAGGTGCCATTCAGGGAACAGGCCATTATGAATTTTTTCTATCAAAGGCGCGGAGCATTCGGGGACGCCATATTGGATAGCCAATACTAGCAGGGTATGAGCGAGGTACCCAACAAAATCTGACTCGGAATTCCAATCCTTCATGTGATTTTCTATGATAAGCAGCACGGTCTGTAACGCGTGTATGAGTCCCCTAGAGCAGGCTTCTTGGACGTAGTCAGCACTAACAACTTTGCGGCTGAGCTTGATTGTCCCCCTTTGGCAATGGCCGACCTTTGAAGAATGGCGACACGCACAATGCTTCCTCCAGCTCGCTTTTGACTTCCAATTGGGAATTATCGGGTCATCAATAATGGAATGAATGATTTCTGCGTGGAAGACTCGTCCGGAAAAGCAACAAGGATGAAGGACAACAACACCCGGTTACCGATATAACTCAAAATATCGCTTGCATTATCAGTCCATGTTGTGCCTGCTTTTGAAAGGAAGGGCGTGTAAGGGGTCTGAGATTTCGGTAGAACAACTGCAATGTAGGTCTACTAATCGTCTCGAAGTCTTTGAATGGCGTCCTTTCCAGTGAAGAAAAGGCCTTCTGAGGCCACGGGATCCGCCAGGAAGTTCTTCACTGTTCGGTGAAGCAGTTGAACTCGGTCAGAAGGGAGCACACCTTCAATTGCATTCTCCCCCTGAACAACCCTTCGTTGTGCAGCAGGTCTGATTATCTCGATCAGAGGCCTACACAACTTCCGTAGATGATAGCGGAATTCAGTCCATTCATCGATTGGAATGAGGTTCGGCTCGATAGGGTCATCTTGCTCAACAAGCTCAGAGACCCCCTCGGGTATTGCCAGTGCCTCGCGCAATTGAATGGCGGTAAGTGAATGGAAAGTGTTGGCACCACTGACCCACATCAGGGCCTTGCGTGCCGTGCGCCATCCATGTCCATCCAGTTTTGAAGAGAGATCCCGGATAATACTTGCGTGGAGGGATCGCAGGGCTCTAGGTAGCTTCTCCATCTTTTCATGTAGTCGGCGAAATGTGAAAGCCCGTGATTCGACTTCTGTGTTTAGAATAGAAAGAATGACTGTCACCCACAATATTACGCCGTTGGCGTGGCTTTCGAGGTAGGACTTCATCTTCTGGCACTCTTTCTCCTCTTGCTCACGGGATCTTCTCTGCTGCGGTGTTTCAACCCTTTGCTTCGCATGGCCCTGGCCAGAGGAAAACTTATTGTTATCGTAGTGATCCGTGAACGAATGCATGGCTCTGCGGACAGAGCCGACCCCAGATTCAATTATCTTCTGAATATCATCTGTGTTCTCGTGCTCGAAAATGATGAACTGCAGATTCTCATGGCGGCGATAATGGCTCCAGAAATGTGTTTCTATATCTGGCGAAGGACGACCCAGGATCAAAAGCTTCATCTTGGATGTAGAACATTCCGAAGCAATGAGGCTGAATTGAGAGAGGACAGTTCTTCTCTGTTCCTCTGCGGCATATACATCCTCTGATTCGTCCATGGCATCCACAACGCAGATCATTCGTATCCCTGTAGTAGAAATTGCCTTCAGGAGCCCAAGCATTGATTCCACGGTAACCCAATCTTTAGACAGCGGTGGGTGCTGCCGAGAGATGCTTCTGAAGTATCGGAAGAGAGGGGGCGATTGAAGAAGCAGTTGATACAATAAGGACTGCATCAGTGATTTGTGAGCCATGAGGATTTCGCCACCGCGGGTACTGTAGAACCAGTCACACATAAGAGTGTCTACCACATTCAACTTTCGTTTTCTGGACGATTGGGGTGTCTGTTTGCTAGGATTTTGGTGGTCGAGTATGCTCTTAGGAAGCACCGATTTACCGCTTCCAGGTTTGCCCTGAATCCATAGGTTTCCACAATCTTGTTGCTCACAAGCAAGATACGACGGATGCGTCCATATCCATTCTGTTGTTCCAGGAGTTGGATCAGCGATTTCTTCGCGACGGGAATATTGCCTATCGAAATATAGGCAACTCAGGCACTCTGTGATTGATTACTACAGCGTTTCCACTAGGGTAAACGACATAACTCCTTCCAAGAGGTGCCATAAATGAACATGGCAGCTGCAAACGAATTGTTCTTACCTTGATATTCCGCATCGCGCTTTACCCTTTTGACCAACGGTGTAAGAGCACCAAGGCCATGGTCTGCTGTACCAGTAAAAGCGACCCGGCAAAACGTCGGATGTGTGTCGCATAGATGATAGAGGGCGCTGTAGAGCCCGTTCTCCTGACTTCTATTCCATATTTCCTCCACATTGTCAATGGCAAAGACAATGGATGCACAGAGGCTGCTTTCTATAATAGATGAAGCCAGGAGGAGGAAGGGTTTGAGAGAGCCGAGGTCGACAATTTGGGTTATATCATCAGGATCGAGCTGTATTTCTTGAAGAAACCCATAGAAACTTCGCATATTTCCAAGATTCTCGATAACACAGCGGGATAACTGGACGCCGAACTCGCGTAGAACTAATTGAGGAGTTTATATCAGTCACTCGCTGATCGGAAGAATCGCATTGGAATATAAAGATATATGCAGCCGGCGGCTCGGTTCCAAGGGCTGTTCGGCCACATACCATAGAATGGATGCAGCAACATCCTTGCAAGTAGGCGCATTTGCGTGGTCTGAAGGTTTTTGGAAAAACAGGGCTCCCCCGGAGCGGATCCAACCAGTATATGGCGATGTGTAGCGAACATCGTTGGGAAAACCCTCCTCGGGAAAGGCTTTGCTCTAGTCATGAAAGCTGTATGGCTTTGAGCGGCCAAATAGTTTCGCAAACTCTAAGAGATTATCTCATTAGCCTACTACAATGCACGTTGACAACTAGCCATCTTCCTCTACAGTGCTTTAAATAGAAAGGTCTAGTATGTTTTCTTATACTTGGGCTATGGGATCTTAAGTATAAGCAAAATCCAACAAACAGTCTCGTTTTCCTAGGTTCTCGGTACACTCTCTCATTAATGTGAACACTTCTTCCGTCTAGATATATCTCTTGGTGATGGCTTGAATTTCCGGCATCTTGAACTCTTCTTCCCAACCAATGTTCTCGAGGCCCTGGCCGACATTGAACCGGAAGCCCGACTCTCTAGGAACAAACTCGAGTGGAACTTGTGGAATGTGTCGGCAATTTGGTCAGAGTTGGTCGCAATGTCCACCAAGACTTTTCCAATATCCAATAGAGACGTACTGAATGCAGTAAGATGGAGTTTACCAGTGCCTACGGAGACAAGGCTCTGGATCTGATCCTCCACCCTCCAGTTGAGGCCTTTAGAGAAGGCATCGGTAGCCTCTGTCCAAAGTTGATGAATCAAGTTATTTGCGCTCTCGCAAATGTTTTCGGTAATGAATCTCGCTTAAAAAGGGGTTCGAAGAACGACAGCAAAAATAAATTGGAACAGTGCCACTCAGTAGTTCACCACACCATCATCAGAAAAGGCCGTTCTCATTAGCAAGGAAATAAGGTTCAAAAAATCAAAACATACAACAGCAGGTATTCGCTGGTGGTCACCCACCCAACTACTAATCTGCCGATCTGAGGCTTATGTATGGCAGAGCGGACGGGATGCCCAGTTTGTCCTCAGTCTATGGTCGTATGTGGCAGAAAAAAGCTTAATAAAATATGTAATACCATAAATGAAAGTGCAGTTTCCAACAAATTGCGACGCTTCCTTGAAGACCGGTAACCGAGCGCTTCGTGGTCAAACCTTCCTCGAAGCTCACCACCCCAACTTACCCGGTGGTGTACTTTTGTGAATATTCTGGGTGACAGCTTCTTATACTCAGTGATACACTCATCCGCAGTCATGTGGAGCCTCCCAAGCATGATAGCAATGAGTCCCCGGGTTGAAGTACCTCCAATTATGTCAAAATAATCGCAGGGCAGTGGGGGATTGTCTAGATCCAAAGATTCCATAAGCTTCTGGAAAAGAAGCAGTGAAGACAAGCCTCGAACCCCACCTCTATCCAGAGATAGAAGGCAGAGTTCTTTGCCGTTGGTTTCGCTGCCACATCCAGCGGATGTCGTCATCGCTTGTTCCATCACAATGAGAACAGTGCAGTCTTTCTAGTAGCGAGTGCTGCACGTCCGTAGTTTTATAGGAGGCCGCAGGTAGTTCTCCGTACACACGAATTATTTCGCAGTCGGGCAAGACGCAGTACTGAAGACGTGTTCTGATACAGTCCGCCTCACTTAATGACAAAAGAAAACAAAATGTTCTCTCTGCATAGGCACTGCACGTGGTCAGGGGAAACGGGATTATATTTCCATTGGGCGGAATACGAGACGACGTGATACGCGCAACTTCTGAGGTTCTGCCGTAGGCACACCCCAAGGTGAGTTTTGATTTCATCCCGAAAATAAACACAATGCGGTGAATTACTGCCGGCGGCAACCAAATCGGGCAAGGCTCCTACAAACTAGCCCAAATAGGCTAAGTGCAACTTATTTAGACTTTTTAAGTATCTTTATTGCCTATCTCGGTGAAACAGCTCGCCTTGCTTTATTCTGCTTTGCGCAATTGAATTAATCAAATTTCTTTAATGAACCTTTTTTTTACCGAGAGGGAAGGTGGGGGGTTAGAGCTAATTAAGCCGGAATAATTATAATACAAATGAAAAGTCAAATATTAATTATTGAGAGATATATAAAAGTATTATAGTGTCTTAAAAGAGGCTTAGTTTTCTATTTTATAAGTTTAGAGTCATTTATATATTCAAAGTAAATATAAGCTTTATAAATAGATTTCTTTTATATAAGCTCTTTAATTTATAAGTCTAAGGTATTTTAATCGAACTTTTAATATTAATATAATTGCAAAGCGTTTTATTAAAGCTATGAAGCGCTTAGACCATCAAGATCTGTCTACATGTGCTATAGCAACTACACAATTTCCGCTCCTAGGCATGGACTCGTCGCGCCTATTCTCAAACTCATTAAACTCTCTCTTTCTATCAACAGCGATGTTCTTTCTGGGCTCCAGACTGTGCTAATCCGTCAGTCCGCCACCGCTTCATTTTCGTTAACTTGAGTCCGTTCACTCTCCTCAAACTCCCCAGCATGGCCTTTTCACGGAGCTTTCCAAATGCCTGAAGTTGGCTTCCTACCTACCGGGCTTTCCCTATCACACGAAACCATTCGGTAGCTATCTAACCATCTCCTTAGGGTCGTCCATCGAAAACGTGATTTGAGTAGTTCGGCGAAATCCGGAATCTTACTCTAGAGGAAAAGGATCTCGCTCGTATTGTCGCCCGACGCAATATGGCCATTCCAGCATATTTTTAATTTCGTGTCCATTTCACGCCAAAGGTAGACTAAGTGTAGAGTGCGGCCTCTCGGAAGTGGCTCCCTCGAGACGCTGTCTTGACTCAACGGATACGTGCTTCATCATCACGATATCCCCCTCTCCTGCCCTTTCAATATCCCCCACTCTCACCTTCGACTTCCCACCAATCTCATCCTCAAACGAATGTAGACTCTCCAGCTCAACATCCCGCCTCATAATAGCAGCTCGACTAGTATTCACTTTTGTTCCCACCGTAGTCGGATAACCAGTGCTTCGCTCTCTCTTTGAATCCGAGATCCCGGGATTGCCTCTATTCCGAATTATCGACCGGAAAGCAGGTAAATTGGCCACGACGACAGCAACCGCTGCTTCGATTGTTGACCATAGGGAAAGTATGATGGGCGCGTCGGCCATCGTTGTTGGGTCCGTCTTCGATTCGGCGGTGGCTTTGGTGACTTTGGACAAGCGAATGAAGGCAAATACTACGACAATGATGCCGAGAGAAAAGAGGCAAGAGAGGCCGAGCTTTTGCTTGAGTGAGATTCGCAGTGTCAAAAGAAGACGGAGTGGTAACAACATAACTTATGCGATAGTTAGAAAGAATAGTTAGAACAAGTCATGAACGGGAAATAGCATACTCAACAAGTCGGCCACAATATCCGCGCCAGTAGCGAATTTTATACTTGCGTCAGAGCGCTTCAGATCTCCAGGTGCCGAGCATCCAGCTTTCTCAGAAATTAGTTTGAGATTCCGCAAACGGGGACTCTTTACTCACATGCGCTCCAGTACTTTTGCAGAGGAACACAGGTCAAGAAGTTTGACAGCATGCATCCGAGGTATGTGAGTAGAACCAGGGTGAAGACTCCCCACCATACATGCATGTACTTTGGGATCCCAACAACCATTTGACGAAAGAAGACCAAAAGTGAAAACTTTCCTGTCTCTCAAGTTTCAGTAACTACACAATGAATCTTTAGAGGTATTGTCGAAAGACTCACCAGCCCAAAGCGTCGACCAGAACAGGAGCATTTGCCTAGAAGAACGTCAGAATCCTGAAGCTGGCATTGAGGTAAATAACCCACGCAAACATCAACTTCAATGCGGTGATTGTGCGAGCAGTGAACTCCGGGAGTGGCAATGGGAGCGGAGTCAACGGATTTACTGCTGCTGCAAGCAAGTATGCTCGGGTCATCTCAAAGATTGGTGCAGCAGTTGTCACCACGGCTGTCAAGCCCGTGAGGAAAACGAAGGCAACGATTGCAAAGTAATCCTCAGCCTGGAATCTGTGTTGGACTCTGAGACGTAGGATAACACGAGCTATTGTCGTTGTCAATCCCAGCGACCATAGTGTCCACACTATCACCTTTGGAAATTTCAGCAAGAGGGAGTACAGGGTGTGGGACAAGGTGTACTAACCATGAATTGAGTGTGGGTATACATGGCTTCTCTGGGGCGAGACTGTTAATGCTTTAGGTGGTTTTAAGGAATCTTCCAACGATCTAAAAGTCGGATTTCTGCTAGTAGATGGTGAGCTCTCCTCGTCGTAGAATGATTAATAATGCCGATCCCATTTACTGCGGGGGTCTCTTGCTTTAGTAAAGCTCTCGAATCCGAGACTGTGGTGGTCCTAAACTCCAACACACACTCTATGACGGGACGGGAGGCGAAACCAACTAAATTCGATTGGGTTTTACACTTTCTCACGAATTAAAAAATCCCAGCACTATGATTTAAAGTTTCTTAACCTGGGCGACGCCACTGATTCACAGGTACCCTAGGCATCTCCTCTGGGGTAGTTGTATGCGTTTACCACATACTTTGCTATCCGAGGTGCAGCGAGAGCGGAGTTCTTCGGGGTGGCACAAGCCAGAAAGTAGACAAATCACCCCGGCGAGCCGAAATCCCCTGTCTCGGCACAATGAATGCTGTAACTCAGGGGAAGTGCAGTGCATGAGGCACAGCCGGTTTACCGCCCAGATTCGTCCGTGCCTGCATCTTCCAGGGATAAAACAAACTCGGTACGCGTTATGGAAACCTTCAGCATTATCGCACAAATGACCTGACCGGCGGCGATTCCCATGCAATAAAGTATATTCTCCACCTTGGTTCCCTTTGAGGAAGCTGCTTAGCCTCGGCAACGATTTCCGGGTTGAGAACGCCACAAAGCGACCCAAGCGCCTTATCGACGGATCGTTCATGGTTGTGGACTTGATTGGAGGATTCGTGGACTGAATCTCAAAACAATTAACTGAGCATTAGAATATAATTATCAAAGGTAATTCAAGTATCAAAATGCAAAGTCTTTCTCCTCTCCATCACGCAGCATCGACCTTCCACCCTCCAGGCATCAAGTTCGTATAAACCTTGAGAGGGTCATACTTAGCCCGAATTGACCGAAGCTTGGCGAGATTTCCAGCGCCATAATTCTGGAAAATCTCTTGACCCAATCCAGCATCATTCATGTAGTGATATTGAGCAGCCTGGCCAGCCGCCGAGAGCTTCGCCTCGATTATATCTGTGACTTGAGCAGCAAAAGCGTATATAGTCGCATCGTCTGCTGGATCAGTCCACGAGAAATTTTCAACCATCCCTGGCAGACTATTAGCATCAATATATGGAGATGTAGCGGCAAACCCTACAGAAATACGGAGCCTTCGAGATGTCTACGCCCTGAGGGTTACCGCCTTTGTTGATTCCCTGTTGAATGAAATTCTTCGTCACAGGCTGGAATGCAACACTGGCTTGCAAGCCGGCTACGTCCCAGATGTTTGCTGTAACCATGTCTACGAAGGTATCGTGCACGATGCTCAATGCCTCTGCGGTAGCAAGACTGGATACGACACGAAATGCTTGTCTAGTTCCATCCGCAATCAATGCGTCGGTCCCCTCGACATAAGTTGCGAGTGTCGTAGAGCCATAGGTATTTTCGATCGCAGGGATCGCAGTGACGTTTGCGAGAGCTGGTTGAGTGCAATTAGTGCCATCGTAGAAAAGCGCTGAGGTGTAGACAGTAATATTGAGGGAAGCCAGCATGAATATTGAAGGGATCACGGCTGCTTTTGGGTCAGCAGAGCCATATTGACCAAAGTTTGCGACTGCGCTCAAGAAGAGATCTTTTTCAGTTGACGGTATTTCGGTGATTCCGGCGCAAACGGTAGGAGAGGTGTATGTGAGCAAGTCGAAACGAGTGACAATGCCGAAGCTGTTTCCACCACCTTTCAAAGCCCAAAAAAGGTCAGAATATTGTGTTGAAGTTGCTGTCACAATCTTCCCACTCGCAAGTACGACCTGAATCCAAGTCAACATAACTCCAGTTGCATCAGCGGAGTTCTCACCTCGTATGCTACGACATTATCGGAAGCAAATCCATGTTGGTTCGAATAGAACGAGATTCCGCCGCCCAAGAGTAATCCAGGCACACCGACAATCCCAACTCTTCCACCCAACGCAACCAGCCCATATGGTTCCAGATATGCATAAACTTCCTCCCACCGCCTACCAGGCCCAACCGAGACGTAGGAATTGTCACTGGAAAGTTGTATCTCATTCAGATCCGTCAAACCAATCAACACTCCACCGATTGTATTCGCGTATCCGGGAATGGGCATGTGCCCTCCTCCCCTCACAGCAAATGTTGCTTTCAGCCCAGTGAGGATCAGAATCGCGCTCGAGACATCCGTAGTGCATTTCGGTGTGAAGACACACGTCGGGGAGAGATAATCAGTAGGAGTCCAGAAGTCTGCAATCGATTGTCAGGCATTGATGCATTAGGCTTGAGTTTGGGGAAACCTACGTTCATTCTCCGCAGTGTAATTAGCCTCGCCGGGAAAGAAGACTTGTGTGCTGTATACGAGCTTGAGGGCTTTGCAAGCAAGCACTGTTGCATTGAAGCTTGTCGATCGTTCTACTTCCGAAGACGGTAGCGCAGTGGCTACTGTTGCGAGGAACAGTGTCGACAGAACGGAGAACTTCATGATTTACCTCACGCTATATTAAAAGGGAGTGAGGAATGGAGACAACATGGAGAATCCTCTCCTTCGAAAAGAGGGGGAAGCTCCATAGCGAAATCTGAGTCTAAATCGGAGATCAATGAAATTTGTTTACTCCCACGGGCTTCAATATCCTTGTACTCCTTGCAACGGACATCGGTCCCTATTCAGCAACTTAGCTCAATTGTCGTCGCGGATAAACTTGCTTGATCCCTGTAGAACAGAACCACGCAGCCTAATTTTCAGCGGCTTTTAGAACGGAGATACTCCGTACATATGGCGCCAACACAGAATATAATCTAGCATACTTTGACAGAAAGTGCGGCATTGTATGCGATCTTCTGACAATGTTGAAATTGTTAGCTGCGAGGTGAGTCGGTGTCTAGGGAAAATGTAAAACGACACCCCCCCAGGCTTGGCAATGATACCTAATTTCGGGTATTGATCAGTATTGATACCAGAATCGTAAGGTATCAATCCTATCGATTCTGGAATTCATTCTAAGCGAGAGTTGCGGACCCCACTGTCTAACCCCTTTAATTACGATTCTTTTTATACTTATTGCCTTTAATGGAAAAAGCAAGTATAGCGTTATAATAAGGGACATCGCTTTATTAGTTTTAAATAGTTTAATAATTTTTTAAAGGACTTTAAAAAAGTCGACTTTTTTGGTGTTCCTTGGGTACCCCCTCGCTAGCTCTCTGTCCCCCTCTCGCGAGGATAGCTAGAAGTACCTCTACATATAAATTTACTATGTAAGGTACTTAGCGAATTTCTCGCTTAGAATCAATACCGGATCAATACGGATCAATACTACCGTAAGTACGTAATACTAGGTAGTATTAATACCGGGTATTGATACCTCAGGTATTATTGCCAAGCCTGCACCCCCCGGGTGTCAATTAGACATATCAATGGATTTTAGAGTTTTAATAATGCCTAATTAGTTGCTTGTACTTACTTAAGTCCTTCTCTCGAATCAGATTTCCTAATATAGGTATAAGGAAGTTTGTATATAAGAGCTCTAATTTGGGGCGTGGAACAGGCGAGGCGTACAAGGTTAATTTCCAGGCGCTTGATCGCTAAATTTTCAGGCTCTTATAGTACCTCAAAAATTCCGACTTGCCTTACCTTCTTTAAAATTTCTTAAAATTACTAATTATTATATAATAAAAACTTTATATCCTATTAGCTTATAATCTGTATTTTTATAATATAAGAAAATAAGTAAATTATAACAATTATTTATATAGTAAATTAAACTTAAAGGAAAAGTAGATTTTTTGGTGTTCCTCTCTACTATAGGTTAGTCCGGCCCCCAATCGACACCCGGGGCGTCGTTTTACATTTTCCCCGTGTCTACTCGTAAACCCCATTTTACGACTCGGAAGACGCCGCCAACCCCGCCTTCAACCCCGCAAGTTCGGCACCCAAATTCTCCCTCGCCCCAACTCCGCGCCCAACGCATTCGAGAAATACAACTTCTCTCTCGCCAGAAACCTCTCGAGAACTCCCACTCGGCCTTTTGCATAATCTATTTCACTGAAATGCGCACACTCTTGTCTTATATGGCCAGCGTAAAGCTCATACTCTTCCCCCGACCTCCCAAGAACCTCCAAGCCGAAGTCTATAGTGGGCTGGGTAGCTGAGAAAGGCGCTGTAGTGGACTTTCAGCGCATGCCCTCCCGTCACTTTATGCCGCGATCTTCGTTGTGTCAGTTTCGACTTCCTGCCCTCGAAAAATGAGTGATATATAACGACGCACGATTGAGCCCGTCTTACGGAGGACGCGGCCATAAGTCTTGCAACCGGCAAGGGTGAGCGCCAAGCCTGAGGACGCCACAAGCCGCTGACCTAGCAAAGACACTGGGGGCTTGATAGCCTGGAGAAATAGCAAGCTTAGCGATATTTATAGGGCCTGTGCGCTATCTTTTGGTTCTCGAAAGCCTATAGAGCCCTGTAATTACAGCGCCCTCTGGTTGCCGTGCAACGGCCCTACCACTTAAGCGAAAAGTGGCGCTGACCCTGTAGTTGCAGACTTATGGCCGCGTCCTCCGTACTTGCTAATGAGTCGTAATTTTTTATTATTTGCTCTACCCAGGGTGTTTCTAAAGAACTGACAAAATTCATGGTAACTATATATCTGCAGTAGAATTCTCTATACTCACTATCCTACATAATGTGTGCCCGTATTTGCACACAACCGCAGGACTAGAGTACAAATGGAACGGGCATATACCGTTGATAATAAGCCGAGTCTTACTTGACAAAGCATCAAGTTCTCCTTGTTCCAATTCGACGATCTCGAGTACTGGAAGGTGGAAGTCATTAACCTATTCCGGATTTTTACCTGGAATTTGCACATACCTGATGCTAGACGATCCCCAGTTATGCCATTCAATTATCCACCAATTTTTCAAGCTTTGTTCTTGATCTCCTTGCGACTGTCCAATTGAGATTTGTGGAGAGATTTTTTTAAGCGATGAACTTGGGGGGGGGGGTTGAGGCGTATATCTATGGGCACCCAGGGCCACAATATTATATTCTCGGGGTGTTTGTGTCATTTGAATTGTCTGTACCTTTGCTCATGGTTTGTTACTTCAGGAGAACGAGAACAAGTTTACCTGATTATACGCTTATGCTTGTTGAGAAGTTGAATCTTTAATATCACCTCATACTACTAAGTGGCAAGACTGTCTCTCAACTGTTATACCTCGATGGCATTACTGGCCATTGTCCCGTGTTTGTGTGGTAGTTTGAAGTTGTCGGGCTTTTCGCATGATATTGATTCGTGATTGAGAATCACAAAAACCGCCAAGCCCATTCAGAGAAATTTGTGCGGAACTCTGGCGCAAAGGAAAAGCCCGCTCTTCAAATCGCCGTGCTGCCCTGCGCCTTTCATTTATTCGTCGTAAGTTTTTTTCCGATTTCAAGTCACGACATGTTTCGTTCCACGGACCTTCCTTCGTCCTTTTCAAGTTTGGGTTAGATGCTTTTAGGTAAAGATAGTCTGAATTGAATGTCTAAAGTATGCAAAAGAACAGGCAATCTCTATGAAGAGATGTACTTCATGTGACTCTAGGAACAGCATACCTAGCCTGGTAATATATCTCATAAGGAGGAACCAGTTTCGTCTTGCAATGAGGGTGGCCCGATCCAATGAAATGTCTCCCACGTGATTAGACTCACGGGCTCAAAAGTGTCTTTTCTTCTTGAGGCAGAGTATTGCAGCTACTCGTTCGGCCGGGCTCACCTGGTTCTCGCTTAGCACACTTACCAGGTGAGGGAGGGTAATACGTAAAAACCAGTAATACGCAAATTTTTCCCCGCCCCCCTACCATCGACTTTTCAACCTACCAAAATGTCACCCAAAGCAGAAGCTATTGAAGAGCGAATTGCTAAGGCCTCTGAGGCTATGGATTGAGATCCTAGGCTTAAAGGAATAAAGGCTGCAGCCTATTTTGGGGCCCCGTATGATTAATTAATGGCCCGGCGAAGGGGTCGTCCTGCAAGTAACTCTCGGGGTAGATATAATAAAAAACTCTCAGTACTATAAGATAAGTCTTTAAGAGATTATCTCTTAATACTCTATATCTCCGGGCAAAGTCCTAACCTGGAAGCGATTTAAACAGGTGCCTCCAGACTAGTTTATTATAATACTAGCAATATTAATTCCTCCGTATCTCGTAGATAAATAAAAGCCTGGATTGCCCGTAATTACAAATTCCTAAAGCAAATTCGAGAGAAACTAATATCTATGAAATGTCTAAGTATATATATTATAGAGGATATTAAGAAGTATTTTGCCAATTTTGACAAGTATAGGAGAAAATGGAGTATTTATACAGAGGATATATCTAATTTTAATAAGAGTGGCTTCCAAATTAGAGTAGTAACGGGGGATATTATATATATATTACTGGATTACGAAATAGTATATAATGCCGATCCAGATAATCGAGAATTAGTTATAGTCATAGCTATAATTAATTACGGTAAAAGGAAGGTTCCTATATATATTATTTTCAAGGGAGCATATTATCTTTGCGGAAATTTTCTATAAATACTTAATAGCAGTATCGAATTTGCATACTCTCCCACTAGTTTTATAAATAATTACCTGGGTTTATAATATCTCAAGTACTTTATTAAGTACTGTCCTCCTTTACGAACGGGTACCTATAGGATCTTGATTTTCGATAGGTATGGTTCTCATTTATCTAACGAATTTTTATATCTCTGCTAGAAGAATCGCATTTGACTATTTAGATTACCTATATATATAACTTACCTTCTTTAATTACTTGATATTATTATCTTCTAATCTTTAAAATACTGGTTTTAAAAGGAGCTTTGTCGAGAGACTTTCAATAGTACGGAGGAGTTTAATAAGACAGACTTTTTTGCGATTTTCCAGAGATTTTGGGATAGGGTTTTCAAGAGCCGGCATATCATAATCTCTTTCTTTAAGAAAACTGGATTAATACCTCTCAATTCGCTCAGAGTTCTATAGAAAATAAAGGAGTATAAAGAGCTTTTAAAGCATCCGCAAACTCTAACTCCTTCTATACGGTACTCTTTACTAATTTTACCTTCTTCTCCTAGTTTTGCTACCCCGCCACCCCGTACTCCTATCTACAAAGACTGGGCAGATTAGCCTATACTATTAATATTATATATACAAAAACAAGGTATTAATTATATTAAAAATCATATAATATAATTAATAAATAGTATATCTATTACTTCTTCGGTTTTACGTATACAAGAGAAGGTAGAAGCGGTATTAGAGAGGTCAATTTTAGCTAGTACTCTTGCTAGATAAAGGGTACTAGATCTGGGCCTTACAGAGAAGGAGCGTTTAGCTAGAAAAGAAGGAGCTAGTAAGATTATTCAGAAATATAGGGAGATTACTATGGAGCAAGGAAGAAAGGATATTGAGGCAGATAATGAGGATGAAGCTCGGGTAGTTAATATGAGGCATACTAGGCTAAGTAAGCCTTGGAGAAATAAGTATAAAAAAATAATATGAAGATTTGAAGCTAATTACTGGGACGTAATTAATTAGAAAATGAAGGCTACTAATCACGATTTATGGGAAAAATAGGGGTTGTGGTGGGCTAAAACTCCATGGTTCTATATATATAGGGAAAAATTTGCGTATTACTGGTTTTTACGTATTGCCCTCCCTCACCTGGTAAGCGTGCTAAGCGAGAACCAGGTGAGCCCGGCCGAACGAGTATGGCCACAGCTACACCCCTCGTTCGAAGTCAGATGAAGATTTGCGAGATCCATCTTGAACCGGTTGCCATTGCTTCCGATTGTCAAGCTAATATCACGTGGACTTACACGATTGAAGCCTTTCTTAATTGGGTAAGCTTCGCCCCCTTTTCCTGGCACGAAAACCTTTCTCATGAAAGGCGTCCTTCACTCCTCGACTGCTCAATCAATCGACACTACATACTGCATCGGCTGTGTACGGAATTAACGAGTGTGTTCATCCATATTTGGTCTTTCAGGTGACTAAAGGCTGGGGAATGAACAGGAGCGACGCGGCTCGAACGGGAGATCTTTGCTCAATGCGTCCTGTCACAAGCAGCAATTGATTATTCATATATGCGGGGTTGCCGTCAAGCAAACATGGGCGAGGCTTGGCAATTCAACGAGGCTGAAGGAAGGGAACGTGGCCACGCGTAGAAGGTACAGAAAGTTTGCTCATTTGAGATTGGTGGTGACGCCACATGTCTCAACCAGACTCAATACATGGGAGTCTGCAGGACCACGAGTCAAGTGGGTTGCAATTGGGCACCTTGCAAGGGGTGCTGTTATGAATTCAGCCCCCCTTTTCCTATCTTTATAGAGACACCCAACCTGCAGCTGAGCCTCCAGCCCCCACTACCACCCCACAAGTTCGATGCGCCAAAGCACTGTCACACATCCCCAGAGCTGGGCGGACCCATCCATGTCGACCTCCATCATCATCGCTCCCCTCATTCCCGAATCGGAAAGTGGTGCATACCGACTGCACTGCCACTGCAGACTTGCAGTCAGCCCCAGGTGGGGTTGCAGGCGGACTTTTGGCCTGGCCGTCTTCGCTCAACTGAGTGCAACGGTGTGCTGCCAATGAGCAATTGGTGGCTTTTGTTCTGCATGGCAGGAGGCAGAGGACGGGAAATGCTCTCGAATGTACTGTTCCGCGAGGCTGCGTCCTCCCTTGGGTCCGTAAGGCCTCGTTTCTCGAATGTCTTCTGCTCTCTGGTGTCCTTCCTTCGTTTTAGGAGAGCTGTGCGCTGAATGGCTTTGCAAAATCCAAATCTTTGCAACTATCCTGTTCGATTGAACCACCCCTTCGTCTCTAAGAGTTTGCACGAGGAACACTATGCGCGACCTGAACCGTCTGGAGGAACTCGCAAGGGGACACAATGTGTTAGATTACGGCAAAGAACGGCTCTCACCTTTCGAGCGTGCTCGGCGCGACTCCATTGCCACATCGTCAGTTGATCAAGCCAATGCCAAGGACAAGTTGGCAGTCCTGCGGACTAGCAGTGTCTACTGGAAAGACCCAACCAAGCAGAAGAGGAATCTCCTCAGGACGAAGAAGGAAAAAGCCGCCCTTCTAGACACATCTAGTTGGACATACACCAAGGCTGAGAGATTTAAGATTCTCGACCAGGAGATCCGTAATGGCGGTCCGCCCGGGCTGGCTCAGGCTGTTCTTGCCTTCGACATGAGGGACCCCTTGGATGTCAATGTTGCCTATGTCACAGATACTAATGGCGACGCAGTTTGCACTGGCAAACCAACTGGATGGCTTGAACTATGCGCCGCGCGTGGTGAAATCAATGATGTTGCGTACATCAGGCTCCTTACCAATTTCGGAGCGAGCCAGGCCTCCCGAGATATGGCTCTGCGCATCGCACTCGAGAGGAAAGCAATGAATACTGCCCAGGAGCTCTTTCGAAACGATGCAGACCCAAATGTAGCTGAAACTGTTGAGCATTTCCTTGCTGCTATCCGAGATCAGAACCAGCAAGTGTACACCATGTTCCTGATGGCAACGACGCCTCTGAACCCGTTCTACATCAATCAGGCCTTGGTCGAAGCCGTCGGCAGGGACTCGGATTTAGTGGGCTTGTTGATCGCGCATGGGGCTGATGGCATGCTCAATGATGGCCAAGCCTTGTGTGCCGCAATCGCCTTGAGAAGTTTACCGGACACTGCAATGATGTTGACTAATTCTGGCAATTTGTCAACAACAAGCCTAGACATAGCCACAGAAATGGTTTGTGCTGTCGAGGACGAAAAAGCAAAGATCGATTTTCTGGACATGCTCTTGAGCGCCGGGGCAAATGCCAATACATCAAGGATATACGATGAGTTACTAGGATCCGTCAAGGAAAACAAGGCCTCTATCGCAGAGCTGTTGATCTTCCATGGGACATCTCCTGATTTCAATGACGCTGAAGTTTTGCGATTGGCCGTCAGTTCAGCTCAAACAGATCTCGTCAATATCCTTCTGCAAGGGAATGTTCCCCAAGCAAGCGTTGTAAAGGCTCTTGAAGAAGCCAGTGGTTTGGAAGACCCTGATATTTTTGAGGAAATAGTCAGAGCTCTCCTCGAGAAAGGCGTCCCCCAGAATTCACTCAGCAAATGTCTCTGCGACTCAGTGGAGAAAGGCTACATGTCACTCGTGCCTGTGCTGATTGAGAAAGGTGCCATTTTGGACTATGCCGATGCGCGATGCGTTCGACAGGCACTGAAACGCAATGACTTTGGTTTGTTCGGGCAACTGCTCGAAGCACCCTGTCAGCCCTCTGTTCTATCTCAAGTTCTTCTCGACGCTATGACAATTCAGCCTCCGTCTGAAAGATTCGACATCATAAGTAGACTTCTCAATAAGGGAGTCTCTGGTATAGGTCTTCACATTGCACTTCAAACTACAGCTGCAAACGCAAAAGATCCAACGGACTACGGTCTCATTGAGGCATTGTTGAGGCACCACGCCTCTACTGACTTCTTTGACAACAGCGGCAACTGTGTGTGCACTGCAGCTGCACAGCAAGACGAGAGGGGGCTAGACTTGCTATGTCAGGGCAACCCTAGTCCGGATACTGTCTCAGCCGCTATTAACTTCTTGCCCGTGTCTTTTGCAACTGCTGAAGCTGGCGAATATGAGAAACAAGTCGGAATGATGTCCACACTATTGGAGAAAGGAGCCTACGGAACTTCTGTAGCTGAAATGCTCATTAAGGCCGCAAGAGACGATCACCGCGGAAAGGCTTTGACAGCGCTGATACACCACGGTGCCGACGCCAACTACCAACATGGCAAATCCATCGAAGAGGCGCTGACTTTGCCGCGAATTTCTGCGCTAGAAATGATCTGCAAAGGTTGCAGGATTGACAGTCACTCATTTGCAACTCAGATTCCAAATGCTCTCAGGCCACAAGGCTTCAGTCTCGACAAAGCAAGTTTGCTGGCGCACGCTTCGAAGGATGGCGGCTTCAAAGGAGTTCTTGATAAACCCCTTCTGGATGAAGTTGAGTCCAACGGCGGCCGCAGAGAAGTCATTGAGCTTCTTTTAGGCCTGGGCGCAAGCGTCAACTTCCAACATGGCCGAGCACTACAACACAGTGTTGTCACAGGCAACCTAGAAGTTTGTTGTCTTCTCCTCAGTGCGGGCGTTGAGAGACCTAATATTGCACTGGCTTTCCCGGCAACAAGTGGAATAAAAGATCTACCAACTCGATACAGCTTAATGGAAGTCCTTCTGAAGGCCGGACAATCCAAAATAGGACAGGATCAAGCGCTTGTCCAGGCATCACAAGAGGCCGTCCACCACGACCTTTCCCACGTTGAGCTCCTTCTTGCACATCAAGCTTCTCCCAATTTCAACGATGGTGCAGCCGTTCTCTGGTCAATCCAGACGAAGAATTTACCCCTCTCGAAACGATTCATGCTCACTGAGCTGAACAAGAAGACTCTATCAAACGCATTTACCCTTGCACGAAAGATTGAATGTACAAAAGAGGAGAGATATGCCATATTCGAAACTCTCCTAGAAAAATACTCTGACCAAAAGGCGATCAGCATGACTTTGATTGAGGCCGTGAGGCGCGATCCAGCTGACATCAAGACATCTACTCTCCTGTTGGATCATGGCGCGTCAATTGAGCCTAAACATGGGTTCGCAATGCAACTGGTTGCTTCGGCGGGCACCTTAGAGTTGCTCAATCTGTTCCTGAGCAAAGGGCCGAGTCAGACTGGCCGTGATGCGAGCTTTGCTTCCGTGACGGATTCTGCGCTTGACGCTGAGCAGAGAAAACTGATTTACAAGAGTTTGCTGGAAACCGGAATTACACAAGATCTCATCAGCGCAGGCCTATTGCAGGCCACTCGAGCCAACATTATCGATCACTCTCTCCTTGCGTTGCTCATAGCCTTCAATGCTTCTTTGGACTTCGATTCTGGCAGCGCAGCCTACGAAATTACTGCGAGAGGCGACCTGCCAACGTTGACTGTTCTACTACAAGGAAATGTGTCGCAGACGCAAACCTTGGATAGGTCTTTCTCAGCGTCCATGGGATTGAAAGGTTCAGGCCGTTTGGCAATAGCGAAGGCACTGCTGGAGAAACAGCCTGGAGTCAACCGCGAAACTGTCTCGCACCACCTTGCACAGATAGTGAAGGAGAACGACCACGATCTGTTGAGTTTGATGATGGACTATGGGCCAGACCCCGCATACAATAGTGGTAAAAGCTTAATTTTGGCTGCTCGGGCCGGAGATGCTAAAGCCGCAGAAATGTTGGCAAGAGCGAAAATCACCAGCGATACAGCAGGCCAGGCATTTGAGCAACTTCTGAATGCTCGCACTATCCAGTCAACGGTGGCTGGCTTACAGACAGCAAAGATTTTACTCTCCCTGGGTGTCACACAACACCTGATCGATCAAGCTCTACTGGATGGTTTTGACGACGATGTCAGTCAGTTAACTTCGGACCTGGTAGAGTTGTTGATACCGTACAAGCCCAACGTCAGCGGTGGCGAGGGTAAAGTTTTTGTCAAAACGGCAAGCAGCGGAAACGTGGAATTGTTCAGACGCCTTGCCTCACAGAAGCCAGACTTGGATGTCGTCATCCCAGCGCTCCTACGATCAATGGAGAAGGAAGACGAGCTCATTCCCTTCCTGGAGCACCTGGAAGAATGTGCTCAGAGAGAGTCTACGCCTCTTCAAGACTTCGTAATCTTCACGGCTCTTACAGAATTCCCTGAAGGCAATCGGCTGGCGAAACATCTTCTAAATAATGGGTGCCCTGCCAATAGCAGGACTGATGCGGAGCTGGATGCTTCTGTCGGAATGGAGGCCATGACTGTACTCATTTGGGCTCTAAGCCGTACCACGCCGACAATTTCTAAGGAGGTCATCGTGGAGATTCTTGAGGACGGCCACAATGGTGAGATTAGCCTTTACTTCCCCATCACTTTTTGAACTCATTTTGCTAAGCTCACTCCCAATACAGTCGAAGTATCCTTCGCAACCTCCGTAACACACACGACATCGACAATCATTGCCAGCACAGCAGGTCGGAACACCGTTCTGAAAAGATTGATCGAGATTGGCGTTGATATATCACATCATGACAAGGACGAGCACTCTGCCTTGTTTTATGCGAGCAGGAGTGGACATGTCGAGACAGCAGAGCTGCTTATCCAAGCAGGTGCCAAAGGCGATGATGGCAGCTTGCACGAGGCTGCAAGAGAAGCGCACCCGCAACTCATCGAGCTGTTGCTTGCAAATGGCCATCGTGTCGACTTTCCTTCCGCCATTCATGCCGAGGGACTGTTTGGCCGTACTGCACTGGAAGAGTTGTGTTTGAACGCCACGCCCGGAGCGGATAACTGGCAGAAGAGAATTCGTCAGTCCATTGGATTACTTCTCCCTGCTACGGTGGCAGAAATAACACAGAGCGGCGGTAAAGCAATGCTACATCTGGCACTTGAGAATGAGCATTCAGTGGCTGTCACACGCGAGCTGCTGACATTTCCAGCGGTCTGGGAGAACATCAATCACCCAATTTACTTGTACAAGGACGCTCAGGGCTATGTCTATTCTCCAACCAAATACGCCGAACTTCTCTTGGGAGCGGACAATGACAAGAAATGCCAGCAGCTCACCAAACTGCTGCGAGCGAGAAAGTGTAAAGGCAGGTTCTATGCGCATACAGTGGATCAACCGGAAGGCGCGGTAGGATTGCCAGAAGAGGTTGCGGAGGCAGTGAATAAGCAGAAACGCGCCGACCACGAGCAACGCGAAGAGCTGAAGAGAAGAGATGCAATCGCGGTTCATCAGCGTGCCATCGAAGCAGAGGATTACGAACGTAACCTCAAGCTTGCAAAGGAACGACACAACCTCTTGATGCGACAGCTGAAAGAGGAAGAAAATGCCGAGAAGCAAGTGGCTACAAACAAGCAAGCGATGACCGTGCGCCATGCGCAGGAACTTCAACGTGAAAGACAAGACGCCCTCAGAGCAGAGAACAAAATCAGACTCGAGGGTGTAGATGAAGAAGGGGCACGTAGGAGAAGAAACGCCGCCAGCGAACAGCAAGCTGAGCTCACTCATCAAGGCAACTTGTTGCGTAGCCAGAATGCGGCTCTGAAATCGAAGCTGGATAACGAGCAACAAATTATCAACGCGCGTGCTGCAGCTGCCCGAAAAGAATACGACCTACAGGTTGCATTGGGAGAGCAGAAGGTGCAAAGTGAAAAAGATCAAGCCTATTATAGGAAGCAAGGCTACTCTGGCTAATCGCTTTGGAATGTTGGAAGCAGGAAATGCTTGTGCCGGTTGTACAAGGCAAAACTGGCAAGATGTAGTTTGTTTGTTGACTCAGACGATTTGTGACGATCACGTAACGTAACCCCTTATTCCCCTTCTGGCCTATCGGCAGGCTTCATTTGTGTTTCTCTTCACTCACTACATCCATATCACTCTCATTTCTCTGATTAGGCTCCTCGATTGATCAGTCTTTACCCGTGTATCTATTCATAAGGAAGTAACATTGAAAACGAGTGGCTTAAAGTAGAACACATGGGAGCCACCAAGTGCTGTATCACGAATCACTCATACCTAGCGTCATAACTATCGTTGTATGCTGCATCTCCTCCTCCATCGTAGCCCATATCCACGGGATCATACCCAGTGTCTGCCTGATCGTCACCATAATCCTCCACTTGGCCTCCATCATAGTCCCCGGTTCCAGAATCGTCATAATCGTTGCCTGTCTCTACCCCATATGCATCACCTTCCATACCGCCTTCGAACGCATCATCAGTCGATGGCTCGTCATAGTCGTCGACAGCATCCAGGCCCTCATCCTCCAGTCCCGCCATTGGATCATCAAACTGGTCGTCCTGCTCTAATCCGTCATCGCCTATATCTTCCCCAAAGTCATCATTTGCCAAAGGATCTTCAACTTCCGGGTCACTTTGTAGCTCATTGTCTCCCATATCACTTCCAATTCCTTCATCTACGTCCGAAAACTGATGCTGTTCATCCCCACTTTCTTCCATAAGATTATCAATGTCCTGGTTTTCTGAGACCGCATCATTCATATCTTCATCTACATCATCGTTTGCAAACGATTCGTCAAGTTCTTGGTCGCTTTCGAGGTCCTGGTCTCCTACATCACTTCCAAACTGATCGCCCAGGTCCGAGTAGGGATTCTCATCTTCATTTTCGTTTGGATCGTCCAAGTCGTTCTCTCCAGCGGAAAACTCATCGGTCCCCAAACCAGAGGCTGTTTCGTCTTCTTCGGCCTGGTCCCCAACGCCCTCACTCCCAGAGTCATGGCTCAACCCTGGCTCTGATTCCATATACGCATTAGAGTCCTCCTGTCCGTCTTCACTGCCCTCAAAGAAGTTCTCCGGATCTCTCATTTCTCCCACGTTTTCGTCCTCAGCATAACCATCGATCTCTCCATCGCTATTCTGGAATAAATCCTCGACATTGCCCGGTTCCTCGTCGTGCCCAACTTCTGATTGCCTCTCGCTATCATATGTTCCCAGAGCTTGCTCCCCAAACAACTCATCGGGGTCCTCGTCAGCTTGTCCATCCTCGTCAAAAATATCGCCAGAATCAGGTATTTCCGGTAGGAAATTTGATTCTTCGTTGAACTCTACGGTGTCCTCGTTGTGGTCTTCGTCCAACGCCCAATCACTCTCCCCACCGTCTTGCGGATCTCCAAACTGATCGTCTGCGTCCGACGGAAGAGAATGGCCAGCGTCAATATCGAATGGATCTCTGTCTTGAAACTGTTCATTTTCGCTTTCATGTTCATCAGGAAAGAGAGGATCTTCGTTTTCTAAACCAGGATTCGGAGCAAGTGAACCGGCAGCTTCATTCTCACCCCACCCATGTTCGGTGCTGAATGGTTCGTCCTCATTTTCGCCTTGCGAGGGGAACAGGTTATCATTATGGTCGTCCGGGATTTCAGGATAGTTTTCAGTGATGTTATCATCGTTGATATTATCATGGTTTCCATCGTGCATGGCGTCAAGCGATTCATGCTCATTGGTAACTGTTTCGACCCCGCCCGTGTCGTGGAATGGGTTGTCCATGTCGGTTGCCCCGGCAAATACAACACCAGAGGTTCTATCGTGGCCCCGCTCATGCTTATAGTCATCCGAAGGATATAGAGGGTCCGAATCGTGCCAATCAAGGTTGGTGTCTCGTTCCCCGTGGTCCTTATGGCCGTCAATGGTATGGGGAGCCTCATCATGTGGATCATCACTTGGATCCTTGAGACCAGGGTCATTGGGATGGGTCGGCGTCCCAACATCGTCAATGGGGGTTTGAGCGCGTTCAGCCAGGACTTCAGTATGACCATCCGCGGGCTCGTCGGGGTGGTTGAGTGGAGGCTCTTTGGAAGATTCGGGAGATTCGATAGGCGACTCGTCGGGATGTTTATTTGGATGGTCAGGATATTCAGCGGCGGGTTTGTCTTTATCGTCGTCTGAGTGCTGGTCAGAAGATTCTTCTGCAGGCTTGTCTCTATGGTTTTCCGAATGTTCTTCAGAAGGCTCGGGAGATTTGGCGTGGCGGTGGTCGGGATGGTGAAATGGACTTTCATGAAGAGATTTGTCGTGATGATTTCCACTATGCTTGATAGAATGGGGGATTGGATGTTTCTGAGATTCGGCAGTGTGATATCCGTTATGGTTGACAGGATGGTGGATTGGTCGCTGGGGAGGAACCGCAACAGGATGAATTCCAGTATTTCTGATGGCGGCCGTGGCAGCTTTTGCCGACCTGCCAATGTGTATTTCTCCTCTTAGGCCTAGAGAAAAGCTTGGTCCATGCTTTCCTTGCGTGCCTGACGTCGCTGGCATCGGCCTCTGGCCCATGCCCATCTGATTTGGTGACCCACGGCTTGGAAAGGGATTCAAGTGAGTGTTTCTTTGTGGAAGCTGGGCACCACTCGTGAACGGGTTCCTTTGCTGCACCGAATGAGCAGGATTACAGTATATAGGGCTGTTTAAACTCTGATTTCGCGTAATACTAGGCACTATTCTTCCCGGAGCTATTGTTGGGCGTCGATTTATTGTACTGTCCGTGGGGTATTGGAGAGGGCCTCTTTGCAACAGTGGTTTTGAAGGGTTGAGATTATTTAATCCTTGATCGCGAAGTCTCTGTGGTCCTCCGGAAGTTTGAATTCCGGACAACGGCGTTCCGGGAGTTCCTGTAGCGCTTTGGTTCCGTATACCGTTCATCGGTCGAGAGATCGGATCTCTTCTGGCCGTCGCATTGGAAAACCTAGGACCAACTGGCCCTTGAACATCCACTCTTGGCCCTGTGGATACCGGTTGTGGCATACCGCTTGGGCCTTGTGGATTTAGGCTGCTTCCCCTCTGGCCGGCTGCGAATGTTCGAGGCATACTTGGTGGTTTTGAGCCACCGCAAGATACATTTCCAAGAGCACGAGCAGTTCCCGAGTTTGGTGTTCTGGAAGTTTGACCCGGCGTGGCACCAGAGACGGTCCCTCTCAAAGAGGTCGCAACGCTCCCGGGTCTGTTTCGTGAACTGCCCAAGATAGGGTCAGTTTTCCGAGAGGTTGGGTTCTCGGTCGCTGCTCGCTTCTCCTCCTCTACAGAGTGTAGCCCTCGATTATTTGCTGTTTGTCCACCGGCATGTTGGGTTCTATCAGTAGTGTTTAAAGCTGCCCTTGCTGGAGGAGCTCCCAGTTGCACGCCGGGGCTTCGACCTTCAATGGGAAAGGGGGATATTTGAACAGGCTTTCGAGCTATGGCTGGTTCGATAGGGGCTCTCGCGGGTGGATTTTCAGTCTTTCTCTCCTGCGCCGTGATGTTGATTTGATGTGATGCTCTCTTTGGCCGAAGGCCCGACATCGAAAGAGGTTCTTGCTCTCTTCCTGGAGCTTGTACTCCAGATGTTGGCTGAACTGATTCTGAAGGTCTGCCTGAGTTTCTTGGTGTCGAGCCTTCTTGTCTCCTTCTGAGGCCGATTGGATATCCTGGTACCTGAGTTCCAGGCTGTATTGGTCGTCTCAGTTTCTCTACAGATGGTAGAGGAGCTCGCGGCTCTGGAACCTTGTCACAGAGTCCTTCTGGACCCGAGACCACAGGTTGAGCCGCAGCAGCCTGCTCACCGCTCCCTAATGATCTATTTGGATTCCCCGCCGTATTTGGATTGTGCGTGCTCTGGAATGCGATGTTCGAGTCCATTGTACGGCTTGTCTTGGCACCGCCAAGGACATTTCCCACTGCTGTCTCGATTCGGCCAGTATCTTGTGCTGGATTTCTCTTACCCGGAAGCTTGTATCCGCAACCATCTTCGTCCCTGAGGTGCCTCTACTTCGCACTTCTCTCGCCTAAGGTTAAATGGGGCGAAGATAACTTGGCATTTGTGAGCTGGATCAATCAAGAGGAACTTCGGACGTCCGGAGGAGCGTGGAAAGCCCGGCAATCTCTCAGCCTTGGGGCTGAGTCTGTGGCTCCTTCGTGCATTGTCTTTCTAAAGAGCAGCCCAGCCCAGTACCACCTCTACATGGCCTCGCTACCTTTAGTTTGCTTGGTGCCGCCAACAAAATGAACGTGACACCGGCTTGTTTCCATCCTCACGGCGGATGCATGCGTCCTTTGCACAACTGGAAACTTGCGACCATGTCATTCGTTGAGAATGGCAGGGTAGAGCGGTCAAAGCACCAGGTTGCTGTTGAAAACAGGGGGGTGTGTCTGTATAGATGCAGCGTAGTGCTGCATCTCAATCCCAATTCTCCTGCAATGCAACGCAAACATTGCCCAGCTTTGGCGATGTGACAGTCCTCCTCAGCCTCTCGGAACAAGGCCCCCGGCTCCCGTCAGTAATTCTGCTCAGTTATGGTCCCACCCCGGATTCAAGGAGCCTGGAAGATGAGAGGCTCAAAGCGAAGACCCCGCTCCAAGCCCAAACTGGAGCTTTCCGGCATTTCTGTACTCTGGTACTCAGTATCCAAGGCTGACGTCTGGCAAGGGAAAGCAAAGACTCTCTCCACGTATGTAGCGCACTCGGTTCGACTTAGAATACTGCGCTGACAGTAGTAGGTGTTGCTTGTTTCGAACTCGGAGCCTTGCACCCTGTCGAAGTGTTCCAACTTTACCTCAAGTCACGCCGCGATGTCCTCCCCACAGTCCCCAAGACCAGCAAGTGGTTTTGGGAGAATTGCGTCCATGCCTTCATCTCCCATCTCTGATTTTAAAGGCGGTCTGGTGAGAAGCTCAACCATGAGTACCACAATGTCGGGCAGTTCATACAAGGCTACTGAGTCTTCGAGAGGTCAATTTCAGGATCAGCTTAATGCGATGGCTGTTGGGCTCGGGATCCCATTGACACTTCCACGGTCAATGCTCTCCCTTCCGAATCAACGGGCTGTCCCTGTCTATCCCAGTGACAAGGCAGGAGCTGAAGAGTTCTTGATGTCGCAACGGCCGAAAAGATTTCTGCTTGGGAAAAATTCGAAGGGATTCGCCAGTGATGAAGTTTTGCTAGGGCTGGACAAAGCTCTGGGAGGACGAGCATCTCCCCTTATCATCGAAGGCCTACTCCAGCTTGCGGAAACTGCTGGTGCTGGTGCTGGTGCTACAGCCTCTGGGGGTACTTTTACTGCGAATAAGAAGGGACAGGCGATACCAACACTCGCTTATCTCTTTACCAAGGCAGAACACTCCCAGCCGCCTGCTATCTGGCGATTGTTTCTTAGCCGAGTCCCGCAAAGATCTCTCGATGCATCACTTGCCAGCGTGCTGACTGATCGCGGCAGTGATGTTGAACGCGTCAGATCTTTGTTAGAACATGGAGCCAACCCAGAATTGTGCCAAGATCGAATCCTCGATTTGATAGCCTCCGGTTCGGAGGAGCTCATCGAGACACTGCTGTTGTCGCCACTCCTCAACAATGTTGAATTATTAAGTCATGGCCTCCTCATAGCTGCTTCCAGCAACTCCCTGCGGAATACTTGTATGTTACTTCTGAGAGGAGCAGATGCGAACTTCAGCCAAGCCGGCGCCCTGAAAAAAGCTGTTTCCGCACAGAGTCTCGGGGTGGGACTAGCTATCGTGATAATGGCCAAAGTCCCTGTCTCTTCAAACTATCTGGATGACGCGACTGGACTGATAGGTTCCTGGAGCCAGGAAAACCAAGACCCTTTCCTGAAAATACTTCTCTACGCTGGCGCCTCAGGACCTCGAACGAGCAAGACTGTGATACCATTCATTGCAGGACAAGTACATGACATTGTCTCTATCTTGATCGACTGCCCTGCATTTCGCCACGGTACCTTTCCTGCGCCAAAGTTGTTCCAGTTTGCTATAGAAACTAGAAATTCCAATTTGGCTTCAGAGGTACTGCGTTCGAGCAATAATCGATCATCTGCAGATTATGTTAGTACTGGTACTCATCTGCAGCTTGTCAAAGACTATTCTACGCGTGCAGAAGAAACTCACAGTATCATTTCGGACCTTTTGACGTTAGGTGTCGGTGGAGATTATACTTCCCAAATGCTTGTCGAGTGCTGTAAGCCGGAGCAGATAAGGAGTCCTCACATCATGGCTTTAATCGATCTGCTCATTCACTCGGGTGCTGCAAAAGCGACTTATTCTGACGGTGCCGCTCTTCACTGGGCAATCCAAGCAGCAAACCCTGCAATTGTGGGTGAGCTTGTAGCAACGAAGCCGACAAAGAAAGCCCTCTCCTCTGCTGTTCAATACACAAGCTCTTGCCTGGGGGACGAGAGCCCAGCAAAGCTGGAGATATGGTCCATACTGCTTGATGCTGGGGCTTCTGGACCGGCCGTGGACCAAGAGCTTGTCGTCGCCATTGACAACAACCCACACGCCCATGAAAAAGTGAGACTCCTGCTCAAGGGTGCTTCTCTGGACTACCTCGAGGGCAAGGCTATCGCCAAGGCTGTACAGTTGGAGAGACTAGACCTCTTAGAGACGCTCCTCGCACAGAAAGCTCCTCAGTATCTCACGTTCACATCGGTCTGGAAACAAACACGAAAGATGTTTGCGCTTGCTGGAAGTAATGACGGAATGTTACCATACACTCTAGCTTACATGCAAAGGGTCATCGAGACATTGTATGACTCTTCAAATGGCTCTGCTCCTCTCAATGAGCTTTTGCTCGATGCAACTCAATGTACTTCAAAGGAAGCTGCCTTAGTTCTGAGCAAACTCTTCCTCCGTTGGGGAGCGTCCCCAGACCATGCGCTGGGATCTCCCTTGCAAGCTTGCATCAAGCGAGCCGACACGAAAACACTTGCAGCATTGCTCGCTGCTAAAACTTCCAAAACTTCTCTGAAGTACGGATTGGTAGAAGCATTGTCATTGCGCGGAAACGATCGCCAAGCAATGCTCGAGATACTTGTCGGTACCGGATTAGAGAAGACCTCTTTGGATGCCGCCTTGCCACAAGTTCTGAAGGAAGACCGCTACGATGGCCCTACTGTTCATCTACTCGTCGAAGCAGGTGCAACATTACATAGCTCTTTTGGCGAGAACTTGGTACCGCCTTCGGTGCATCTTGATCAGCAGGTTGTCGAGAAGCTTCTTCCGGCGGTTGGGAGAAACGACAGCCTTCTTGTGCCACTCAAAGCTGTACTCGGTTGTCATACAGATTGGCAAAGTCCGGATGGGAAAAGCTTGTCAATGGTGAAGTTACTTGTCAAGAATTGTAGCAGAGGCACATGGTCCGATAGGTATTTCATTGCTGGGGTCAAGTCAGGAAATCGGCATTCTGCACAAATATTCGCAGACAACTTGTCATCAGACGTCATATACTCTGTTGCACTGCACGAGCTTCTGGTAAGTAATGGCACCGCACTCGACCGAAAGACCCTTTCAATGACCCAATATCTTCTCCAAAATGGAGCAAGAGGAAAGGTGATTGATGAGTTCTTTACACACGCCGCCCAGGCCCTCCGACATGAATGGGTCAGCGCATTGTATCCTTACCTCTCCGACCGCACGGTTGCTCTTTCCGCTTTCGACCTTGTTGTGAATTGCAAGGGGCCAGAGACTGCTCTGGCTGGTAATCGACTTGAGGTCGTGCAGTTCCTTCTCAAGCAAGGTCTTAAAGGCCCCGTCGTAGATGACGCTTTTGTAAAAGTTGCCTCTGCTGCGGATCTCAAGGCAATGAACGATTTCTCTCCATTTGTTTCTTCGAAGGCCACATTCTCAGAATCCTTAAGCTTGCTTAGTCAACGACAAGATCTTCTGACCTCGAGAGAGGGATTAGCTGCTACCCAAATTCTACTGGGCAAGGGCGCGTCTGACGTTTCGGTGGCAGGCGCAGCTAGAGCAGCAGCAAAAGCTCTGAGCTTGGCTGGTGTGAAGTTGATCATCGAAAAGTCTCGAAACAATCCCACAACTCACGCTGCATTCCAAGGGCTTATGGAACATGTACAACCACTGAGCTCTTCCAGTCTTCGAACTATACTTTTCTATCTGTTGGAGAACGGTTTAGCAAAGCAAGACTTGGAACATGTCGCTCGTCTCGCGGCCGCCGCATATGATGTCCCTGTGGTCAAAGCCTTAGCTATACAAGAGAGCGCCTCACATCTGTACGACATCATTTTCGATGAAATTGCTCTTGCACGGAACAGATGGCTCACTCCGGAAGGTTTGCAATTTGTCGAGTATCTGCTGGGGAGAGGCGTGTCTGGGCCAGCAATCTACAAGCTTGTCGAGGTAGCTTCAAAAGCCTTGCATCTATCAGCACTTCGAATACTTTTACCTGCATGTCAGGAGGGAGCACACAAAGGGAAAGGCGCTGAGATGGCCTTCAATTCCGTCGTGTCGGACGAGAAGAAGTGGACTTCCCCAGAAGGTTTGCAGGTTGTTAAGTTTCTTTTGGAGTCTGGGGCAAAGGGGGTTGCAGTTGAGAAAGCGGCAGCATATGCAGCAAAGACCTCAAATTATGACGCCTTGGATGTGTTCCTCAAAGGCCCTGCTGCGGCTACAGCGATTCCAGCTGCTTTCAAAGCTCTGACGCGGCACAAACCAGGACAACTCTCTTCAGATCAGCTTACCATCGCTTCCACCTTGGTCAAGGAAGGAGTTTCCACCGAGGTTCTGGCTATCGCTGCTATTGAGATGGCAAAGCTTCTTGACATTGAAGGGCTGAAGGTCTTATCTGGCTCACCAAATTTCCGCCAAGTCTCAGATGATGTGCTCCGAGCCATGTTGCTGAGCGAAGACTTGTGGCGTGCCGCCGCCGGAGTTCGCATCACGCATTTTCTCCTTGAGAAGGGTATCTCAACTAAAATGGTCGAAGCGGTAGCTTTGAGAGCCGCTAGAGCGCTCGATATTGACGTGCTACGCAATGTCCTGGAGTTCAACAGCTCTGTAACTGTGATAGAATCTGCTTTCACATCTATGACTGGCCTTGAGAAGAAATGGTTATGCCCGGAAGGGCTTCGAATCGCAGATTATTTGCTACAGCGAGAGCCGTCTCAAGGAAGTATCAATAAAGCCTTCATTCAAGCCAGTCAGTATTTGAATTCCGATGCCATACAGCTGTTACACCCTCATGTAAAGGACGTTTCAGTTTTCAACGAGGCCCTCTACCGGGCCGTGAGTACAGAGTCAGAATGGCTCTCTGAACTTCACCTTATACAGCTTCTCCTTGAATCCGGTGTTGAAGGAGATGCACTCGAATTTGCTTTCCTCAAAGGTGCGCAAGCTCTAGATATCGCTTCTCTAGAGTTGCTAGCCCCCAGGATTGATCGTCCGGAAGTGCACACCAAGGCAATTGCGGCCGCGACCGAAGGCACGACCCGATGGCTGCACTGCCTCAATGTCATCGAGTTTCTGCTCCATCACGGTGCAAATGGGGAGCCTATTGATAAGGCGTACATATCAGCATCCAAAGCTCTCGACCTCCAAGCGGTCACACTTCTCAGACCCCATGTTGCTGACATAGATACTCACAGCCATGCATTCCGCGCAGCAGTATCAAATGAGTCCTGGCTTTTGCCCAGCTCATTTGAGCTGCTCCAGTTTCTTCACAGCGATGGCGTGGCTAGTGATGCTGTTGGAGTTGCTTTAGTCTCCGCTGCCGAAGCCATTAACCCCCAAGTCGTTGAGCTTCTTTCACAGAATGCTGACGAAAAATGGAGTTCCCAAGCATTTATAGCAGCCACCCACGATGTCGGGAAATGGACATCACCAGAAGGATCAAAAACCATACAAATTCTTGCACAAAAGGGTGCTCGTGGTAACTCGGTGGATGAAGCCTTGATCAATAGTGCGAGGCTATTTCGACTTGATCTTGTCACCGTATTGGCCCCGAATATCGACAAGGAAAACTTTGGCTGCGTTTCACTCGCATTTGATGCCCTGCTTTCAAGCAATGGCGGAGACTCATCCAGCACGACCGACGCATGGATGTTCAATCCAGATGCATTAAATATACTGCAGATGCTTGTCAGTATGGAAGCCCACGGGGAATCTGCAAATGGTACGGCTTTAACGTCCCTTCTCCTATTTTAAATATGGGCAACTACTTAACTTGCTATTTTTAGATGCCCTAGTAAGCGCCGCAACATTGGGCAGCATTGACGCTGTCGCTATTCTTCTCCAAGTAGTAAATGACCCTTCAATCTACACCGATGCCTTCAACGCTATGACGGCTTCGGGAGAATTGTGGCTTGACAACTACTACTTCAGCCTCGTTGAAGCCCTTCTCTCACGTGGAACTGCTGATGAAGGTGTGCATTCTGCTCTTGTCACCGCAATTGGTTACGTGATACAGGATGTCGCTTCACAAGAACTGCTTGAGCTGCTTCTGAGCCACGATGCGGACGTGAATTTCGATCACGGCAAAGCTCTCCAACTCGCTGCTGAAAATGCACGAGAAGATCTTCTCGAAATGCTACTACCGAAAAATCCAAGCTCGCACTCAATCTATATGAGTTTGCAAACTGCATTAAGGGTTGGTCACGAGGAGGAGATAGTCTTTCATTTTTTCAAGTCAGCCACTGAGAATGAGTTTGTCCAAGAAAAACCGGATGTCAACAACTATTCAGACCTTGGTTATCCATTACTGTTTTATTGTCTCAACAACTATCCGGCGTCAGCCCGTCTAGCAAGAAAAATATGTGAGCTCAACGCGGACTTGTCAGCAACCCTTGATTGGGACATGTTCGAAAATGAGTATGACGAACCGCTTTCCGACGGTTTGACTCCTCTTTTGATTGCTTTGGAGAAGGATTGTTCAGACGATGTGATAGGCGTCCTGCTTGACCACGGAGGTGAGTTTGGGGAAATCTTTTTCAACAACCTACTGTGTCCATGCTAACTTATCTCCAGCGGAAATCAACTTTTCTACAGAGCAATATCAGGTCAGCCCGCTCATGACTGCTGCAGGGAAAGGAAGACTATCAGTAGTGTCAACTCTGATCGACCGTGGTGCAAGTGTAATCCAGAAAGACTCTCGCGACCGAACACCTTTGTGTCATGCCGCTCGCAATGGCGATTTGTCAACCATAAGGTCTATACTGAAGAAGAATCCCGCACGCAACGATGGCAGTCTTCATGAGGCAGCAAGGGAGCTTCACGCCGATGCGGTCAAACTACTTGTCAAAGCCGGCCACGACATACACTTTCCATCGTCGAAGCATGGGGGACGTAGTCCATTGTGTGAACTATGCCTTGTCTGCAGGAGGGCCTCTCAGGACCCCGTCGGCCTCCAGAGAACTCTCACTGAACTGGCTACTGCTAAAGCCGATCCTCTGAGGAAGTCGCGTGGTAGAACGGCTCTCTTTATGGCGATGGAAAACGAAAACCCAATCCCCGTTGTTACAGCCCTGATCGAAGCATGCTTGTGGAAGGATCTGAATGATCCACAAAATATTTATGAAGAAGGAGACTACTTCTACTCGCCCACAATGTACATCAAGAAAAGTAGAATCCAACAACCTGAAGCCACTCAAATGCAATTACTGGAGAAGCTCCAAGACTTCAGTGCAACGGACAGGTACTATGCCAAAGAGCGCATGCAGCAGCCCAGAGATGCTGTCGGAATGCCACAGCGGTTACAGGATTTGGACCACAAGAAATGGATACGAACAACTCGAATCGAAGAGGAGGAGGAAGATTTCGAACGCAAGCTCAAGAGAGCAGACCAAGAGGTGGCCAATCGGCAGATACTTAGTCAGAGACAACATTTGATGCTGATGGAGCAGCGCGAAAACATCGGACAGCAGCAGTCTATGCATACACTCGACACTCATCTCCTCGGCATGAAGCTGAAAGACAGAGAACACGGCATAGGACTCATGCACCAAGAAGAGCTCTACGACCGACGTTTGGGCGAGATGGCATCTGGAAATGTGATGAAGCTGAACATTGAGACTGCACAACACCACGCAAAGTTTGGCATGCAGCAACAAAGTCGGCAAGCCCAGTTACAGCACGAGGGTCTGACCCAAGAACAAAAGTTGAGCTACCTTGGTCAAGAACAAGGCATGCGGTATTCCAGTCTCGAAGCACAACAGGACCTCAGACTGGAGGGTATGTCAAGCGAAGCGGAACTCAAACGGCAGCAGCAGCAAGATGAGCTCAGGTACAGAGAATCAAGGAGCGGCGTGGATAGGGGTGATCTCGACCACAGACTACAGCATACCAATCAGATGAATACTGGTAAAATTCAGGCGAATCGCGAACTATCGGATATGGAGTACAATTCAAGGCGAAACAAGAATCTCCTCGAGGACGAGAACCGTCAGTCGCAATTGCAACATCAGTACGCGACCGACGAACGGAAAATCAGCACCCAAGGCGCTCTGAACCAGCATGAATACGCTCGAAACCAAGACCAGATCAACACACTCAGGAATAAGGGTCAGATCGAAATTGGAACTCGTGCAGCAGTGGGCCAGATTGAAACAGACACGATGCAAAACAAGCTGCAGATGACGCAACAAGATCGCAGTCACAAGATTGCCGCAGAACAGCAGCTGGGACAGGTCCAAAACCAGAACCTGGCAGAGAAATTCCAGATCACCCAGGAAGATCGCCACAACCAGTTGGAAACAGAAAGCAGAATGGGGCAGATCAAAGTTCAAAACCTGCAAGGCCAACTTGGTACCAAGCTGCACTACCAGAAAGCTTCAAACCAGGAGAGGCTAGGCTTTCAGCGACAATTTGACCATCAAACATTGCAGACTCTTCAGACCAAGGGAAATATTGAGAACAGCACTCTTGAAACTAAGGGCAAGATTGAGAATAGCACGGCATATCAGAGAGCGAACATCAATTTGGAGTACCAGCAGCGCAGTGGGAATATGAAGTTGGGGCAGCAGAGGGCATCCAAAGCTATCGATTTGCAGGCTCAGCAAGCAAGTGGCAATATGAGGATTGGGCAGACGAGGGCAACAGAGCAGATTAAGGCTGCAGGCAACCGCTTCCGGCATCAGGATAATTTGAATTTTAAGCAGCTTGGTGGGTAAGAAAGTTTGTAGCTTGGACAGTTACGGCCTCGTTTACTTGTTTTGGTATTGACTTGCTCTTGACTTCGTTTTACTTAGTTCACGAATGGGAATGACATGAATAATCACTGAGTCTTAACTTGCGTGAATTCGGGTCCAGCGCTGGCAATGCATTAGCGGGTGTAGAATTTACTGCCTAATTATAGGGCATTACAACGATTGAAGCGCTGGGTCACTGCGATTTCCGGTGCTCAGACCACCGTGTTCCGGGGTATTATTCTTTGTCATGCCCCGCCCCCTTTTTAAGCGAGTTGCTGAGCCAAGCGAGGCTGCACTCATGGCATTCCCCTGAACCGAGCTTGGCGCATACAACGCAATAAAACATGAAGATAATTCATCGGAGAATCAGGTTTCAACTTGTATACGATGTGAGAATTCAGCACGGAAATGGAACAGGCAAGTGCCAGCAACACCACAAACGAATAATTAAAAGTCTAAAATTATGGTAGTAAGAAATCTGTTATTCTCTGAACTGAAAATTGCTAAGAAAAGTTCTCTCCCTAGGGATCTAGCGTGCCAGCATATTGGACACTGCTCCTTCCTCAACTTCTGCGTAACCCTGCAGGGTTGGCATTTTACCCATCCGAACTCCCTGTTTAAATGGAGATCAAGTGTGGTGAGTTTAGTTCCCTCCACAGACCACAGCAGTTTAAGCCATGTAACATCATCATCCTTCTTCAAATTAAGCTAGCATAATTTCCTTATAAAGAGAGACCGTAACACTATATGCCAGCATAAATTTCCAAATTTCTTGTTGTTTCTCGTCCTCGAAACTAAGAAAGTGTGGCACAGTCCTGGTTCTTGTCCAAAGGAGCCTCAAAAAACGGGAGTGCGCTGTCAAGTTGGAGGTCCTTCTATGTCACACATCCTATGCCTCGCTACAGAACTTCTTCGAAGTCGTGTCGACAGGATGGGCAGGAATTTGTGCTCAAAGAGCCAGCGGGTCAGACAGTCGGAACAAAAAGACGTGCCCGGAAGCATGTCCGGTCGGTACTGTACCTCCGGCCCCTTGTCTGAGAAAGAGACACCATAATTTTCTCGATAAATGGGACGGATGGGTCTAATTTCAGGTAGGGTTTCGATCAGGCCTGATAGCACGAGTTGAGAAACCGCAGCGACTCTTCTCGCGGCTCCATCACCAAGGTAGTATTCCCAGTCGTCGGCCGTATTGTTATCGCTTCCGTCTGCTTGCATGGCCCGTAACTTGCATGAAGAATGCAGTGGTAGCTTGGATGATCCTGGCATGTATAGACATGACATCTTCTACTGTGCTCTAGAACTGGGGCTCAGTGACCGCAAAAAGTGTGATATATCACTACATGGCTGTCTGGAGTCGCCATGATGAGAGTAGTTGTGGGAGTTTGGTGGTTCTTGGAAAGCCTAAGGAATATCGAGAACTTTAAAAGAGATGTGATAGTCGAGGAAGAATGAATGGGGTAGCTGAGACAAAGAGATCCACGTCCTGTGCCATATAAAAGAGATAATATAAAACTGTTGTTCAGAAAATGAAGGCAAGAGGCAATGCAATACAACCGCTCATGAGAATAAAGGACACAATGATCTGGCGGGTTATAGAGTTAGTGAAATCCCTGTCAAAGAAATCAAATAAACCACAGCAGAGGGAGTGTCGTACGGGTACGGGTACTAGGCTTAGCTCAACTTACTCAGCAGCTCCCCTTTATTTAGCTAGACCAGAAGCTCCCTCAGAGCTTCTTTTAATCAGACAACCATTTATGCAAATAACTGTTCCTTACTCTCTGCAATAGGGAGGAAGGTTCCTTTTTGACACAAAAGTTATGGAATTCGACTTGTTCTCAACTTGGGGGCGCGAATAATACACAGTTAAGAGTGCAAAGGTCGGGATCACTCGAGTATGTTCTACATTATTTAGCTATACTCAGCCAAAGATGCAGCAAAAGATGGAAATTAAAAAAAGTTATTGGCGACGTACCGCATGGGGGGGATTCATGTTGAAATGAAGCTTGAATTGTTGTGTTTTTCTAGGAAAGCTCCAGCTTCCTTAAAACTCTGGAAATTACATCCCCACTTAAAAGTGGACCACAGAGCGCACAGCCCCTGATTTTCAATAATCCATGGAGTGTTTTGTAGTAAATAGCTATGAGCTTAGAATTTATTAACTGAGAGGGTCTGCCACAGGGTTAGTTGGTGTTTTTAGTTCTACATTGCTTACAATGTTGCGACATTTTCTCCTCAAGTCTGCAATTTGACAGTGCTACACGAAGGATGACTGATCGGCCTAGAAGAAAATTTCTTAAGGTTGAGGGGCTAAGGCAGTGATTCGAAAACCTTCTCTCGTAGTTGGTCCGCCGAATGTCCTCCAAACTCTTTGAGCATGTGGATGGCACATGAAATACCATCAATATACTCAAGGTTTCTCGTTCGCCGGTGAGCTTCTTGTAATAGTTCTGCTTGGGTCAGGAGTTCATCGTTTGAGAACATATAGACAATATCCTCTGGAACCTCAAGAATGGTATCATCAAGTCGCTCCCGCCGTGCGTCCTGATCGTCGTTTGGTCCAAGGTAATACTTCAGTACTTTTTCCAGATTCCCACGCAAAACCTGTAGCCGTTGAGCGTTGTCGTAAGTCAAGCGTTTTGGACAAATACTGCATAGATATGCTTCTTCAGGCTCATTCTTTTGATTCAGCTCAGCCCGAAACTTGTCGCCTCCAGCCTGTAGACGTTGAAAATCTGCTAGGGCTTGGTTTCTATTGCTTTGGGGAAGTTGAGGCGAGCCGTAAATGCAATCAGGGCACTTGGCGTTCGCTGATCTGTAATGATCGGGCTGATCCATGCAGCCACATTCATTTCTACATTTCTCAGTGGTTGACACTAAAATAGTGTGCCCACACTTGACGTTATAGAGGAAGCTACTGACTTGACACATTTTGAGGAGTCCGAGTGGAAGATTCTGATATTTTGGGTTGGAGCTGGGGTAAATATTTGGTTGGTATAGCATTGAGGAGTAGTGAGTATCGAGGATATAATTATCAAAGCTGTAAATGCTGGGTGATACATAGAACTGGGAACATGTTCATTTCGCCTCAATATAACAGCCGCAATGCCATTGTTCTGTGATAAGAAAGATGATAACGTAGTGAGGGAGCCGTTGAAAGAGTCATTGTTCAAATCTTCCTATTGTAGGCAACAAACAGTTCGTCTTCTTTTTCCCTCAAAGTGCTCGTTTTAATCTTACCTGCCAACCAAATAAATCTTTCAAGACCAATAAACTGCAGTTGAGACTGCAGCTATGAGTCACGTGCCTGAGGAGACAAGCCCAATAGCCGAGGCGAGAAAGGGGGGGCGATCGGGCGAAAATGGCTCTTTTCGGGTCGCCTTCCGTCCATTCAGGGATCTTGCATTTTTTGAATTTTGCAAATCTGCCTATCCAATCTGGCTGATGAGGCTGTAGTGCAGTAGCTCAGCATCGCAGCCTTACTATGACCAAATGAATTTTCGTGGAGTGTTCAGCCACCCCAAACAAGACTAGCGCACTGCACAGACCAAGTGCTTTCACAGTACTTCATCAGCACCTCTTCAACCTTACACGATCTTGATTCTTTAACCATCACCCTCCAACCTCCAACGTTCAACTTTCGACCTTCAGCATGGCCGTGATGAAGGGTCCTGTGGCCGCTCCCGTCAGCGACAGTACTAGCGCACCTGCTGCTGTCTCCTCACTCTCATGCGACTGGGCAAGCTCAGCCTCACTCGTGGCACAGATTCAGGCAGAGAAGCTCATCGTACCCGACGTCGTAGCACAGTGCGCGAATGTTTGCCAGGTTGCTTTTAATTCTACCAGTGCACCTGGTGTAAGTTCATCACGAATCCTTCATCTTTTCTACATTGCTAACGCGCTCATCAGGCATTGGCAGGTGAAGGAGTATGTTACAATCACTTTCGGGTCAGTTTTGACTGGACTCTTGCTGATACCCACTTAGATCATAATCTCGTACTTCATCCAAGTAGCTCTCGTCTGCCTCTTCGGAGCTCTCTTCCCAATCCTCATCTGCCTCTTCAACGTCTTCTCATGGAAAGTTGCTATCCGAAGAACCCCACTCCTCCGCAAGCTCCAGAAATCCGTCTATGAAATCAACGCCTTCTTCAGTATCTCTCTCTTAGTAGCCTCGATTGTCCGTTGGCGTCAGGCCCCTTCGGTCGTGGAGACTGTCTTGATCTCCTACGTCGTCTGGACTCAGCTCTTGATCCTCACCACCATGCTGTTCGGCCAACTTTCCGATAACGTGATGAACAAGGCGAATTTGACTTGGCACTGGCAGCTTTATTACTTTGCGATCTGTATCGCTCAGCTGGCCACGAGCTGTGTGGTAGAGGTCCCGCACCCAGGCATCTACCAAGACCTGGCGAAGCAGTGCCACAGTCAATACGGCTTCACCAATCTCAGCGCCTTACTTCCGGCATCCGAGAAAGGATTGATGACGTTGAAGTGGGACATTATCGGAGCACTGGGCGGTTTGGCGATTGCTATCATCGGTGGGGCCTTTGCCAAAGTGCTTCTGAAATTTACTCCCGCATGGCTGAGGAAACACGGCGGGGTCACCTTCCTGATCACCATCCTGCTATTGAACATTACCTCGGCTGTCGCCAACGCTGTTGTGACTGGAAGCCTTCGTGATACCCTGAGAGAGCTGAGTGGAGATCAACTTCCGGACAATGGCTGGAGTTATGGCCAGATCACTGCCATTCTGCTGTGGGCTCCGTTCTTCTGGGGAATAGCGAAGGAGACTTTCAGTCAGTATTCCGTACTTGGTTTGCTGTGGATTGATGTTAACATCAGACAGGGCATTTGAGAGAAAGAGATCTAGTTGATCAGAACGGGTCCGAGATGCAGGCAAAGGGGAACCCATCCGCGAACTCGGATGTTGTGCCACCACCATACACCCCGACTCCGAAGAAAGGCGACGCAACACTGCCTATCTAGCCGATCCTAAGATGGCTCTTCATTGCATACCGCATCTGATTTATGTTACGACTACTTCTGGGAGTAGAAATACGGGACAAGCCTATCTTTCTCTCATCCTAGGCGTCATTCAGTCTCAGCTACGCGGCGTGCGCGAAAATCCTTCAGAGAACTACTTGATTTGGTGCGCAGATCATATACGACTTCATGATACACGAGGAGATGAGAACTGTGGCTGCTGCTGTGGCTTGACGAATGGGTCTTTGGTAAAATTGAAACAGCTCATGGAGAAGAAAAGAGGAGTGCGGCGGGGTAAAACGCGGGGTTTAGCAGAATCTGCGCGAAATTATTCACCCATGGCCTATACCTCCGTAGAGTTCGCGTCCGTCAATGAATGCACATGAATTCAGTTAAGGATTGTGCGTTGAGAGTTGTGTTTTATTCAGCGATATATCCAGATTAAAAGCCATGACCTTACGCCTCAACCTTAGCTCCTAACCAACGCCTTGCAATGCAAAAATGTCACAGCGTCCTGCCAATCAGGACGGCGATGCTGACGCCGACTTCTTTGTTATATCCAGAACTCAATCTTTTTCGTCTCCTTTACCCCTTCCCTATTTCTTCCCAAAATGGTTGATCATTGCGTCTTCTTGCCATTCGCGAACTCCTTCTCACTCACAGCAACCGTCGGTCTAGATCTCATCAGCACCATCCCCAAAAAGAGTGAAGAGAACTTACACAGCAGCAACAATTGGCTTATTCTCATGCCCATGATACGTCTCCCCCATCTCATCCGTCATTTCCTCAACGCCCATCAGCAAAAACGGCATCAAGCCAAACATTAACAGTACTCCTGCTCCCAACCCACCAACCACGTAATCCGTCTCCCAGATCCATTCGCTCCAGCCTTTCTCATACATGAAAATCCCACCTGCCAACTCCGCCACCAACATAAAGCCCAATGCTAAAATTCCAATCGCTAACCTGAACCCTCCAACACGCGGGACCTCATAATTCACGACTATAAAGCGCGCCCAGAGCGTGTTTACGAGTAGGAAGAGGGGTAGCGTGATGAGTTCGGACTGCGGTTGCGTGAGGTGGTTTATGGGCTGTAAGCGTGCGAGGCGGAAGTATGTTATTAAGAGCCCGGAAGAGAACGAGAGCGCGAAGTAGAAGAAGGAAAGGCGGATGATGAACAGCGCCAGCGCAATATCCCACAGCAGTTCAAACACCGAAGTGCTGGTTTCGAAGAGGATCATGTTAAAGGTTGGGCAGTATCTGTGGTGCCACCTATGACTTGTTCTCGGAGTTGGTGTTGACGACGCTATTATCGGCGATTGATTTGATTTGATTGTTTGATTCGCGATTTCTGGAGGAATTTAGGTTGAACTGGAGGAGAGAGGTATTTTTGTGCGAAAGCGTGGTTTTATGACTGATGGGGAGCGCGTCAATTTTGTTGCACTTCATCTTACTATTGAGTGGGCTGACTTGTCACACCACATTAGCAAACGCGTTAGGCACCACGTGAGGAAAACGCCATGTCGATGAGGCGCTGGAAGTGAATGGGAACACATGACGTATATGCGGTGGCGTGAGTGAGCATGTGAGGTCTTTCCGTAAAAGGCGAGTTTTGGAGTTCCGAGATGTTTTTGAGGTTGCAGGTTCCCCCTTTTCTCGGCCCGGGAGAGCGTTTGCCGAAGCGAGGTCCGTTCAGCAATAAACTTAGTCGCAAGCGACCACTTAAGTAACAATTGAAAAGGAATCTTGTGTAGAACCCTTTCATATTTCACCTTCATTTTCTTATCTCGTCTTGTCGCCTGATCATATCTCGTATCACGTGCTTTCCCATCACTTTCCGCATTGTTGAACTAGCTTAATAATAAAGCTAGGGTCACGAGCTTGCATTGAAAACCAAGTAAACGATACTGAATTGACTGCTGTTCTACAGTGGTAAGTAGCCCGAATATATAGCCCTGAACGCCCTAAATCACATGCACTAATTACCCTATGCCAGCTGAACCGATTCAGCCCTACAGGGCATATTACAGGGCATTCTAGCTATCAGGATTCCAGCTATACAGGGTACTAAGCCCCATAGTGCACAGCCCCACGGCGTTCCGTTCCAGGGCTTACCAAGCTTATCAGGGGCCTCAGGCCCCTAATTTCAACACGCATCTTCCGGCGAACTAGCCTCAACCTCCACCATTCTCTCAGTGATCGTTGTAGTACTAGAAAGCAAAGGGGTCCTCCCTTCAGATTCCAGCACCCTCTACACCAGCTTTAAGCATTCAAACTTATTCTCCCACTCCTCCGTCAACTCCTCAAAACTTTCCGTTCTGCGCTAGGCCCGGATCCCGACACCAGGAACAAAAGAGACGTTGGAGACCATACCCCGCAAGCCGGCGTTTGCGAGGAAGGGTGCGATACCAAGGTGTACTGGCTGCTTTGCATGAGGGTAGTTCGACGTTGAGGGTGGAGGGGACTTCGAACGAGGTTCGAAGGGGCCACTGGGGATGGAGGGGTCGAAGGCGAGTTTCTTTTATGTCGGATCTGAGGACGGTAAAACATCAAGACTCGTATATGGGCCGAATAATTGCAAACAAAGCAAGAAGGATGCGAGAGCAAATACAGTAAGTGTTTATGGAACCAGGTAACGCAGTGCGTGCGGGGGTTGTAGCAAGCTATCAAGCTGTGCATTACCTGAAAGGCGCATGAGGAGTGGCCTGGGCTCGTGATTTCAGGCTCTCCGACCGAGCGAGATACTGTCGTAGTCAGACCGTAACATCGACGTGGACGAATGATCCACCCAACTCACGCTGGAGAATTTGTAGCGGCGCACAACCTCGAGTCTTTTTAAGTATCTCTGGATTTTCTGCCGGGGATGAAGCTGCTGTACTAGAGTCGCATGCGGGCCGGATTGAGGAGTTAAAAGTCGACAATGCGAAACACAGAATTCGGAGTACAGCTTCACCAATCCACCAAAATAAATCAGTTGGTAATGAAAATGATGCCCAAAGTTTGAATAGCCAGAAATATCCAGGTGCAGGATGCCTTCAAACCTCGACCTTGAGATAAGGTTTGGTGGCGATTCATTGAAACAGGGATTCCCTTTATATAGTACGAATCTGAGGGGTCCCGGGAGCCGCCGCTCGACGGAGATCTACGATGTACTCCGATGGCCAAGGTGGAACTTATTGAGGTAAGATAGGGCAAAAAAGACTGCAAGAACAACCATCTTCCATCGCAGCATCGAACCTCGAGATTTCAAGAGGTCTCGCAGACATCGCAGAGAGCGTTTTAAGTAAATATAATTCTCCCTCGTGTTGCTGCGCCATGGAAGACCCTGACGCCACCCTTCCTGTACATTTTCCCAAACACTCTCTGATAAGATGAATTCAGATCTGAGCATGGAAGACCCGGTTGCAAACCCTTCAGCCTCTTGATGATCTACACCAATAATCCAAGCATGAACGGCCAACTTGTAGCTGGATATAAGCACAAGCGACATCCGACCAGAAACGTCCGTGGTTAGGCTTCTTGAGAGACCGAACCTGGAGATGGAATGAATTAAAAGTAGTGTTAGGTTTTCTCAGAGTTCTGCTAACAAGCTCAGCCTCAATGTGACTTTTCGATTGTGCGTCGAAGGGATGGCCGGTAACCTAGATTCTCTCGAAAATGTGTGGCAAGGGAATAAGATTATCTGATTCGGTAGGATGGTCTGTCTATCCAAAGGTTTATGCTACATCGAGATCCACTTAATGTCGCTGCGAGGAGCGAGCTTTGTTGATATGGCATGCGCAACAAAGAAAAGACCGGCACTCACGACAATGCTGTGAATCAGACATAATCTGAGCTTCTACTATTTGGACTTCAGGCATACCTTGCTCCTTCTCCTGGTTACTTTGACACTTTATGGAAATCTTCCATGAGGAGTTTTGTCGCCTTTCTTTGCACACTGTGCCTGCCTCTGGATCAACGGGTTCAAAGTTTTCCTCGCCCACTTTGAGTATGACCTGCCTTGGATGACCTGAGGGTCCCCAAAATCGTCCCGATCCACCGCAGCATACCAATACTACCTTGAGGCTCTTAAACCTGCCAAGATTTTTGCGCAGTTCTCGCCCACCGGAATATTCTCCGTTGCCAAGGTCGAACTAGCCAGGAATGTAGGATCGTAAGTATTTGAGATGCAAGATAATTTGAGTAATCTGCTCAAGATCTGCAATTACTTCAGGACTCCCAGCTCCAGATCATATCCGTGTCTAACTGTTTGTTATAATACCCGAGGTTTATCAGGTCTCCACCACGAAGGTCGGCATAAAATGTCGAGTATTCAAAAACCGGCCGGTACCTCGAAAGCGCGACTTCACAGGAGATCAAACACGTTGTGAGAGTGACAGGGTTTGGGACCTTGGTCTCGGAAGGGCTGAAAAGCCTGCTGGGGTCGTATGCATCGAAGAAGACGCTCAAAAGTCGAGGGCCTGGGAGCGGGAATCCCCATATCTTTCGTTGAATCTCGATTGGAAGTCGAGGAAACGGAGGAAAAGTGTCGTGCTGCCGCAATCTCTCGTCCCAATCTGCCTCTTTCAATCGGTGTACGAGATCCTCTTTCTTTCCATCATTCCGAAGTGTTCGCGCGCTCAATTCGTCTTGGAGCCGCTGGATGCTCATCGAGGTGTAGAGGCTGATCATTGAGGCTGTTCAGTGACGGGCGGGAAAAGGGTGTTCTAGAATGCGACGCGACGGTGGGTAGGGTGGGATATGCAGATCCCATGATCACGTGAATGTCGTGCCCCACTTTCCTATCTCGGACGGGAAAAGGGAGTACCCAAAATTGTATCGTTAATTAAGCATTTCGGTCGGTGGGGATGTTCGCAAAGCTTCCATTCAAATTTTGTACATTGGGAGTTTTCCGAGGAAGACCCGACGAGTGGATATCACTGGCCCCACAGAATATCTCGAGAAAGTCAGTTTTTGATGAAGTTGCCCATGCATTTATCCTCACTGATCAATATCCCTTCGACTGAACATGGTTGCAGGGTTTAGCCCTTCTTGAATACAGACCGCGGGGAAAAGCCGAAAAGCCGTTCTGTTTCAAGAGACTTGTCTGAGGCTGTGTGGGAGCTGCTGTGAAAGTTTTGAGCTATTGCCACCATTCGATGAATGGTTCATAAGAAAGCTGTTCCCGGATTGCGAATTTGAGATCGACAGTTTGGCCCAGAACGTTCCTTGGTTGTGGGGAAGTTGCATTGATGAGAGGACCCGGACCCATTCCTGCTTCCTGTAAGCTTGTATGAGATGGTGTACGAGCACAGATAAGCCTACCTAGTGACTATTTATATCTGGCTCCGATTTCAATAATTGTGAGTTGCTATCCTTCTTCTTTCCAAATTTCTTTCGATACAGGCGCCACGTTAGGAGAGTAGCGGCCAACCCAGTCACGACGGGTGGGATAATCCAATAGTACCAGCTGTAAGGTTGCTTAAACATTGAAAGATTATCGCCTTTCCAGGGCCAATCGGCACCCAATGAGTTCTTTGGGAAAGTTTGATCTGCCAACCACGCAATTGTGGAAGGCCCTTTCTGCAAAATCTCCTCGCAAGGGTGGGCGTAGATACTCTAGCGCAGTATTAACATTTTGCTCCTTTGCCCTGTGAGAGGCGATCCCTGCCGAGTTATTTGACTGGCAAAAGGTCACCAAGTTCATCTGATTCTGCATCTTTGCCAGGAAGTTTCCGTTCTTTTGTAAGCCAGTGCCAGCAATTGCAAACATTCCAAAGATAATACCAGTGGCCACGAGAAGCCATTGAAGGACTGCGTTACAGATCAAGTGCAAAGGCGTTGTTTGAGAAACCAATTCGTCTCTGATGGCCTGAAGCAATTCCAGTTGTCGAGATGTCTCAGTGTCTCGCTGCGCTCGAAGATCCCAAAGGAGAGTCTCATTCCTGATCAATATTTGCTTGATGTCCATGTCTTCGTCATACTTCCTGCTCGGAAAAGATGATTCTTCGAAGCCTGGGGATTCACGACGTGGGTTGGTCGACTGGGCCATTTGGGAAATAGATTACCGCAGTATGGGGAGAGCAGAACATCAGAATGAACCCAGAATCCGGGAAGGCCTTTCTTTATGGGATAAAAATTCGCGTTGCCGAGGCTGAGCAAGCCACCATATCTCAGCACTGAGAAAATGAGACATGTGGCGCTGAAACCATTTTCAGCTGTGGAAGAATCACAAAAATCAATATCATGAGCATCTAAACATTCGAGCAGACGAGGTTACACGAGAGGATTAAGAGTATTCACGAGTGAAATTTCAAGTTGTTTGTTCACTTGAACCTAACCACTTATGAAATTCGAAGGACCGATACATCAGGACCAACCTTCTCCCCGTTATCCGCGGGGGGGGGGGGGGGGGACGGTCCGCAATGTGGACTTCTTCAACTAAACGTCACTATATTGCCACGATTAAGACATTGTTCAGCACATTATCCAAATAATTCAACACGTCCTGGACATCAAGTATTCGCAACGCGTTGGAGTATTTGCAAAGAAACTCTCTCACGGTCGAAGGCCGACCTTCTGGACCGCCGCCACATGATTCTTAAAGTCCACCCAAATTCCGAGGGACTTGTTGAGCTAAAATGGCCCCAAGGTGAGCCCTGCCAAGCATCCTAAATTCAGACGTCCTCACGCCCTAAGCAACTTTTTCCCTTTTTCCAAAGCATCGATCTCATTCTTCAAGTTTTTCCGGAGCTGCTTGGTTGAAATATCTTCTCCGGCAATAAGATCTAACTGAGCAGCAGATAAGTCGCTTACGAAAGCTGTCTCGAAGATTCGCAGCGGTGAGGTTGGTCCTGTCAAGAGGTAGAAATCGACACCTTGCATACATACGGTATCTACGAAGCGCTTTCTTGCAACCTCGTAATATGATTCCAAGATATCATGGATGTCTTGGATGGTGTGTTCCGAATTATCCATGGCCATGGATTGTTTGATCCGATCAAGCCGGACAACTGGGTTACGCGATTGCCAGGGGGTGGGATCTTTTTGAGGTTCTGTGTGCGTCTCCAACATCTTCTCTAGGCGGTCCATCCTGCACTTCTGCAAGTTCTTATTGAAGTAGGGATTCGTCGTCAAAGGCGTGCCAAATCGCTCGACTCGGATGATGAACTCCACATGGTCTACGGCCGCTCGATACCTGTCGACAAGTCGCTCTTGCAGCACCGACCACAGGCCGGAACGCACCCCTTCATCAGGGCAGACGTGGGCAAGGGCTTTGCAAGTGAAGTCGTGAACGAAGAACACGATATCGGCTATGTATGCTAAGGTCAGACCTTTCCAGTTCTTTGACTGTTCCTGCCATATTGTAGGCAATATTGAAGGCCCAATTGTTGCAAGGCCGAAACCTCTCGCCTTCCGGTACTCTTCTCCTATCCACTCGAGGATGCTGCGGTCACTTGGCTCGGGAGCCACTCCGTTCGTCGAGATCAGGTCGGAGAGTTCCGGGTACTCAAGATGAGGATTCCCAGCGTCCGCTTCCGACCCATTTGAGGACGTTAAACCGGAGGCTGGGGATCTAGTTGCCACTTCCTCTCTATCTTCCGATTCAAAGTCGACAGTATGCCCTAGTGTCTCGATATCTTTTGCGAAGCGCTCCATGCGTTCGACAGCCAATGTGGCAATCCTGAGCTCAGGAATGCTTCCGAACACCGTGTGGCGTGAATAGTACGCATCCAAGGCGCAGTTCGTCACATCCTGGAAAGTGTGTGACATTTCGAGCAAGAAACGACGCTGCTGGTCCGCCGATTCACGATCCGCCCCGAGGCGTTGGAGGTCCTTGCGGCTGGTCGAGAGCCTTTGCAAAATCTGGGCTTGGACCTTTGGGAACTCTCGGCGTGTGATACTCACGAGCAGCTCCTGTAGACGCCTCTGGAGTGCCGGTGTTCCCACCCGATCTCGGTCCAGCCTGGACCAGGGTTCCGTTAAGAAGAAGTCCTTCTCTGTCCTGTGGCGCGTATCGGCATCGCTTGAGAGCTCGCTCTGGCCCCTATTTCGGACAATGCAATATCCAAGACGGAGCGGGTTACGCTTTCCCTCCACGAGGCTCACCACATTTTCTTCCCCACCCTTGTCAATCAGGTCGGGTTTTGTGAGGACACCTAGCGTCCGGAGACCGTTAGGGTCTAACTCCTTAGCTATGGATAAGATCTCCTGAGTAGCAATGTCTGTGTTACTGGGGATGACTGCAAGGATGATAGTCCTCTCGCCTTTGATATGGTGCATCATCATCCTTCTCACCAAAGCCATGTCGTGCACTGTTGTTACACCCTCCGTCGGCGTTCTGAAGATGCCCGGGATATCGATGATGCTTAGGTTCTGTTTGTCTGGGCCACAAAGCTCTATGCTGAGGATATCGTCGCTGAAGGTAGATTGACTCGTTCCGAGACGTTGGCCGGGGCCGGGGATACCCATCAGTTGGCAGACCTGCGGTGACAGTAATCAGTCAAGAGTGATCAATGCTTGGAGTACTATGGCAGACGACGAACCGCGTGAAGGATGTCAAGAAACTCATTGCTGGTCAGAGCTGACAGCCCGTCCTTCACATAGCCTCGGAGCTTGTTTGTTTCTGTGGGGCTTCGATCGGGCCCTGGGATGATGGAGACTTTGATGCTAGTCGTGGAGCCACGCCGGAAGATGATCTGCGTTACGAATCTAGTACATAACCCACTGTCTCGTGGGAATGGGAGCTCAGAGAAGCTTTCAAGGACGGAACTCTTGCCACTACGACAGTCAGCAGAGGAGCTTCGGAATCAAACCAACTATACCTCGACTGATCTCCCACTACGGCAAGCTGTTCGAATCCAGTTGTCAGCGAGGAATACCATACAAGATATGCCTCTTACCTGCGGTAGGGCAACATAGTTTGACATTCCGAGCCCGCGTAACCCATCGATGATATCTAGCTGCGCTGGACTTACCAAATTCATCGCGGTGTCAGCCATAGCAGCAGTGAGGATTCGTGCGAGGAAACTAAACAGGTCGATGTACCGGAAGTAACTTAGATGAGATTTACAACTCCCCCATCCGCACTTCTCTGCGAGCCTTATACCATTTTCTTGGAAGAGCACCATAGAAGAAAGGGCCCACCCCCACCGAGCGCCGCGAGCCAGACAGCTTCAACAGAGAAGTGTCATCCATACAGATCCGGCTGACGCTGCATCTTGCCAGCGGAGCATATCGCAGGTCCTGCTGGCGGCTCAAAAGAAAAATAGTAAGGCAATCGGATCATCAACCGTTCAAACCGGTTTCCTTGCAGAAACTAATGATAGGATGCGGCTGTCTGGCGGTGGTTGGAATCGACCACTCCGAACCCTGCGTGCTTCCTATGCAGGAGGCCTCCTGCAGGGCAAAAAATCGTGAACAGAACTAGCAATTGGAGGTGGCAATCAATAATGGATCGTACTCGCATCTCCCTCGACAGAGTCTCGCAATAACAGTCCTACCTTCTAAAGCCACCTGGTATAGGTAACTGCAAGTCGCTACACTTCATCTGGTAACCACGTGACCAGCACTGGAATATTGCCCAACCTGATAACAGGACAATTATCCCGCAATCGAAGCAGTAGGCATGCAAGCTCTTGCGCTGGTGAGCTTCAAGGGATGTCTTCTGTGTGAAGAGCTGCCTGCACTCGGGACAGGGGTATTGGTCGATGGGGGGATAGGCGGGCTTCGAGCATGCTTCGTGGCTGTCAGAGGGATCGCAGCAGGTCAGGGGCAGTGCTTGATGGATTTTTGGTGCTGCATTAGAGACGGCATATCGGTGGTGTTGGAGATGCAATATTAACATGGTAGTCGTTATGAGCCAAGAAAAGGGGCTGCATTCAATGGGGGGAGAAGGGAAAAGAGACTAAGTGAGGGGTGACGGCAGCATTGCGGGGTAAGCGGCGTCTGTGTCTGTCATTGGCGGGATCCTTATCTTTTCATTACACAAGTACAGCTTATGGGTGGCTGGCCGCTCGTTCTGACCAGTCGCTCATTTATTGGAACTCATACTAAATGGTCGCCTGACAGTGCTGGTTCGTCGGATCCGTTTTCCGGCCCACATCTCTAGGCTTTAAACACAAGCTCAACCTTTCTACCCTTATAACCCCGTAGTATAATAGTCTAAAGATAATATAATATAGATTCTGTACTCAATCCCTATTAAAATAAAGGCTCTTATAACTTGAATTATAAGAAAATTATTAAAACGGCTCGTGCTTATTAAAAGTAAGATTTTGACTTGTCAAAGCGAAGCTTTCAGTTACGCGCGGTGGGTTGGTGTGGAAAATGTTTACGTGACAAGTAAAAGCGCTATCACATGACCAGGATCAATATTTGACCTGCTGCCGGAGGCTTAAGGGGGGGGGTTGGGGGGTCTCCCCCCAAGATTAAATGGTCCTATCTTCTCATCTTAGGAGGGGGGATTAGGGGGTCTGCCCCTAAAATTAAAGACTATTATCTTACCTCTGAGGGTATTAAAAGAATGCGCTCTCTTGCGCGCTTTGTATCCGGGGGTTTGGGGGGGGGCCGGGACCCCCCAAGATTGCAATATACTCTCTCAAAGAGAGAAAATCTGGCTTGTACTATTTGCATTTGCACTTTCTAATGCGGCCCCTGGTATCTATATACTGCAGTTAGGGATCAGGGGACGGTCACATGGTTGGTCACGTGTTATCAACTATGCATATCCCCATATATATAGCTCTTTCCTCCTCCTCTCCTCCTCTCTTGCTCTCACACATATCGTGTCCTGAGTCCTCGAGTTATTATTTATATATTATTGTGTCTCCACGTGACCTCTTTAGTACTATTAATAGATTTAAGACTAGATATATATTACTATTATATTAGATCTAGATAAAGTCGCGTACTTATTACGTAACTTATAAATATTTAAGAAAGATCCTACTTTTAAGCTCTTGTCTTTCTTCTTTTATTAATTCTTACTTACTATAATAGTATTAAACTTACAGTTTAGTTATTTATATTATAAGAACCGATTCTTCTTTTATCTTTGGGGGGGGGGGGGTTCTTCAGAAGGAAATGGATACTCCGAATAGTTGTCAGGCCTCAGCATGCCCCACTTTGAAGGTGCAATCTTTCACTGCAACAAATAAATGCAGCATCAAGAACACAGTCATGGAGAATGTTGATGGACGTGAGTGTATCATTTGAAATACGTTTGACAAATACTAATTGTGGTCGAGGACTTAGCAATCTCCCTGGAATTAATCCGGTCACTTTTAAGTAAACAATAAGGGAGGAAGAATTTTTTATAATATTTGTGCGATTCATGGAGTTCGTTATATATTGCCAATTTAGGTTGTGTTCTTCTGACCTTTTCCGGATTATCATACTTTGGGGACGGGTGAGGTTGGGAAGACGATCAGGAGCATCTAAAATACAATGACGCAAAACCCTCAATGGAACTCTACAATATCGAGGCTGCCAGTTGTAAGCATAGTGATAATAAATTTGAGAAAGTAAAGTAGTCGGGTTGCTCACTCTATTACACACTATTCCCGGTAAAGCCTGTGCTTATAGTGTACTAGGCCTGTAATTACAGCAGACCTCATAACTTTGCTTGTCGGCACGGCGAAACTCCGGGCCGACCATGACGCTAGACATGAACCTCAACCTTGGAACATAATGATCTTCCTGTAAACTTGCACATCTCAATCATCACAAAATATATGCCGGTTCAACATTGGTCTTTGCTTCAACAACTCGCAAATCATGATTATAGGCTTTCGCATAAGCCATGGCAAGCATCGCAGGCACAGATGTAGAGATATTGGTGCACACCACCGCGCCGAGCAGGGGGCAGGATGACACTCGATACCGCGCTCTTGCTCGAGCATACATGAGATTCCAACCCGAAACACATCAACGACTAGAAGAGGAGTCTGCCAGCAATGAGGTTGGTGTCTTGGGTGGACAGGCGCAGAGTCAGCTGCAAGGAGACCTACTGCAATCAACACAAGAAGAGAGGGAATCAGCCGCCTCATATCGCCCCGATGAGGAGGATGATGCGAGCACTGGACGGCGGACTTCTCTCCAAAGCGAGATTCTGGACCTCTCAAGCCACGCTCGCTCGCTGCAATCACCGATGCTCTCCTTCAATAGCGTCCAAGACAATATCGATTCTCCCGTCTTTCGAGGCCTGGTCACACGTGACGAGCCAGCCTCTAGACTTGTACAAACACAGCGAACTCAGGACTCATCGGACTCATGGCGACATTCATGGAGTAGTATTGCTGATTCTCAACCCGGGAACAATATGTCGGTGCCCGAATTCACTTCCCCTTCGCGGATTCTCAAGCTTTACCTTCCGAAACCTGGCAGTGCCGAGGAGCCTTCGCCACAACTAGGAGGTAGACAACACGCGGATCCTGAGACAAGCACTAGGAGCATATATACTAGCCAAGTGCCGCTATCAGATTCGCTCGAAAGTAGTAGAGTTCTTTCCTCCCCATCTCCAAACAAGCGGACCAGGAAGATTGCCGATCAAGGACCCGAAAATCGAAGTCACGATGCTCCCTCTATACAAGATCCCGATCTTAGTTTGAAGAGAAAGTGGCCCGAATCAAGCTCTGGGGAGATCCGCACAACCTCCGCGCCGCCGAGGATTATGGATGACTCTACAATACCTTCAGACAAGCATCCTCTTAGCCTGCTCACCAGTCCCAGGAAACGGCAACGTATTGACGTTTCAAGCTCTGAAAATATCGGAATAACCACCAGTCTGCCCTCCAGTCAAATCATTAAGGCTGTAAGGTCGAGTCCACCCAGCACAGATAGACCTTCCCCTTGGGCGAGCCTTCTTGAAGTACGCCCAGCCCCACCTACCACATCCACTGAGGACCTGACACCAGAGATGTTCATCACGGATACTCTGCACCAGCTGGCCTCGAAGATGCCTGCTGCACGTCTCTTTCGTCCTGTTGTGGTGACTCGGGAATTACGACCAATGGAACGGGGCTACTGGCTGCTCAATTGTGATAGCTGGGACGAAGGCCTTCGAAGAAGATGCTGGAATTTCCTTGGGGACCGCATTGGAAAAAATCTGGTTGGATGGGGAGTATGGTGCGTCAGAGATGCAGAATATTCGGCGATTCGAGTCTACTGCTGGGGCATCATAGTGGATTATATATACCTGCTTTTGTACCTTGCCAGTGAGGGCAAGATCAAGAATATCGGTGCCAGTTGGATAGGTGGCGATGGAAAGGTTATCATTAAAATGCCATCATGATCACGATTTGTCTTCTGCATTGAACAGTGGGCTCTTACTCCATATGTCAGGTCGGCTTCCATTCAGAAATATTCGTTTGCTACAGGCTTGATGGCTAACTAGCATGCAGTTCACCAAACTTCCGTCTCAGTATACTCAACACAGATCAGCCATCACCGGGTTCATCGATAAACATGTGCTTGGTTTTGCTCAAAGCAAGATCGTTCTGCCCTTGGCTCAACGCTGGACCCGCTGTGATTTCCTCACATGTCCCAGCGTTCCTCGCAACACCAGCCCCCGAAACCCTTTTTCTTGGAATTTGATTCCTATTATTTGTCGGGGAAATCAGCTTTGGACTTAGACTCGCCTCATGATCGGTTTTTGGATCGTGGACTGAGCCGCCCTTCGGCTCCAGGAGCGCCTTCACAGCAGCGTTGAATTGATGTCTCCAATGTCGCTGATACCACCAACCCACATAACAGGTGATGATCATCAAGACGATGGACGCGATTCCAGTGGGTACCCAGAAGTTGGTCGCGAGTCGAATGGCCTCCGCAGTGTTAGTGGAGATGTCTAGAGGATAGTCTCCCCTCAACCAGAATGAAATGGGTATCGAGCAGAGGCAGTTTCGGTACACGCCCAGGAGTTGAAAGAACGTCCCGAAAACAGCCGTAAACATGGATCCACAGAAAATGAAAGCGAGTAGGAATCCCATTATGGTTGGGTAGTTTTTTCTGGGTTTGGTGACGTACTCGACCACTTCGGCAGCAGATCGCTCTCCACTCGTCGAGGACTCATTGTCCTTGCCTTTCTCGGTCATTGATCTCTTTTCGGTGTACGTTCCAAAAGGTAACCAGGCAGCATGCTTTGTCCAAACCAAGGGCGTGAAGAAGTCGAACAACCAGATTATTCCGAGCCACACCTGGAAGACGAAGTACAGCAGGAAAGTAAGGCTTCTGCAAGCGAGTCCGAGGGTTGGGGTATAGTAACTCGTAATAAATGCAAGAACGAACGGAAGCACCATCAGCCCCCCGCTGATAACAACCATCCAAATCCAATCCCAAAGATCAAAGTGGAATTCTCCCTTGCCATGTCGAGCAACATATTTGCCTCTTCCTTCAGCATCCTTCGAAGTCGGGGACGCTCCGTATCGGAAGAACAGCTCGTCGATCCAGATTTTTTTGTTCTTGCCTCTCGCCCACATATCAACCGGGACGTACACACTGTGGTAGTACAACAGATAGAATTTGCGAAACCCCTGTCGAACTTTCATGTCACTTTCTTCCCAAGGTCCTCCTTTCTCGCTGGATACGATAATCTCCAGCGTGTTGGGGTTATTCCCTGCTAACAAGCAACCGGAAACGATGGCAACATGAGGAATTGTCATCCTGTCATCGAATTAGTATGGAATTTTGCTGCTTTTTGATGAGAGTTCAGGAGCTGAGGAGCCAAGCTCTTGAGACAGGAATGGTATGCCGGATTCTGTGAAGCTTCCAGACTCCCAGGTCTCACAAAAGAAACGGCAATTCGTTATTGAAAGAAGCTTACCACCACATTCCGAAAGCAAGTGCGTGTGAAGTATCGTTATCCCCGAGAACGCTGAGATTGCTTATCACGCCAAACAGAAAGGATCCTACGAAGAAGACGACTGGAGCTCCAATTGCTGCTCCGAAGCTTGCTTGGCAATCTAACATTCCCTTCAATCTTGTATCGGTGATTTTGCGATAATCCGAGTTGAGGGCCATCTGTTTATCTACCTCTGTGTCCATTTCTCTAGCCGAGGCAGGTTCAATGCGATTATTTGTTGTCGAATCTTCCTCCTCGTTCGAGCCACCTACGTTGGCCCACCGGTGCCTTGGCGGCTTGACCAAATGATAAACGTCTTTCCACACGCTTCGTGGCTTTTCAGGCTCGTCCTCTATGTCTTCCTTTTCTGGCAACCGGAGATTTCCAACGAGAATCGCATACAGCTGATGGATTCTTTTGTAAAATACTTCCCTTTCCGAAGTTCGGTCTCTCGGGCTCCCCGGCAAGTTTTCATCCGCCTCCTTCGTCGCACGCTTCTCTTCGGCCTTCAACTCGTGCAAAATGCTCCTTATGACCTTCCTATCCAGCGAGGCCTCATAAAGACCGCTCAAAATCATGGGTGCAGCCGCCGAGAACACCACCGTGACCCAAATGAGCGTGTTTACCAGAGCTATCCCAGCTGCGAATGTGGCTCTGAACGACATGAGGAGGAACGTCTTTTGTACAATAATGAACAGCTTGCACAGCTGGATACTTAATTGAACGACGCCATGCTTGCCAGACCCTCCTTCTCGGGTTTCTTTCTCAATCCAGTTTCTCAAGCGCTCCAACTTCCGCTTCTTGAAGAAGATTGTGAGGAGGAAATGAAGGACGAACGCGAGCTCGACCAGAACGTCGGTCGAAGCAGGCAATAGTTCATCAAAGTGATCCTTGAAGAACCCATCCCAAATCCCGATCATCGATTTTCGAGGTACGTTCAAACAGAACACCGCTGCTGGCAAGATAAAACCGACGAATGGCTGGACCCATTGACTCAGAGCCGTATTCGTTGACTTCTCCCAACCACCGCAGTTCTTTTTGCACCATGAATACGGTACGACAACAGGTTGGGCTCCGGATTTGTCTCCATTATAACTTGCACCGCATGGAAACTGCGACTGGCTCAGATTTATGGGAGGGAAATCGATGTAATCTTGATCCTTGTTTGGATTTCGAATTGGCTGCCCATCTTGCAGAACATATGACTCGCTCACAGCTTGCAAACAACATCGTGTGCTATTCCGACCTCCATTATACGGGGAATGTTTGAGAGGAGCTGTGTACAATGAATCAAGTTGTGGAAACGCTTGCGACAGATTCGAGTAGTGGGCTGATAGATTGAATCCAGACTGACTACGAACTGAACCAAGGATGCAGAGAAGGAATAACAGGGTAAACCTCTGGTAGGGCTGAACCCGAGCCATCCTGCTCCTTCTGGAACTCGTTCAATTCATTCAAAATACTAACGTTGAGAAGTGTGGTAGCTCGAGGTTGAAAGATGGGGATACAAATCCCAAAGGCGAAGAAGTGTCATCGCGCAAAGGTTGCAGAAACCAGAAACAGGCAGAAAGGAGAATCACCAGAAGATAAACTTCTTCCCAAACATGTCCCGCCGCCGCCAAGTCCGGACCGACTGTGGCCTCCCTCTCGACCCCAGCAAAGATCAACCCCATCGGGTATCTATTTAACAAGGGGACTTTTTGGACACAACGATCAGGAAGGTCTAATCCCCACTCAAAAGCGGTGATCGTTCGCTTTCCGGTTAGCCGCATGCACAGCGCCACACGGCCTATAAATACCCCAGATTCAGGAGTTCATGCAACATCATATTCCGCATCCAGCCGTGGTGTGGTGTATTTGCACAACGCCAGATTCCGACAGTGCTGCACGTCAGACGAGGTGCGGCAACGATCTCCTATTATTTTCCATGCTGATTTTCAGCTCGCGGAAAGGGGGAACAAGCGTATCACATCACCTGTCATAAACCTCCAATGTTCCAGTCTCCATTCTGGTAGACCCCCAAAAGGTTAAGTGTGCCAACATTGGCCCCTGGCCCCACCCCCACACCTTCGGCTGTAACAACCCACAATCTCAATACCAGCAAATCATGGCGCGAGAAGGCGAATTCGATAATTCAATCCATGTGTTTCAGGTGCGGTGGGCTCGTGGCGGGTTGCAGCAGCGGCGGGAACAACGGCCACTAAAATGGCAAACGGAATGGAGGGTGGCGCCTTGGGGGCCGCTGAGGATCCCGAAACGAGGTGAGATTCAAGACGCACGACCAACCGAATGGGAACAGAGAACAGGGAGCATTAAGTGAGCGCATGATGCATGCGTGGGGTTTCTAATTGATAGCTTTCATTGGTCTGATATTTTCCAAGTCCAATGCTTCGATTCGTGGACTCACAATTTCAGATCCAGTGGTTGGACCATTTTGCTCCCCAAGTTAAATATTCTTTTTTTCGGCTCTCAACTATGGCATGTCTCTTGAAGTCTCGCTCTCCATCGAAACTCACCATTTGAAGGAGAGGTTCAATCTCGTTTTCGTTGCATCCAGCACTGAGGGACCAGCTACCTGCTGTCTGTCATCTCGTTTCTAGCATTCACATTAGTGGCACCAAATTTCAACAGAAAGCGGCGAATTCCCTCAATATCCCATTGGCATCATGCTATATTATTACCTACTGTCTCGGACTTGTGCGTCATTACTTGATGTTTGGGTTCTCTTCGAACGTTCAAGCAGTCGAATCTTCAGGAGTCTCCTCGTGGAGTAACATCCAATTGGTATTTCCTTGTTGTACCGGAGACGAGGTTATTTGACAATATACTCCCAAACCATTTTCCAATCCCATAACATATTTACACCGACCTCCTCAACTCCGGACTCATTCCTCAATATCACAACTTCGCCTTCTCCTGATCCTTCAAAGCACCACTAATCGGCCCCTTACTACCCCCCTCCCCCGCAGCCTCCAAAGCCCACCCACTAACCCCCATCATCCTCTCACTCTCCAACAAAAACATCGTAAAGCCCTCCATCCCCACCTTCTCCGGCCTCAACTCTTGTTTCCTTGCCTGCTCGTGCGTCCTCCTGTCCATACCATGCGACACCATAGCCCCATTCAACGTCGCTCCAAACGGCCCAAACCCCTCCCCCTTATTCCACACACTCTCCTCCTCCTGGCTATTAATAACGACACCAGCAAACTCACTTATAGAATTCCTATGAAAGTACGGCGGCCGATACGTACCCTCCATAACCAGCCACCTAGGCGGAAAAATCGCAAAATCGACAACCGCAGTCCCCGGCTCACGATGACTCGGCGCCGTGAGCACAGTAGAGATACTCGGATCCGGATGATCGAACGAAATACTTCCAATCGCACTGAACCTCCCAAGATCGTATTTATACGGGTAATACGTCCCATGCCAAGCAGCAATATCGAACGGGGTGTGCGCTTGGCTACACTGCCACAGCTTGCCTGCCAATTTCGTCACAACCGTCCAAGCCTCTCTCTCACACGTCGCTACCCCGTTCGAAATGCTGCCTTCGAAATAAGCTGTAGGGATCTGGAAATCTCGCACATTGGCAAGAGAGCAAGATCCAATGGGTCCCAGTTCGGGAAGTTGGAAGTGCCCTTGATATAGTTCACAGATATAGCCTCTTGCCGGACCATTCGGGAGGCTGACTCGGTACCGGATCCCGCGAGGTATGACGCAGATTTCGTTTTGGCGCACGAGGAGGTGCCCGAGTTCGGTGTGGATGTCGAGGGTCCCGGATTGCGGGATGATGAGGTAGTCGCTGTCTGAGGAAGAGAAGATGGTCTGTGGTGGCATTGATTCTGAGGCAGCGTATATCATATATGCTAGTCCTTCTTTCTTTGCTGGGGAGCCGGACTTGGCTATTATTTTCTGCGATGAAATCCAGTCCTGGTTAGGCGTTATGGGGAAGTCATTCCAGCGTAGAGCGTTGGGTGTGAGATGAAACTCTTCATCGGATGACAGAATTGAGGGAGAGCGATAAGAGGAGGGTAAGGGCGAGAAATCGGAATGGGAGAGGGAGGGATGGACGAGGTAGAGCCATGTTTGGAGGTTTTGAGAGCGGGGGGCTGTGAATGAGGTGCCGGAGATGCGCTCGGTGCTTAGGGAGAAGGGAGGCAGTTGGGGACTGTTTATGCCAATGGGGAGAGCGCCTGGTATGGCTTCGGATCTGTGTTTGTCAGTTAGGTAAAGGACAGAAATGAGGTGAGGGGGGTGTACTGATGGTAGCCCCCAAATCCTGAGAGGTAGGTGTATTTCTCTGGGACGCTGAACTTTGTGACGGGCATCTTGTCAACGTAGCCACTCCCGTCAATTCAAAATCGCAAATCTTCATATCCCATGAGCTGCTTACGCTCAAGTTGCATTACCGTCGATGCTGAGGTGTTGTAGAAGTTCATATGAATCCGCATTTCATTAAGTGAGTGATGTGAGGTGTGCCCCACCTCAAATCCCTTGTCAACCCCGCACCTCTCCACCACAACCCCGAGGTTCCTCTCCCATACCTCAGTCACTCACACGTGCATCTCAGGGCCCCACTTCAACCTGACTATCTCTCTCATTTCCTAATCCTGGAAATATCCCTCTTTCACAAATATGAAGCTTTCATAACAGATCCAATCCCTAAAATGGCAGAACCGACTCAAATGCTCATCCTCTCCATTCCCGCTTCAAAACCAATCGAAGATACAACTTCCCCAGCTGGCAAAACATGGCAAGAAATATTAGAATTGATACGAAAGTCAGAAGGGTACAAGAGGTTATATTGGGGTCGTCACGTCGAGAAACCAGACGATGTTCAACTACACATCGGTGAGGACCTTCCCACACACCCACTCACTCAAAGCCATCACATCACATCCTCAACCTTCCCCTACCCATACCCAAGGATCTCTCATTACCTCCTTAACACCTCATTCCCTCGTATCGAATTACAAGAACATCTAACCCGCAACAGTCCGCGGTCTCCTCGAACACCACCACACCTTCCTCACCTCGCCCTCCTACCTGACCCTCACCACCCTCCTCCAAGCCCTCGGAGCCGACAACAAGCCAACAATCCGCCACGCGCTCATCTCAGAGTTTTCACAGCCGTGTAAGGGTTTGGGAAAAGGCGCGCCAGTGACAGGGACAGCGATCTACCTCTCCACCACCGCCTCCTGGAGTCTCGCATGGACGGCCTGGGTCTCCTTCGTGCCGAGCGTGCCTGGATTCCTCGGTCTGCGTCTTGTCCCCATCCTTCCCTTCCCACCTCTCAATCCGCATCCCTCCTTCCAAAAAAAAAAAAGGTTTCCATTTGCTGACCAATTCTCACCCAGGCATCGCGGGCGGGCCGGTGCTGGAAGCGGTCAAGGGGGAAGAGAGGGCCTTCGTCGCGCTCGTAGGCTGGGAAAGTATAGCTATGCACGAAGTAAGTGCGCCCCCACCCCCTATCCTCAACCCTGATCGCTGATCGCTGATCGCTGATCCACCTCAGGCGTATCATCACACTAGACATTTTAGAGAGGAAGGGAGGAAGGTGTTGCTGGATGAGGCGGAAGGCGGGTATGCTCATTATGGGCATATTGCCTTCGCTCACCATGAGGCGAAGGGAGAGAACGGGGAGAAGGGAGGGGGAGGAGCGAAGTTATGAGTTTCCGAGTGGAAAGGCGAAGACGGCGCGTTGGGATGCGGAGACCTCTCTTCTGATCTCGCGGCTGGTGGAGATGGCGAAGCCATGTAACGGCGCGAGAGATGTGGGGTAGAAACGATCCAGGAATCTGTGATGAGAGAAGGCTGTGGACTTCCACCAGACTGTAAGAGCGAGAGAAGATGATGGGATCTAAATCACGAGGATGAGGGAAGAGCAGGGCAATTTTATGTCTTAATATTGCAAACTTGACTGCTGTCTACAATTCACATGCCGCACCATCTGCTTGATATGCCTCACTTACGGTGCCTTCCCCCTTGTTATCACCTCCTTCAATCTCCCTTCGCACCTTCACTCAATCTGAATATCCTCCCGCAATCAATCCTTAAAAAAGAGGGAAGAAAAAGAAAAAGAATTCCCAGCTCTTGGGTATTTCCACAACAAGGGCACAAATTCCGTCAAATTCCAACATTGTACCAAAGGAAGCCCCCTCCCCTCCCCTCCCCTCCCACTCTTCCTCATAAAAGAGGACCCCCTCGACAAACCCCCCTAATAAATATTTTTGATCCCGTCGCGATAACACGCTTGCAAGGGCCATTCTCAAGAATCGAAATAGCGAAGCAAGGAAAGTAACACGTCCGTGTGTAAATGCAGCAAATAACCACACATCGCCATCGCCATCAATTCCAGGTAAGTCAGTTAAAAACGCCTCTGAATCCCTGATTTGCATTTGATGCCCCCCGTCCATCCATGACCATTCCGTTAACGCCGCGCTTGTTTTGTAAAGCAAAATAAAAACTTGGTTGTAAAGGAAAAGACTTTGTGATTGATTCGACCGAGGTGCGATGTTCTGACAGTGTGTAAAAGAAAAGTTTTCGCGTTGAGTGGTGGTATGTTTTAGCGAGCATTCTTGCTCGGTGAGCGTTGCATAATATAGTCGGCGCGGTTTGATGCTGCCGAGGGCGCTCTTGGAGTTGGTTCTTCGTCTAGGGGATTGACTTGAGAGTAGGAAGGCTTGGGTGTTTCCATTAGGTCGATTGGAGCGACGTTGTCGGCTGAGGCTTGGAATTGCTCGGGAGGTGTCAAGGTTGCGCCAGTGGCCTCTGGGGAGGTTATTGTTTCTTCGCTAACTGTGAGAGGTACTTCGACAGTATCTGCGCCTGGGGTGATATCAGAGCTTGACACCACGCTTCCTCGGCTGTTGGTGCGCATCATCTCTGTCCCAAGTTTCGAGCCACGGTGAGCCTTGACCGCGTTCTTTGGGCTCTTCTCTCGCACGCATACGCCCAGTTCGTCATCCTCATCATCGCCAGATTCAACACATTCGTGGCGATGTCTCTCGATAGATTCACGCTTAGCCTGAATCTTTTCCGAAGATCGTTGCCTGATAGGAATCTTGTGGACGATTTCCATTCGAGCAGGAGCCGACTCTTCGTGGAGTAGATTTGGAGGTAAAGCCTTGGGAAGTTCGCGTGAGTCGAGGATAGCCTCTTCGCTGCTGATACCCAGACCACCAGGTTCATCCCAATCTCCAGTAGCTTTACGGCTAATGACGACCGGTACATCCTCGTTCATCAATGACTCAGAATCGCCAAACATGCTTGAGCTAATCGAGTCTCCACGACTCGATCCCCTGAAGCTGCTGCCGAGCGCGTGAGCATAGCCAGATGAGCCAGACGTTGGACTATCCTCTAGTCTCAGGCTCTCAGTTCGGAGACCTGAAGGCTGAGGGTACGGTATGGGATTCGAGACAGTTTGCCCAGGTGCCGGAGCCTTCCACTGACAAAGCCTGCACATCGCTTCCGTCAACTTGGAAGTCGTCGGAGGCTTGTCGATCAAAGCGTCGAAGTGATGAGGATCTTGCAACTCCTTGAGATAGCCTGTAACAGCAACAATCGGAGTCTGCGAGTTGGCATTCTTGGTCTCTCGAATCATTCGGGCCACGTCGGCACCGTTAATTTGAGGCAATTTAAACTCCATCAAGATGATGTCGAATTTGATCTCACTCATAGCATATCGTAAGGCTTCAGCTCCGGTCGAGACAGTAATCGTTCGACATCGCAACTTTTCAAGCAATTTCTCCATGACCATTCGAGAGACTGGATGATCCTCGCAAATAAGCACATCAAGAGAACGGAAGATAGGTCCATCAGCGAGGGTGATATGTGACATGCGCCTGGAGCTTTGACGACGTCGTTGAACACGAAGAAGAGCATTCGCCTTCTCACCTTCGTTGTCTGACGACGATGGTGACATGTCAAAAACCTGGCTTCGTCGCTTCCGGTGAGAGAACAAGTCTGCCGGAATTGGGCTGCCTTCCTGAGAACCAACGGTCTGGGAGCGAGCACGATTCGAAGAACCGCTGGTTTGTCTTGGTGTCGTGATCTTCTGTGGAGACAATGCTAATGGGGGCGGAATCTGAGCGCTTCCTCGACTCTTGATCGGAGACGACAGAGCTGAAACAGCCTTTTGAAGAGTAACAGGCATTCGAGGAGCTTCAAAGAAGCTTCCAGGGGCCAACGAGCTGCTTGACTGATGTGATAGACTTGACGAGTTGCTTGAGGTTTTGCGACGTCCTTCCCCATTTTGGCCAGCGACAAACGAAACAAGCAGAGGCGAAGATGGTTGTGAAGCCCTGCTTGGTGACGAATTGGCTTGGCTGAATCCTGAGGGTGACGAAGGTCGGTTGGAAGCCTTAGCATTGGATAGTGTTCGTTGTATTGGCATAGGTAGAATCGGACTTCCCTCCAGAGTCGGCTGGGGAGAGCTGACGCTGGTGGCAGACACAGGGGGGCTAGTGATGGGCTTGCTCTGAGCGGCCATCGCCTCGGCCCGAAGCTTCTGAATAACATCCTTATTCGCCTTCTCCAAGACCGGCAAGTTCTTGAAGGCAAAGTTTCCGAAGTCATCAGCAACTACCGGCTCGCTCAATCTGCGACTCTTCATGTCCCGCACGTGTGGCGGAATGTGTAACGGCATTAGTCCTCGCTTGATCGAGTTCACTTGAGACCTCACTCGAGACAACGCGTCGTGGGGTCTCTCGTGGTACTCGGCACCTGGCGTCGAGCTTGGTGGCGAAGACTGATCTTCCATCTCTTCTGCAAAGGATTGTAGCGTAGCACCACGAGCATCGAAGTACTCTGTATCTTCCGGGTTTTCCGGCGCTGGAACGAATTGAGCATCGTCCTCGAGAAGCGTTTCCCAATTTACGCCTTCGAACCAAGCGTGGTTTCGGATCTCTTCACCACCGCAGGAATACTTGTCGTCGTTATTCCGTCCAAACCGATCCTTGGGATCGAGGCAGAGGAGCTTGTTCATCAGCTCTTTGGCTTCAGGGGAAACTTCGATATCGTTATCGTCCGGCCAAGAGATTCTCCGTGCGAGGATGTTCTCAAACACCTCATCGGGTGTGCCTGCATGAAATGGCGGATATCCGTAGAGGAACTCGAACAGAATGCAGCCAACAGACCACCAATCACTCATCTCATCCTGGCCCACACCATTCACGGTCTCGGGCGCAAGATAATCCGGCGTACCAACGAATCGGCGATTCGTGTCGTCGGGATCAAACAAAGCCATCGGAGGCGGCATCATACTGTTTTGTGGCGGGGTGTTCTTCTGCTCGGAGCTAGACTGGGTTGTAGTCTGGTGAAGAGACAATGGGTCAGGCGAGCCATTACCATTGCTTTCGGTCTCGCTCATTTCCTCGATGGGAGATCTTCTTTGATTGAGCATTTGTTGGGCTTGTGGGTCGTTGAGAGAGAAGCTGCTGAACATCTGGTTCAATGTTTCGCTACCACCGCTATCGCTTCGACCGGATGTACGACGCGATTCCTTGTTCATAGTACTTTCTCGGCTGAGAGTGAAGTATGATGGTGTCGTAAGACCACCTGCAAGATCTGGGGTCATTTGAGGTGTAGAGCCAGGGGAGTGATGCCCTTGAAAATCGAATGAAGTTGAGCGCGATGAGCTAATCGAGGTAGTTCGTGCGAATGGGCCTTGCTTAAGCAAATCCGGAGCAGACTCGTTTGTTGTGCTATTCAGCACACGCTTTTGACGACCAATCAATCCCATTCTCGACAGACCAAAGTCCGTCAGTTTCAGATGACCTTTCTGATCAATCAGAAGATTATCAGGCTTCAGATCGCGATGAACGATCCCACGGTTGTGAAGGTGTTCCACACCTAAGATCACTTCCCCGAGGTATTTCTTCGCCCAGTCTTCTGGCAAGCCACCAAGAACCTTGATGAGAGATGCACAATCTCCACCGTTAAGATACTCCATGACCAGATAGAGGTAATCTTTACTCGAAAATGTCCAATATAGCTTTGCAACAAAGTCGCTCTCGCCTTGCCACATCATGATGGCTCTCTCGGCTTTCACGTTGGTAACTTGATTCTTGGCAACCATGTCCGCTTTCTTCAAGACCTTGATAGCATAGTAATCACCGGTCGATCTCTTTTTCGCCAGATAGACGCTTCCAAACGCTCCCTTGCTGATGGGTTTGATGATTTCGAAATCCTTGATGGATGGCGGCACTGCTCGTGCTTGCGGTGCACTGACAGAGGCTAACCGTGGAGATGGTGGAGGTCGTGAAGGATCCGAGCCAGCAGCTGACGACTGACGTCTGTGGTGGGATGGAATGATAGCAGGAGAGCTGAATTCGCTGCCGGGGAGCATTGGCGAAGCAGTAGGGGAAACAATGCCTTCATGGGGAGTCGGCAGACCAGCACGCGGCTTTGCTATCCTTAATGGAGATGATGGTTGGGGCATTCGAACTGGTGACTCCTGACGCCGAGGGGAAGAAGTACCAGGCAGAATGATGCTTCTTCGATGGCTTCGGCGAGAGCTTGCAGCACGTCGAAGGTCGCCAAACTCTGAGACAGGGGATTCGGTTCGTGCGGGTCGAGACATCAATGATGAGGATCTAACGCTTCCATCGCTATCACCAGCATCGCTCTCGAAGAACAGGGACTGCCGACGGGAATCCTGAGACTGCGAGAGAATACTGCTGACTTGGCCAGTGTGCGATCGCGGAGTTGGGCATTCCTTGGGGCTGCTTGATCTTGTCGAGGCAATTGTAAATGAGGTTCTTCGACCGCCTTCTCGCTCCAGTTCAGCTGTACGGAGAGCTTGGGCCAAAGAGGATGGTCCATCAAAAGATCCAGTGAAGAACCCGTCATCGTGTGCAGGAGTTCTCTCCTCCTCCGCATCAGAGTCTGTGAGATGACCAGCGGCAATCTTCGCGGCCTTTCGCATCGCCTCATCGATACAGTCTTGCACAATTACCGTGAATTCCATGCGAATACGTTCCGAGTACTCGATAATCCTTCGGTGGCGAAGCACAGCCTCAACTTTCGCCTTGGCTGCTCTCTCGCTGTCTGCACACAGCAATGCAAGCCCTTGCTCCTGATCCAGGGTGTTTGTGCTCGGAGACTGCCACTGGATAACCTGCGATATTCGGGATTCCGATTGCGGGGACTGCGTGCGAAACTCGCCAGGAGCTTTCGAAGATGCTTCCTTAATAGCTGGGGTACTGATCTCGATTGAGGTGTCACAGAGATCCAGCAGCAGCTCGACAATTCGTGCTTGAGGGCGTCGTACTGCGAATGACCGTGCGCGTGCATGACCGAAGCCGGAAGTCGAGGGATCTCTTGATCTTCCACTTGGAGTACCTGGCGAGGCAGTTCCGGACGAGGAAGATGTCGAGGAACTCGGTCCGATTGGCATACCTTTGTACTCAGCTTGCGGTGGTGCGAGGATGGGTTGTTCGCCCGAATTTGGTCGTGATTTCCGTGCTTCGAGAGCATCGAGAACTTTGACAATCGCATGACGGTGCTCTGTAAGATTCTCCTGACACATCTGAACTTCCATCTCGGCCTTGTGTTCTTGTAGACAGAGCTCAGTGTGCTTCTCGAACCACCACGGCGGAATCTGACGCTCGCAGATCCGACACAGGACCGGTAGAGGTGGTGCATGGTGCTGCGGGTCCTCCAAACCTGCCTCAGCGAGGGTTGTAAGGTAGCTTGCCAGGACTTCTGCTCCAGAGCCTAGGGAATCGACGATAACAGACGGCAGGTCGATTTGTATTTCGCGTGGGGCAATCCAGGGTCGAATCATCCACATCGTCTCCAGCAGTGTTAGCAAAGTAATTAACGCGTAATAATTGCAACTTACGTGACTTTCGCCTCCAGATGATCTGTCGTAGACCATGATACCTTGCCCCTCCAGATCAATAGTAGAAGGTTCTTCCGTAGCCATTGGAACATCTTCGCCCTCGGGCTCGAGCTGGTCCGTAATCTCGATGGGCGCCAACCTCGAGGCAGGACCTAATTGAACTGTGAATCGTACAAGGTGACTTCTTGAGTCGTCCTTCTGCATCGACTCCACTATCTCTGCAAAGACCTCTTTGTTATCACTGACCAGAAGGTCCTTGATGGGCTTTCCCTGGACAGACTCGAACGTGGTGCCGATGACATCGGTCCACGAGGGACTGACCCATCTGATTATGCCGTCCAAGCTGAGATCCATGATGACATTCATTGTCTGCTCTGCCGCCTCGCGCAAGTCTTCCCTCTCCTCCCGAATGTCTGCACTGAGGGAGCGTTCCATCTGACCACCAGCCTGCGCACGCAGCTGCGAGACAGCCGGGGGTGCCAGCATATCATTGTTCTCCTCCATGGCGGTGTAGATTCCTCGGAATCCAGTGCTTCGCCAACATTGGCCGTGTCTTGTGGTGTGGTTGTCGAATTGCCCTCCAGACTAAGCAACCATTGGGACCATGCGTGAGCGTGCCTCTTGTTATCCGTTATCGTGGGCTGCAAGTTTGGGACCGTACTTGACTTCGGGCCCAGCTGTGCTGTCCGGCGGAGAGCCACGGACTAGCAACTTGTGCTGGCGAGAGACATCATGGTGATTGATGCTGATGTCTCCGTCTGTTGTGGTGTAAGCGCTGATGCTGCAGAGCGGAGCCGTTTGGTGGAGGGGAGACTTGCTCCAGCGAAGGAGAAGCACACCCAGCTCCGTGTATCGTGTCGAGAGGCAGGACCAGCAGCCGCACGGGACCCTGGGGGGGGGGGCGCAATGGTTGAAGTCGAGTTGTCGTGAGCGTGGGCGTGCAGCAAAATAGTTTGTCGTCGAAGGAATTATTATTCAGGACCCTTCAAGTTTCTCGACTGCTTTGCTTGATTTGCCTTTCCGAACACGCGAAGCGACGGGCCACAAAGCGGGGATGAGGTGGGCTCGCGGTAGAAGCTGGACCAATCACAGGCCCCGCATGCGCCAACGGAAGGTGCAGCGTCCAAACAAGCCCCCAGTCAAGGAGTCACTTCAGTAAGTCCCGTCAGTCACTTAGGGAACCGGCCACTGCACTGCCCACGCTGCCATGCTGCCCATGCTGCCCATGCGCCCACGCTGCCCACGCTGCCCACGCTGTTGCCCTCCTGGCGGGAGCCACTGACGATGCCAGCTGCGTGCTGCACTGCTGCACTGCTGCAATTGTTTTGGGATGGCGCTGACGAGGCGCGAGAGATTCAAGGAACGAACCAGCGCTGCCTGCCTGCCTGCACAAATTGACTTGGCCGAGAGCATGATGGAGCACAATAATAATCAACCTTCGCAGCCGCAGCTCTCCTGGCCAGTGGTACTCGGGTATGCTCCCGCTTCTGCTCTCATACTTTCTTCCTTCCTCCCCTTCCTCCCTTCCTCCCTTCTCTCTCCCTCCACCCACACCAGCGGCATCACTGCCGGTGGGAATAAAGAGCACATGTGCCCATCTTGTGTGCCAGTCAATTCAGATTTGCAGATGTCTTGGCACCTTGCGCGTCTACGTTTTGCAAGGCTGCATTGTGGTTTCTGCCTCTGCCGCCCTTTTCCCAAACAGACACCAAGTCTTGCCTAGCGACACTGGAGCTCTCTGACCAATGTAGCGTGTTGGATCGGATCATTTCTGGATCACCCGCGATGGAACGATTTGCGCGTCATTAGAGCCCTAGCCATCAGCTGCAGGGTGATCAAGCCAATTACCCAGATTAGGCCTTCGCGGATGCTTATCCATCGTCAACTCAACACTTCATTTGTAACGCCAGAGCTGTGTGTCGGGGCAGAAATGCTGTCTTGACTCTGGATGCACGGCGGCGGCATATCTCAATATCTGGAATGCATACCTTACTTGGATGCATCCACGCATCAGACGGGGATGGGGGGGTCTGGTAGTCAGATGTATCGAGATCTGAGGCGCGCTGCTGGATTCGGACCATCTTGCCCTTCCGATGCACCAGGATGCCAGATTGGTGTGCCGTCAGCCGTGCTGGTGCTGCTGCTGGTGCTGGTGCTGTTGACAAACCCTCGCCGCCGCTGCAGCTGCAGATGTGTTCCTCGAAGGTTCTTTCTGTGCAACCAAGGCCTGCCCTGTTGCACTGCGCCGAGGCTGGCGAATGAAGAAATTTGCCACCCGACCCTGTGACCGAAGCAACCGGAGCCCGAGGAGGTAACCCCCTGGCATATAACTTTGGCATGCACCACACAGAGAAACAAAAGCCAGCTACCCTCTCCGTATCCCACACACCACCATCCATACCTGCGGAAGCAATCCCTCCTCACACCGCTTTCCTCGACCTATCGCAATCCGTCCACCCCAGCCAAAGCTCTCTCTCGCAACAGTTCAACCCAGCACCTACATGACGACCCCTCCACCGTGACCTCGACCTCTAAGCAGTCCTCACAGCTCCTTCTCTCACTGGGTAGAGATCACCACACTCACCTCCTCGCCTGCAAGCACGTTCAAGGTACCGTCAACATCCACCCAGCACCCAGCACCCAGCACCCGTCCCACCAAAACCTGCCGTCCGTCTCACCCCAAATCGCAACCACTCACGAGCATGCATGCGGCCAGCCCAATTCTCCGCGTGCCAGTCACCAGGCCGGAAAACGGGTCATCGTATCGGGCTCTCCTCCTGTGCGTTAGCACCCCCAAGCTGCTGTCTCCAAGAAATGCCATACAGCGCTCCCCTTCTGCTCATGGTGGGGCCACCCGCATGCTCAAACGGGCGACTTTACTTTTCCATCACTCTCCCACCCCAAGACAGACATCGACAAATGATGCATCACACGACAATCGATCGCCCTAAGCCCCTTGGAAGCTAACCCTCTTCCCCTCCCTGCCTTCCAAAATCGCTCGAGATGTCTCAGCCTAGCATCTATCTGCGCTAAACGAGTCATTGACCTATCCGGGGAAGCAGAATCTCCAACCCGGAATGTGGGGTTTTTCCAGCTAAAACTTCTGAACTCCGTTTGAAGAGGGGAAGGGCTTCAAACGCGCGCCAGTTGGTGGTCTTATGGCCGGACTGAAGCCTGCACGTGACCCTTGCAGTGGTCATGGCAATTGGTAATGGAGTTCACTGCATTAGTTATGCACGAGCTCAAAATAATACTTCTCGCACTCGGAGGCTTCCCTCAAGCGTGTTAGGTTGTGCTAGGTCGGGAGGATTCGAAGGAATTGTGGGGATGACCAGATGTTGCGCTGGCACTGTTTCGGATCTAAATCTGGATCTCACTTCCTCTCGTTGTCTTTCTCTCCCTCGCCTCATCATCCCGTCAACTGCCGTTGCTTCCTTTGCATACACAAACTAAGTACACACACACATCTTTTAGCGTTTGTTTTGCACGTCTCAATGTGGAGAACTGACGCAAAAGTTGCGCGGTCTCACTCACTCGTAACCTACTCAGACGCACCTCAAGTTTTTGAGAAGCCAATGACGAATTTTCTCACTACTCCTTACTCCTTATACACAAGCACTCAAAGTTTCCAGAGAGAGGATGAGTGGGTATCGCGCGTGTTGAGACGAATATGCTGACGAGGTGTCAGGATATTTCGGATGCAGTTTATCTTGACTTTGACCCGTATTGAGAGATGAGACTATCAAGCGATACAAAACCACGTTATTTTGGGGGTCACGGCCACACTTACGCCATTTGACAGCATTTATGATTCATTGAGAGTGGTTGCACGAAGATTACAATTCAATATAGCTGTCAAGGTGAGAAGCTAGTGCTCACAGGGCTCTTAATATGAATAAAAGTATGAGTAACGCAGGTCGGCTGACTACAAGAGTTCTCTGATCACTCAATAAATGGTCCTCACATGACAAAGGGAGTTAAGCAATCTTCGAATGGCTCTCTGGTCATCGAATCTCGACATCAGGTTGGATGCCAAAGCCTAATCACGTGATTATTTCTGAACTCTCTTATCAACTCCGACTCTCGGAGCGAGAGTGTCTTTTATCACTGTTTCAAGTACTGCACACCATAGTTCAAACCTGCACTCAGATCCCAGAAGTATTTCCATTTCAAGCACAAGCTCGAGTAAAGGTCACGTGTACGCCAAGCTTCGTTGCAGATCGCACCCGAAGATCTCCGCCTTGTGTTGCATGTCGCACAGCCCCCAGCTATCTATTCCAGTGACCAATTGCACTTCCTTCTTGATCCTTTGTTGCATATCGGCATTTAGAAGCTGACTGGATCTGCAAAGTACCATCCCTGCCGTATATTATTCCCCTCTACAAGCTCTCCTTGCCACCAATGTAGTTACGATATACCTGGCATTCGCACCGAAGCTACAAAGGAGAGGAGTTTGGAAGGCGTTATAGAGAGCGATCATTGCTAAATTATTTAAGCCGTCTTCAATAACCCCCTGCTCTTGTACGGGGTCTTCTTTAATAGCGAGCTCTATCACAAGTTCGACAAGAGAAAGGGGGTTGACAGTCGCTCGAGTGATGCTGGGACGACTTCGTAGCTAGCGGGACAATATTCGGGAGAAGCTCAGACGGCAGGATTTCTGTGTCATCTGGGCAATTTACAGATCATCCAGTTTCTGTCAATGTAGACTTCCTCGATAGCAAGAAGTGGTCAACACGCGGATGTTTCCACGAACATGAAGGACGCTGACAGCAAGTGGGATATGCATAGGCCAGTGCTCAGACCAACAGGATCCTGTGCCGTCTGAGAAGCTTTTTGTATCGTCCGGTCAGCCGACTATAAAGGATGTGTGAGAATGTGAACATAGCGAAATAGGAAGTGGAGACTCCTATAGTCGTGAAGCGAGAAGTCTCGCTAGGTGTGAAGATATTGTCTTGAGGATCTAAGACTTCAATGTTCTCTTGGTCTCCTTTGACTAGCTGCGCAGCACGACTCCTCATCTATTCGACCAGTCTTCTCAAGCTTCTAACTTCCACATGTCACGATTACAAAAACTCTTTGAAATGATGCGCAAAGATCTCCGGCCTGTTGTAATGGCCAGCATAATCCTATCCACCGTGAGCATTCCCTCCTCAAACTATCCCTAAGTATCAACTCACCAACACATATTTAAATCTCACCAACTCCTCTCTATCAACCTCAGCATATACAATCTCCTCGCCCTTATTCTCCTTACCTGCCCCATCAGCAAGCACCACCCCCCACGGCCCCACAATCGTCGCCCCCCTCTTCTCCCTCTCTTTCTCCAGAAACCCTCTCGCCTCCTCATTCACACCATAAGCCAGGACAGCACCCTCATCCACCACCGCCACCGAATTAATCACAAAACATCCCAACGAGCTAGCTAAAGCCTTCGTATATAACAAACTCGCATCCCTCACACTCCCCCCAGGCGTAAAATGGCTTGGCCAGGACGCAACATGCACAACTGGATACTCCAACCCAACACAGTACTGCGCAAGGGGATTCCCGTTCTCACCGCATATCAGGCTGCTTACGCAGCCAAACTCCGTTACCATCGAACACTTAGACCCAGTTGTCCCAGGGGCGTGAATCACCCTCTCCCCTTTCGTAGGAACGAATTTCTGATGCTTATGCAGCAGTTCACCATCACGTCCAAAGAAAAGCTGCGTATTCCACAACGTCCCCGTCGTCCCTCCCCTCTTCTCATTGACCCCCACCACCGCATAAATCCCCGCTTCTGCACAAGCAGCTCCGATCGCCTCGGTTTCCGGACCAGGCACTTCGACCGCTTCGGCGAACAGTCTGGTGAAGAGAGAGGTTGCGGGGTCCGTGGCGAGAGGTAGGAGCTCCACCCAGCCTGGATATCCTGCGATGAAGGTCTCCGGGAAGCCGATGATGTCTGCTTTGTTTTTCCCTGCTTCGAGAATTAGGGAGAGGACTTTTTCGGTGGTGGATTTCTTGTTGAGGAAGATGGGGGAGGCTTGAACGGCTGCGAGTTTGAGGAGTCTTTTCTTCGTTTGCGGAGGGGTGGGGGTGGGCATCTTGAAGTTGTGGGTGTTTTGGCTTGGATGGGGCGGCACTGGTTTTGACTTGAGAGGTTCACACTCCCTAGGATTTGCTACGCCCTTGGGTGCACAAAAGGCGCACTTGGATAATACAGGTAAGCTCGGGATAACTCTACCCCGAAGCCACTGGTAGTGGAAAGAGTTTCTTACATAGGCAGGTAAAATGTTTGTCTTTCATCCCCTTCATAGGAACTTTGCAAGGGTCCCAATTTCGGGAGGTGTACGTTCGAGGTACCGCAAGTGTGTCCACGACAGATCACCAAGTGAAGACTGGCGAGACTTAATATCTCCTTAATATTCACAAAAGCGATTTTACAATATGAATCTTAATTGTATTCAGTTTACTCTGTGCTTTTCTTTCCTTTGATGAATCGTATTGATATCTATACCCTTGACCAGTACAATGCCCCTGGCGACGTAACTACACCAGGTGGCACAGTTTCTAAACTTTCCTTCCCTCTCTCTCTCTCTCTATTTCTCTATTTCCCATTCCGTACGGGGAGATGACCAGCGGCAATTGCTCGTACTCTGCGCTGGAAGAGTAGTGCTTTTACCAAAAGTCTAACCCGTAACTCAAATTAACATTTCCGCTGCAGCTCTAGAACTTTTCGAAATTGCGAGGCTTCTATCATTCCTGGATTTGTTTCTGTACAGTCTATTGGAAGAACACAGCATTCTTGGCTCCTTGCTTGATTATGGTGGTCTCGGCTGATGGATATATGTGCTGTACGTTAGATGCGCCTATTTCGGGATTTGCTGAATGGCCTTCGAAATGGACAACCCCATGCTGTTGTTTCACCGAAGAATTCGTCACCGAATCCTCCATTTAGCGAGCCACTCCAGTGCCGATTCGGAGTTCGCTTGTACCTGGTGCCCTGAACATTATCCGCCAGAGCCTGTTGCGGCACAGCCAGGCTCAGAGCATGCCAAGAACCAACAACCAACATCGACTGCGCCTCCCCACAATCTACCACATAAGTCAATCACCAGCTCTACCTCTTCTTCTTCTTCTTCTTCTTCTTCTTCTTCTTCTTCTTCGTGGTCTCGAACATCGATTCCCTGATTACTGATAGACACCTTTTCACAGCTCTCGATCATGGCTTCCCTTCTCATCACACGTGGTCTCCACTCTCTGATCGCCTCTCGAGACAGCACCCCACATGAGAGCGTCGCCTGGAATGCAATCACCAGACGAGATTCCGAGAAACATCAGGTCTTGTCTACGGTATTGCTCTTTGTATGGGTTGTGATCAACATCGCACTCTTCGTACCGGTGTTTTTCATCGTGAGTAATTTCCACAAACTACAACACGCGTCTCGAATCTCGACCACGTTAACTCACAATTTTACAGCTCGTGTATACACTCACTAGGCTCTACCCAACGCTTGCAATCGTTGAGGACGCTGATTCCCCTCCTGACTATGAGCTTGTCTCCGGGAAGGAAGTTGATATCGATGAGGATGGGAAGGTCGACGCGGGCAGCAATTCGAAAGACACGACCATCGAGACCGACAATTCACTTGATGGAAAAGGATCCTCAGTAACGCTCATGCCAGACGAGACAGCAGGTATCCCTTCTACCCCGTCTCAACCAGTAACCTCCGGGCTCCTCGCCACTCTCCGCCTCCTCCGCGCAAGTGGCGGTGGTCTCTTCAAAGCCTTCAGATGGCAGTTCCTGTCCAACTGCGTCGTAGTTATGGTTTTTGCTTGCCTCAGCTCAGTCCCGTACTTGCCATATCTCGCCTCCTCCATCATCGCCTCTCTCGCAGCAACCAAGGTCGAGACAGCATGGACCCACGCCGCCGTGTCCACGCAGCGGGATGGACGCCTCTGGAAAAAGTTACCCAGCTACCTTGCGATCTTCAAGGCCACAGCTATCCCTCTTGTCGCCGAGGCTGTAGTAATAGAGATCATCAACGCCGTCGCGTTTCTGCCTCTTGGTCCAAGGACGGGCAGTTTTGACTCTCTGGGCGTCATCCCCCGGTTCGCTCACAACGAGAGCCTCCTGAGGCTCTCTGTGGTCATGGTGCTCTTCTTCACGCTATACACCTTCCTCCTGGTCCCGACAGAAGTCATCTTGACCCGGACACGGGCCAGCAGTATGAGCACCCCTTCCCTTGTCCAAAGAAATTTCTCCCGAGCAGTTTTGTTCTCATTTCCGCTCAAGACAAAACTCAAACGCTCATGCTTCTACTCACTATTTTTCGTACGAGCAAAGTGCGAAAGCTGACCAAAACTTTTCTCTAGTGCTCCCTGATGATGCTAGCACACTGGTTCCGCTTGATTCGTCGATCCGGTCACAGAAGGCGGAGCAGATGGGCTTCATGTCATGGATCCACGCATGGCGGACGTTCTCTCGCGCATCTTGGGTCAGGATCGTCAAGATCTACGCTAAGATCTTCGCCACTACGATCCTAGTTGAGTTCGCTGTTTCCGGGCTCATTATTGCGCAAGCTCTGCTTTACTCAGTCGTGATGCAGCCAAAAACGGCTGCTCATTAGAGTGTTGTGGGATTGTTGACACTGAAGCTATTTGGATTAGGTTGGTCAAGCTTTCTGCAAGATAGCAGGTGTGGTGGCTCTGAGAAAATATAGATAGGGTGTTTGGGTGTTTATCCTCACTGGATCCGCTAGAAATAGGGGGGACAAGTGTCCCCAAAATACCCACGTGCAATCCGTTCCTTCGAAATCAATGGTTTTCATCCATCAGTACGCCGAGGGAGCTAGCTACGTTCGCACGTCTTGCATACTGTTGAAACTGTTTCCAGACAGCATAGCGGCAGGTATCAACATATTGCACCAGCTTTAGATACTCTACATGGTAGTAACTAGTTCCAAAAACTTCTCCTGCTTCCTCCACCCTCACTTCTTGTGTTGATACAAAACGGAAACAGAAACGGTCTTCCATCACGTATGGTCCCTGCGTAATACAGGAAGAGGCATCAATGAGGTGTCAAAGGTAAGTGCCTACGACGCCGCCCGTCTCATGGCGCGATGATACACAATCGATCTTAACGCACTATCGATCCTAACGATCACATCATTCCATGAGCCTTGGTCAAAGCCTTCTGGGATGGCTTGCACGCGCGGCAAAGCACAATTTGAAGTGTTGCTGTTTCTCGCCTCCATGTCTTGTCAAGGCCAGGGATTAAAGCCTGCTTGGGTGCGAGTTGCTCAGCAATGGAGACTTAGATTGTGTGTTGATTGAAGGAAGTAAGAATTCGTCTGCGGAAAGAGGGCAGACGTTGGACTACTGGAGGCAATTCGAGGTAGGAGCGAGCGCGACTGGCTGCTTGAAGGTTCGGAAGCAGGGACTGCTGGAGCAAGTTGCGCTGGAACGCTTGTGGGATGTGCTTCGAATTGTGAGGGGAGGTGTTTCCGTGGAACAGGCTTTCGCAGAACATCTTCTTGCAGCTAAGGTTGCGTGCTGATCCAGGGGAGGAAGGAAGAGAGTCGACGGAGACGCGATGGTCTTGGAGGAGTATGAGCAGAGGGCATGTTGGCTTGTTGAGGGACTCCCTCCTTGTGCTCTTTGTCTAAAAAGAAGAAAAGTCAATAGCTTGTGGTGTGATTGGGTGCAATTTCTGTGCTCTACTCCGCTGTTGATTCCATCTCCAAGGGCTGAAAAGAAGTCTAGTGAGGCTTTAATCTCTGTAGGATGAAGAGCGCGAGGTAGGTGCGTGAGGAGAGACGGTAGACTTTGCCAATATGCTGCAGCTCCACCTTGAAAACCTTTGGCAATGAAGTTTTGGAGCTTCAATACAGCGGAGGTGGTATTGAGTTCGTGGTGCCTGGAGAATTCAGGATGGTCTTTGTATCTCGCGTAAAGCATGGGAGAAGGCAGAGAATATCGAGCTTCAAGGGTAGAGTCAGTTTGAGGTCAAGATCAAAACTCGAGGGGGGGGTTGAGGCGTACCCGTGGGATGAGAGTGAGAGCGATATTCTCGCAGTTTGAAGTGGCTGTTCCTTCATAGAGTTGTCGATAGCTTGACCAGGGACGAGGATAGACTTTAGTGAAAGAAGCTAATCAATCTAGTGTATCAGGAGCGACATTATTGAAGGACATTGGAAGCTAGAGGTTGCTTCGTAGTTCTTTTGAGCATTCTCGCTAGTGGACCATGAGCTCAGTTCTCCACCTCCATAGAAGTCAATCTCGTAGCGCCAAAAAGCTGGATATACTATTAGGAATGTTTTTAGCTTTTTTGCTCTCTCTCTCTCTCTCTCGTTCTCAATTTGAGGTGGAAAAACTGGGAGTGTAAATGAAGGGAAAGGGAAAGAGAGTCGGGGAGGAAGACTAACCTCAGAAAGCTAATCAAACAGTCAATTTGTGCCTCCATGAAACAGAATTTGACTTATTCTTGACCTGCTTGCTGAATTTGACGTTGGCTCTGATCTGCAAGGCGTCTTAGACTGAGTGAGGAAAAGAGCAAGAGCCTTCTTGCCACCCTTAGGTGTCTTCCAGGTTCTCGCTACTGCCTTCACTACCGGCGTCGTAACCATCCTTCTGACCCATGCCAGCCAGCTTGAAACCAATGGTCTGAACCTTGTCACCGTCCTGCTGAGGCCAGCGCTTCATCTTGCTATCCAAGCGGGGCTTGAATAGCTTGTACAAGGCGCGTTCCGAAGACCAAGACCTGGGCATCCCCCTATCCCGGGTACAGTCCCTCACCCAAACGTAGGTAACGCGTTGTAAGATGTCGGTAAGTTCTGCTGGTCTAAGGTACGTGCTACTCCTGTCCGCAAGGGAGCCCCCTGTGGCGGCTCCAGCCACAATAGACAGGGATCGGTCCAACAGCTGGTATCAAGGAATAAGGAATATGAGCTGGAAGGTGGGCTTGAGGCTGGACCATCGGAAAGAGTTGGAAATAGGCAAATGCTTAAGAGCCAAGATGTTAGTTAGTTGGTGGAACGACATTTCCCGACTCCTTGCTTACCATTGCTCAGTTGCTCAATGGAATATGGATGGATCTGCCATATTTGTTGAGATGTGCTAATTCCTGACAGAGTGTCTGTTGCCGCCGTTCAAGGCGAGTCCAATCATCTCTGTCACAATCCCCACTTGTCCAGATATTAGCATCGCTAGAGATGCTGCCTGTGAAACCCTCAACAGTTGAACTCCTCCTTGCTGAGGGAACGGAGCAGGAGAACCGCCATCTGGGCACTCTTGTTGCTCCATGGGTTGCCCAGGTGGAGGATCCATGCCCTGGTTCTGGGGCCGTATTGTGGAATTGTGGACAGTAGGTAATGATACATGGCCGCTCTTAGTTGGTGGAGTGATTTTTGTAGTCCAAAGTGGCAATCTTGTTGTCGGGCTCCTGGAACAGACTCTGTGATATCAAAAGAAGCACGAATCCCAATGGAACAAAGGTCACCATGGCTCTTCTTTCATAGGGTGACTTTGGCAAACCGGTCCTGTGCCCGACTTAACATGTCATCAAGATTCTGCTTTGGCTCTTGAAAGACCTCACCAACCTTCTCCTTATATTTTTGAAGCATCTCGTCGAGGTTCTTGGAAGGCTCCGAGTGTTGGATGAACGATCTCAGTAGAACTTGCAAAGAGGGCGACACTCACTGCCTAGCCTTCTGCAATGACAGATGCATCTCCTCGCATGACCCCGCAAGCAACTAACAGTGGATTCCGCAGGTAGTCGTTCCTGATGCGGTCTCGTGGCGCCAACGGGTAGGAAGGCATTTGAGGTTTGACAGGACAATGGGTCCCGCCATAATGAGGTTGGCACAGTGGGTTATCTTCGCAGATTCGGATGAAGAGACTTCTCCAGGTTCAGATCCCTGATTCAAGTCAACAAATGTTCATGTCCGAGAAGGAGGGAGGGGGGTGGAGTGGAATGGGTCTTATATACCCTGTCGGATGCTGGTCAAATGCCTTCGACACAAAACAGTTGAGTCTTCATCATTCTAGATGCCTCCAATTGTTGGTTAACTCTAGGAAGAGAGAAATACGGCAATGGCTTCGACATACTTTTCTGGTGATTGACATAACTTAACGAATAGCATGGCCTTGTGGGGGCGTCTTGCACCTTGAAGGAGGCAGTCTCGCCGGATGCCAATAATATAACTCCGATTTCTGGTCAGTGGAAGGCAACGATTCTTGGTGTCTATCTTAGATATCTGGTTGATTCTGTCAGGAGTTGTATGCTTGAATATTGGGTGACGAGAGAAGCTTTGCAGGGAGCACCGAACAAGCTCGGTTGTAGCTGGAGAGCGGCCGACTTTCGTCCCTTCAAATTCACCATGCCAACTGCTGTCAAATTGTCAGTAACTGTCGGACGAGAAACCAACATAGCAGATAAATTTTGTCTTTAATAAAGAGATTGCAACAAAATGCGAAGACTAACAGATCAGGAAGTGCTTGGATGTATAGCGTCAGCCTTTATGAAAGGCGAAGCGCAGAAAGGGGCAAAGCGAGATCGGACGGAAGACCAACCCCCAAACCAAAAGCGATTGCGGGAAGGGAGATTGTGAATAATCAGAGGAAAACAAACAAAATTTGGATGCTTGCAGAAGAAAAAGTTTGTATTAGCCTCGCCATGAGCAGAGGAGGCGGACCTGAAGGCGAGAACAGAAGGCTCTTTGCACTTCGGCGTAAAGGGCTTGTTACCATTTGACTAAACATATTGCCTTTTGCTAGGCAAAGAGGTTCAGACTTACGACTGATCTGCAGAAAACCTCCTCAACGCGAGACGAGGGCTCAACTTCCTAGGGCGGTGCTGTGGGGAGAAGAAGGATGTGACATGGGAGGTGCTTGGGACGAAAGGGATATTGGAAATTATGGGACGGTAAAGGAAATGGCAGGCGGTAATGGGAGACGCCTAAGTGATAAAGGAGAGGTCTTTGTGGGAGATAGACCTTCTTGGTGTTGAAAGGCTTGGGAAAGAAGCAAACTAGGTATTGCCTGCGAAGCCGGTGACTCCTTCCTATACCCCAGCCACTATGCACGTGATAGTACTCAACGAAGCGAGCAGTCATCGCACAAAGTTGGTCTACTTTCTTAATTTGTTGTCTTCTTGTTCTACCCTCATCACACCCTCTGCTTCTCCTCCTCACATCTCGCCTTTAAGCTTGACTATGTTGCCTCCTAGGCACAATCATCACCCCTCTCTCCTTCTCCTGCTTTCCTAGGCAGGCACAGCAAGCACAGCAGGCACAATCAACAGTCCAGTCAAAGACCCTACCTAAGTTGATCATTTCCAAGTGTCGGGTTTGCCGCGAAGGTAATTAACTGATTTGTCTTCAATCATCAAACGAGACCAAAGATACATCCTGTCACCGCTGGATAACACTGAAGCAAGTTTCTTGTGGAAAACCCATACCGGAGTCTGAAGTCTTGGGATGAGACTCCGCTTTAGCTAACCAGTGAGTTCACTACTACTCTTCAAGATAATCACACTAACTTTTAGACAGTTGCGAGCTCTTCTTGATCCATCAAGAGCTAGACTGGAACATCGTCAACTTGTGGACTAGGACATTCCACGGGAGCGTAATTGAACCCGGAGACGATAGCGGTGGCTGGGATCCCGAAAGGCCCTCTCGTTTCTTCTGAACTACTGCACAAAGACCTTGCGGAGGCTCCTTCTACTAGCTACCAGAGAATGAGAAGGACAGCGGACATACTGGACAGCTCCTGGGACATTACCACAACAATATCACGCGTTGCTAGATTGCTGTCACTTTCGAGACAATGGATGTGGCAGACGTGATCGACATGATGTCAGACTTGGCAGACCATGTAGTCACATCTTCATAGCCATTGACCCCTACTTCATTTTGGGCTGAGGTCAAGACTGGTGACTACCTTATTTGGAATATGATCCTCATAAATTGCTTGCTCGTATGAACCCCCCAGACAATGAAGCCAAGGTAAGTTTTTCCTGGCTGGATTCATTTGGGAGATGATTCTAACTCCCGCTTAGATACAGGAGAACTACAAGAGAATCAATTCAAATCGTGCTGTCTAGAATTATTCCCCGTCCGACAATGAAAGAGAGGAATATTAAGATTGAGCATCTGTCGGGTTCTAACTCTGCTCTTGATGAGGCTTACGAATCAAAGACCGAAGATGGAGAGAACGTCCATTACACGACTGCAACTTCCACCAATAAGCGTAGTCCAATGTTACAAACACGCTGATCCGGTCAATTGATGACCCAGATGCCAATCAGCAAATAGTGGGATGGCGGTGAACTTTGAGATACCCAGCCCGCTTTCTTATTACTCCGTGAGAGCTCCGCCGAGATCAACTTGAACGCTCTTCACTCTGAGGCAGTCGAGTCCTTTTCCGAACTATCAAAGGCCATTCCCGAAGACTCCGACCAGGACTCCAAGACCAAACAGAGGCTTGAGTGGTTATAGTGACGCTCGAACAGGCATTCCCTCGGAATACCAAGAGGCGCAATGTGCGTTTGGGGATTCGATTATTGAACACAAAAGCGACGCAGAGTGCGCTTAGGTCCATTGAATAATGTGATCACTGGGGCAACTCTTGCTCTCCTTCATAGACATATCCCTGGTCAAATCATCGACAGTCTATGAAGGAGAGCAGGATGATGGATGGCACGCTCCGGCAGAGCCATCCGAAATCTTGGGTGAACGGGGCTCCTCAATATGTCTCTAGGGGATTCCCATTGTACAATCTCGAGGCACGTAAGCTTTTCCCCCTCACATTTGAGAGTTATGACGCGCTTGTTCGGAATGTATGCTAAAGTGTATGAATAGGGCTGGATCGTAGCAGGACATATTGAAGGATTGACGGATAGATACCTGGGTTCTGGCGTTGGAGTTGGAGGACCGGTGGTCGCCTTATTTCTGGCGTTGGAGGGCGTTTCTTTCTTCTGATACCCAGGGAGCGGTAAGGACGGAATCGTTGAGGTCAATTTCCTGCACAGCACAGAGAGAGGACCATAGAAAATGGGTGACTATTAACATACCAAGTCCCAAGTTGCAATATGCAAAATCAAGTCCCCCCATTGCTTCCAAGTTGTCTACCGCTAAAGTCATACTCAACTTTTTTTTTCGCTGATTCTGTTTTAGTATTTGGACGTGAGCAGCTGCCGCCTTAACCTGAGCCGAGGGTGGGCATTCCTGAGCATGCCTGAGCACGTCCTGAGCTCGGCCTGAGCAACCTGAGTATACGGCAGAGTCAGCCTGAGCATATACTAAGGGGCCATTTTAGCTCCTATAGGGACTTGTTCCGGCTCCCTTAATACTCGGTTATACTTTCTTTATTTTATCTCCTATTTTGGCTTCCTTATAACCGAGATTCTTCCGAGCCATTTTTAGAACTATATTTGCTTATATATATATAATAAATATATTAGTCTTATTATTTTATAATATCTTATTAATATTTATAGAAGTAATTTTATATAATACGAATTTTAGTAATATTTAATTTTTTCTTCTTTACTTTTATATATTTTAATATTATACTTTTCTTATATATTTTCTTTCTTTTTCTTTTCTTTTAGTTTTTATTCTACTTATAGAAAATAAAGAACTAAAATATTCTAATAGTTATTTTAATAGCTATTTTAATAACAAGTTTAATTTCTATATTATTTATATATATATAATATTATTTTAGGAAGGGGTTTATACTAGTTCTATTTTAGTAAATAATTAGAATAAAAATAACTAATTTACTAGTTAGTTATTATAAGATTTATATAATTATAAAATTGCCTTATTAAAGAATTATATTAAAGTTTAGGAAAGGAATTATATATATTATATAAGAAATAATTATATTAATAGAACTAAGAAAAAAGAAATTACTAATAGCTAAATTTACTAATAATAATATTATATAATAATAATAATATATTAGGAAATAGTTATATTAGTATCTAGTAATATTAGGAAATTTATATAAATTCTAATAATTCAGGATTATATTAGTACTAGAGCTTTATTAATAAAAGAGAAAAGAAAATTAGCTAGTAAATATTAAGTAAAAATAAAGATTTATATAATATTAATACTATATTTTATACTAAAGGCTAGTAATATTAGGAGATTTATATAAATTCTAATAAAATAGAATTATATTAGTAATATAGTTTAATAATAAATAAATATAAAATTAGCTAAATATAAATTAAATAGAAATAGAAATTTATATAATAATAATATTATATTTAAAAGAAGTTATATTAAGGGCTAGTAATATTAGAAAAATAAAATAAAATAATAATATAATTATAATATATATAGGGTTATATATAACTTAAGAATATATAATAAATCTCGGATATTACAGGTATTAATTAGAGAGATTAGCGGTCCTTTAATATTATAACTAATTACTATTTATATTATAAGTATTAGGCTTATAAATTACTAATTATATATATATTATTAGGGCCTCTTATTTAAAGGAGGCTTCTCTAAACCTTATAGGAAGAATAAAGATTAGTTCTATACTAAATTTAATACTATAGTTTTATAACTTACTAATTTATTCTATTATTTTATTACTT